TAAAATAAGATAGTTTGATAGTACAATAATATCTAATAGTTGCCATTATAAAGTACTATAAAGACCTAACTACATTTCTCCTTAAAAAATATTAATCGTTCACAAGAAATAAAATATAATAGTATCTACCAATTATAAATTAGGGTTCACAAACAATTTTAATAATCAAATATCAACGAGAAGCTTTTCGCTTGAAAATTGCCTCAATCGAGACCAGCAAGGTCTACTCCATCCAATCCAATCTATAGCCAATGACAATTTTATACTGCACTCATGAAACAACAATAAGGGATTAGGTAAGAATTTAAATCAGTTTGCATTGGCAATTTATACTAATATCCATCTGTCAGAATAATATGGAACCATTATGTCGTTAGTATTACAATTCGAGAGTGCGAAACGTCTCAATTTCAATATCGATCTATTGGAATAAATTTCAAGAGTAACCCATTGATCTCTGGATCATATTTACATAGCAATGCACTTGAACAGTCATATAAGCAAGTAAAATTATACTTAGGGTGAGATATGGCGTGAATTTACTGGGTACGGAGGAATAACACCTGAGTCCTCAGGAATGGCAACGCATAGGGGGTATCATGGGCGAAACAGTATACACTGTTATGTCCATGGTACTGCTCATGTCTATAGGCGTCGGTTACCACTTTCCATTAGGTGGGCCATCAGCTTGTTTGCCATTCTAAGTTGTATAAAAAAAAACTTATTTTAAATTAGCTGTATCCCGCGACTTCGCTCGCGTGAATCAATAAGTATCTACATAATGTATCTTGTAATCTAAGTTACGATATAACCTACCCGTGTACCAAATTTCATTCAAAACCGTTCAGTAGTTTTTGTATGAAAGAGTAAAAAAAAAGACATCCATCTATCCACCTCTACAAGCATTCGCATTAATAATGTTAATAGATTATACTACCATAACTTAATCGATCGATTTTACATTCAATGAATGTGGCATGTTATAACAAATATACATATTATAGTAACATTAGGAAATCTAGATATAAAAACTAAGACAACGGGGGGGGGGGGGGGGAGTTTTGTTAGTAATGTTTTGGCACTTTCTTCCTCGCACAACCACTCTTTGGAATCAACTTCCAGCAGCAGTATTTCCGAACCGATACGACAACATAACCTTCAAGAAAAGAGCATATTCCTTTTTAAAAGGCCGGCAGCACACCTGCAATGCCGTAGGTGTTGTGGGTGACCATGGGCGGCGGTAGTCACTTACCATCAGGTGAGCCGCATGCTCGTTTGCCCCCTGTGTTGTAAAAAAAAAATGAGATTTAGCAGCTTCATTCCTAGCACACCCTACCAGGTCGACCTCCACGCGGTTCTCCCTGGAAACCATAGTGGTTCATTCTTGTTCAATTTGACGCTATGGGCAAACTGACCTGCTTTCATCCTCACCTGTCACCCTTCACTGGTACCCCGCCAGCGTATACCGATAGCGCAGGTGGGGCTACCATTTCATATTCACTCATTAAAAAAAAACTAAGACAACGTGAAAGAGACAGACAGTTCACAATTTATCGTAATAAGGTTGTTAGACATATCAGTTCTATAGACGACAAGACAAAACAAATAACCCCCATAAAGTTGATGGGAATAAATTGTCAACTCGTGCACGGCTGTTTTAAAATAATGCGATCATTGCAATTCTAGGTTCTCGCTGCAAAATATTGCTGCTCAAATTTAGAGTTCTATTAAGACTGTATATTTTCAGCTTTAAAGCTATTGTATTATTAAATGTATAAAAAATTAGGTTGCCTGTAGAGATTTTAGCGGACTAAAATATGAGCTTAGTCTGGAATCTGCTGTTATATTTAGAATAATGAAATTTAAAAGTAACTGATATCTCACCCTGATGTTTCTTCCATTATATAGATATTAAAAACGGTTTAAATGGCTCAGACATCTCTTAAAGTATGTTGCGCTTTATAATCTGTGATCTTTATCCGCTATTTGCAATAAATCATTATTTATAAATGTTGATCTTATATGCTCTTTTACTGGTAGGAATATAAGAGTTAGGAATACACCTATTAACCATAGTATAACGAATTACCAGTGGTACAACTTTGATATCACCGGAACAATTACTTCACATTTGGGGGACTTATCTCTGTATCGGTAAATGTAAAATTTCTGTGGGAACAATCTGTGAGTATATTTTCATTATTTTCAGATAAAAAAAAATAATTTTCCAAGTCGGTTTATAACTGACGGAGTTAGAAAGTAACAAACGAAAAAAATAAAACAGAGTTGAAAACCTCCTTTTTGAAGTCGGTTGAAAATAATTATAATTAACTAACCGTTAAGGAATATAGGATTATATCAATCCATTGATACCAATTCCAACTCCTTTACTCTCTTGAATCTCTTAACATGCACCTTCACGATATTATTTATTTATTTTAAAAGGTATATCAACAGTGTAAATATAGCTATTAATTTTAATTTATATACAGGTGTTGCATCTTGCATTTACTTCAATTACAGATGCACATAACATTTACTTGACATCGAATTCACATTAATAAATTTGACACTAACAAAACATTATTAATTATCAACACTTCATCAAGCTATCATCTTGTCAGTTTATCATTACCATTATTGTATTGGCACCCGTTATCTTAAAAAAATCTTTAACTAACAATTAAATTGGTCCCTATACAATAAAATCTTATCCAAAGTAAAATCAAAAGAAATATGATTGACTTGACCTAGGCGATAACAACGACAAGAAAACGAATCACGTTTCTATTGTTTTGTTCTGTATTAATAATCGATCGTATAGATCTTGTCGAGATCGTTTCGTCCCCGTTCATCATGCCCGACCGCGGTTATGGAAACACGTCAGTGTCTCACGGGAAATTAGCAGGTTTGCAATAAAAACTGGTGAATCTATCCCCTGTCTAATGTCGTGCTATAAAAATCTCTTAAGTCTCTATCGTAGCACTACAGGTTTGTATAATTCGTTCTGTACAAGTGCAAACCCTAGTTCTGTTTAGATATTACGTTTTTCCCTTATGCAACACTTCAAAACTCTTAATAATTTAAGCACGCGAGATATACGTTACTAGCGCTATTATGCGATCCATTTGTTAGATATCTTTACAACGCCCACGTTCTTATACTCGGTACAATAAATGAAATTTATTATGTGCGTAAATCTCGCTCATTTTAGCAAAGCTTTGTGTTTATTTATGTTTATACATGGGATTGTAATATATTGTAATCTATATCCCTTTTATCTATTTACGCCATTCACTGACTGATAGCGAAAATATGGATTAAATTTACTAGTATGTTATCAATTTAACTAGCTATTGCCCGCAACTTTGTAAGCGTGAATTGTAGAAGTAGATAATATTTTTTAGATTGCATGTCAAGATAAAACTTACTCCAATTACAGATAGATGGACGAAAGGTTTTCTATTGCTCTTATTAAGACCCCTCATATAAATTTTTCCTATGTACAGATATTCGTCTACAATTTCATTATATTAGTAAAATTTTAAATAAGCCAAAAGGGGAGTTTTGCCAATAGTTGCAACGCTTGGCAGGTTGGCAACCACAGTTAGGATTATAGGGATGTTCTAAGAGGGACGTTGCTGTCTATCCTTCTACCAATAAGTTCCGTTAGTTGTCTTTTACGACACCCACGGGAAAAGAAGGAGTGGCTAATTCTATGCCGGGACCACACGACAATGAGTGATGATTACACCATAAGAATTAGTGCTTATTTTATTGGTTACTCGTACAACTTCATTAAAAAGCTAGCTAGTGTTCCCTTGGTAATAGGTATAGATTATGCTAACTTGGTAGCATAAAACATATTTTTATTAGAATTATACTTTTTTGCTTTTATATTTACAAAGGTCTCGTTTTATGTAATCGCTTTGTGAATACTATCTTGTCACTTTATACTACTGTCTAAGTAATCCTTGAACCTTGCCTTATATAGGTACAAAATTATTATTGTTAACAATAATTTTCAACAAAAATATTAATTTTAACAAATAAAAATATATATTATATAATAGTACAAATTTTAATTAAGAAAATACTATTCCAAAACATACCTAAAATCAGTCTGGTTGATGAATCAATTTGCTATTTTTCCTGTAGTTGTGACTTATATAGAAAATATGAAAATATAAATTAAGTTATTACGAATTATGACGTATAAGTCTTACCAGAGGGAGACTTTGTACTAAAATCGTTTGCTTGGACATCTCTGTCCCATTCGTGTTTCTATCGTAAAGCAGTTGTGTTTGCATGTCTGTGTTTCGGTTTGAAGGATAGGATCTGACGGTGAATTTGCAGAGTATAGAGGAATAACACCTGAGTCCTCAGGAATGGCAACGCATGGGGAGTATGATAGGCAAAACAGTATACTCTGTTATGCCCATGGTACTGCTCATGTCTATTGGCGACGGTTACCACTTTCCATCAGGTGAGCCGTCAGCTTATTTGCCATTCTAAGTTGCATAAACAAAAAAACGACAAATTCAACTATCTGAAGTTATCGCAAGAAATTATCGCGACCGCGTTATAAAACGTAAAAAATCTTATCTTTTCTTGACACACTTTTTCTACACAAATATATAAATTATAAATAAAAAAGCCTATTAATTTTTATTTCAGTACGTACTATTTTTTTTACTTTTAATGACTAGTTTATAAAAAATTGTATTACTAACAAAATATAATTTATTATTTCTAAGATATAATTAATTGTTATTAAATTATACGTATCTATTTTTTTTTCTTTATACTATAAAAAATATATATGCACTACATATAAGTTTAATATTCTTTACACGACCAACTTGCAACGATGCAGGTTGCATCCTATCGCCTTACAAGGTGCGTGCTCAAGTGGTTTTTCTTTAGGTCAGTACAGAGCCTTGCAAAATCCAGATTTATAAAGCTCTGTTTAACGAAGATTTTTTTGTTTTTGTTCACAGTGCCGTCGGTAAAACCTGTCTGCTCATCAGTTACACGACAAATGCCTTCCCGGGTGAATACATACCTACAGTGTAAGTATTATAAAATAAAATTAAAAAAAAATACATAATTATACATGAAATAAAAATAAAAATAATAAGCATTTTGCTCACTACTTCTTACGTGTAAATTTTCAGAAGTAAACCAATGAGATTTACTTCTTATATCCGAATAGACCAATTCTTGATGGCGTAACACAAAACATACACTAGATTTTAAATTAAACCTTTGGAAACAACTGTAAAAACTGTGTAAAAATTTTGTGTAATAATTTTTGCCTGATGCCGAAACAAATATACAGACAAAAAAAGTTTATATCTTCTTGAAAGGCTGGCGTTGCGTCGACTGCTATGGTATCGTTAGTACCCATGCTATAGCCTATGGGCATACGCATTAATACCCATCTGTCTGTCTGTTTATTATGTTATACAATATATTATATTTCGATAATTTAAAATTTTATTCCATAAAAAACGACATCAATCGTGAAAAAAAAAACAGTTATTTTGATTTCAAAACTACTGAACCGATTTTGATAAATTTTCTGTGATACCAATCTGAAGATATATTCTTTCATAAAAAAAAAAAAGAATTTTCCAAATCAGTTTATAAATGATGGAGTACTGAAGTAACAAACATGAAAAATTACAACAGAAATGAACCTACTCTTTTGTTGAAGACGGTTAAAAACTGTTGTGTCTATTAGTAATTGCATATGATTTAAAACAAATATTATTCCGATTCCAGATTCGACAACTACTCGGCGAATGTGATGGTAGACGGCAAACCAATCAACTTGGGGCTATGGGATACGGCGGGTCAAGAAGATTACGACCGCCTGCGGCCACTGTCCTACCCACAGACCGATGTCTTCCTCATATGCTTCTCACTCGTCAATCCGGCCTCCTTCGAAAACGTTCGTGCCAAGGTAAACAAAACTTAATTTTTTTATTGTACGTTAAAATAGTACAATTATAGTTAGTACAAAAACGTAAGAAATCCAATTTTTTTTTATACAACTTAGGCAAACAAGCTGACGGGCCGCCTGATGGAAAGTGGTAACCGTCGCCTATAGACATGAGCAGTACCATGGACATAACAGAGTATATTGTTTCGCCCATGATATCCCCCATGCGTTGCCATTCCTGAGGACTCAGGTGTTATTCCACTGTATCCAGTAAATTCACACCATATCCCACCCCACAAACCGAAACACAGTCATGCAAACACAACTGCTTCACGGTAGAAAGACGCATGGGACAGAGGTACCCAAGCAATCGACTTTTGTACAAAGTCTCCCTCTGGTAAATTTATCTGTAACAACTATATAGATACATATACATCTAGTTGTAATAGCTGTTGTATGGTCCAGACATACCAAATGCTTTCTTAATGATCGGTTGGGATTCGAGATACACAAACAAAACCACTTTCACATTAATATAAAGAATAACAATATTGTGTTTTCAATATGTGTGCTAAATTAATATGTTGCGATGTGTGGAGTCTTTTTTTTAGCCATGTAGGTCCCGGCATAGAATGGGCCACATCTTCCTTTCCCATAGGTTTAGTAAGAGGCAACTAGGGAGGACGAGAGATCGGCATCAGCGTCCCTCTTTTAATATCACCAAAAGCCAAACTGTCAAGCGTGGCAACCACTGGTAAAACCCCACTTATGGGGGGGGGGGAGGTCTATGTTCAGCAATGGACAGATAACGGTTCAAATGATGATAATGATAGTTGTACTCAATAGTTTATATTTATAATAAGTTTACTATTGTAATCTTTTGGAGGAAACAATAACGAATATCTATCTATATTTATAGATTTTTCTTCAGTGCAACCAGTGTTTGCGCTATAAAGAAAAACCATAGCTTCAATTATCACGAAGTTAACATAACTAAAATATCAAGTCAGGCAAATTGAGAACGTTCCTTTTGAAGTTGCCGCTCAATAAATGTGAAAGTGAGTTTGTTTATTACCGCTTGACGCCTCAACAGCTCAACTGTACGTAATTAAATTTGGCATACACGTAGTGTATGGCGTGTAGAAGGACGTAGGTTACTTTTTATTCCGGTCAATTAATTATTATTTATGTCCTAGTGATGCGGGCTAATTTGATTTTGAATCATAACTTTGTATAGGTTACATTCCACACTAGGGATAGACATGTATCCAGCCGTTTCTCTAAATATTTATGTTTTTGGCACAATAACAAAAGAATACGCATCATTTAAGTGTTTAATGATAATAATTATTTCAAAGCAATTTCGTTTGTTTTTTTTAATGGATAACAATGAAATGGTAACCCCATCTGCGCTATCGATATGCGCTTGCGGGGTACCAGTGTCAGATGATGTGTGCGGAGCAGGTCAGTAGGCCCATCGTGACGAATTCATTAAGAATAAATCACGATAGATAAAACATCACCGAAAGCCTAACTGCAGTTGTCAACCCGCTTGCCAAGCGTGGCAACTATTGGCAAAACCCCCCTTATAGGGGAGACCCATGTTCAACAGTGGATAGTTAACGGCTGATATGTGAAATCCCTTTACCAGTCGGAACCGCGTAGAACTCGCCCTGACATAGTATATTGCGAGCAATAGGACCGCTAGTCCCCACTAACAATATCTTCTTTCCTATTATGTGTGTGTGTATAATGAGGGAGTTATTAATAGGTATGCGATTATATTTATATCGTAATTCTGTGCGTATCAGGATATCAAAACTAATCTAATTGAATCAAACTAATATATCGCTGTATATCTTTTTTACAAGTGCAATAAAGTATATATATATACCTATACCTACCATTTTCCCTCTTTTTGTCTTAAAGTAATGAAAAGACCCAAATTGAAATTCACAAACAAATATTTTACATTATATTACGGAAGAATGTCAACCCTACTTAAAAATTAATAAATAATAATATTAAAGGATTATTATAAAATAAATAAAAAATAAATATAACTCACAATAGTTATTACTGTACCCGAATAAGTAGTTATTACTGTCGTGAGTCGTATTGAACAGCGCGCTGGTTGCGCAGTGCTGTTTGCGACACAGCCTTGAACCGCGCTCATGAATAAGGCTCCTGTTGATTTGAAAACTAGTCAGACAACACCGAATCTGAAACGTGTGTAAAGCTGATATAAACAATTACAATGTTAAATGATGTTCTGTTATGTATTCCAGTGGTATCCAGAAGTAAGGCACCACTGTCCTTCAACGCCTATAATCCTAGTGGGCACGAAGCTTGACCTTCGCGAGGACAAAGACACGATTGAGAAGCTGAAGGACAAGAAACTCGCGCCCATAACGTACCCGCAGGTAAATATAGCATAATATTAGTATAATAAATGCGAACGTTTGCAACGGTCGATGGATGAATGGATGTTTGTTACTCATTCATGCAAAAATTACTGAACGGATTTCAATGAAATTTTGTTCATGATTAGGTATTATTGTTGAAAGTTTACTAAGTACACATTATATTTTAATTTCATAAATATCAGTTTAACTTATGCGTAATTTCATCGAGAAAGATCAACTAGTTTCGGGACCATTCAAGACCCTTAGTTTGGAGCGGCTGTGACGCGAGTACGAGCGTGATAATTATTATAACATTAAAAGACGGCTAGGTTATATCGTAACTTAGCACATAAGATAATTTAAGTATTGATTCACGCGGGCAAAGCCGCGAGATACAGCTAGTTATATATATATAGTAATATCCATAAGTTATAATGAGAAAAGTTCACGAGTTTCGGAGGTAATTATAGAAACTACTTGAGCTATTTTTGGTTGAAACACAAAGGAATTAAAATGAGATTATAACGGAAAGGGTCCAAAATGACCTTTTCAATCTTGATACCCATTATGTTATGACCTTGTATTAGTAGTAACTCGATTAGGGTTGTGAGGGGGAAAACTGGAATTTGCGATACCGTTTGTGGGAATAGCTAGTAATCGTTTTTTTTTATGATATTTAGAATAGCAAACAAGGTAACGGCCTGTCTAATGCACTATCCATCACATCACTGTCACGTATAGACATGACTATCACCATGGACATTGCAGAATACACTATAATGCCCATTATATTTCTCATGATAATAATCTGTCTAGTATTAGACTATTACCAGTGTAATCCCTGCTGAATAGCTGTTTTATAATTTCGTAGGTTTTGTACCTCTCGTGTTGAATGTTGTAAGGCAGTTTTCAATACTTTTATTTTAAAGAAAATTTGTAGTTGCATGTTTCAATTTTAGATATATAATACTTATCACATTTAATGCTCCAATTACAGGGTTATCAAATCATTATATCTAGTTACTAAGGGCGGTCACAATGTATTTTGTGATATCTATTCATGTCGATAGGCAACAGTTACGCTGGTGGACTACCAGTAAGAGATAATAGGTAAAGGCGAAGTCAAGTTAGCTGGCCCATTGTAATGAATTCATCAAGAATTATTCATGATTCTGGGAAGAACCAAACCCTGCCTATACACATGCTAGCAGGGTCCAATTAGGGGTGAAAAGAAAGGATGAAAGCAGAAAACAGCCCATTGTGACGACGAATCACGAATTCATCAGGAATTAACCATGATGGCTTCTAGGGGAGACCACACGGAGGTATATTGCTAGAAATGAAATTGTTAGATCCCATTACTAACAATCCCTTTCACTCCAACCATGTATATAAGGGACGACTGGCCCAATCATTAACAATCTTCTTCCTCTCGATCTTAATGAGTATATGCCCTCCGATTCAGGGTCTTGGCATGGCGAAGGAGATCACAGCGGTGAAGTACCTGGAGTGCTCGGCCCTGACGCAGAAGGGCCTGAAGACGGTGTTCGACGAGGCGATCCGCGCCGTCCTGTGCCCCTCGCAGCCGATCAAGTCGCGAAGTCGGAAGTGTAGTATTCTGTAATTTCGCCGCTGAAGTCACGTTACATGGTATGTGATATGTTATTACTAATTTTTACCTGCGGCTTCGTCTCTGTGACTGGAACATATTGACTGACCGAGATAAAAGTAACCTATATCCTTCTTCGTAGTAAATACTACAATGTACACCAATTTTCATGACAATTGCTTGAGCAGTTAAGGGAGACCTTATTATTATTAGTAAGGATATTACTTATTTATATTCGTGGCTCATGGGCGATTATTTTTTTTATTTTATTTTTTTTAATTTGAGACATTTTACCACAATAAAATGCATGTATATGTATTATATGTATTTGAAAATTTAAAATAAAAACTTGTGTTAATTAATTAATAGGGGTCGATTTTAGTCCTTGTCGACCCCCAATATCAGTTTTGGTATATGGCGACCCCAAGGTTGTCTTAGTTTTAAGTTTTAGGTATCCCTGAGATAGATAAACTCACTGTTGACATCGAGAAATAACATAGATTACCTTGCTAAATGATGAAAAACAAACAGTATATAACATACGAGTGATGTAATCGATTTTTTATCATTATGTGGGAAAGTGAAACATGTGTACCGTGTGAAAGTGCAATATGTATTCTGTGTACATAGAATTAACAAAATCAATAGTTCATTTTTAATACAATTGTTAATAGATACACTGACCACACAAAGCCGCCAGTACAAATTGTATTCTAGTAATATAATGCAATATTTTTCATCATCATCGTCATCATATCAGCCGTTATCTGTTCATAGGTAGACATAAGCCTCTAAGACTACCATAAGTAACCGGGACCATTCATTATGGCATTTTTTTATTGGTGGAATTTTAGTACTACGCTTAACGTACCAGTAGTAACTACGCTTGGCAGGCGGATTGGCAACCGCAATTAGGCTTTGGTGATGTTTTAAAAGAGACGTTGATGCCCTTCCCTCGAGCATTAAGTTCCTTTAGTCGCCTCTTACGACACACACTTTACTTTACTCACGAGACAGGAAGGGGTGGCCTATTCTATGCGAGGACCATCATGATGGGATGAAAACATTTCCAAAGCCTAACTGCGGTTGTCAATCCGCGTGCCAAGCGTGGCAACTATTGGCAAATCCCCTTTTAAGGAGAAGCTTATGTTCAGTAGGATACATAGCATTCCTCATGCGTTGCTATCCCTGAGAACTATGGTCTAACTCTTGTAATTTATCTATTTATTTTTGTATTATATCTTGTAATTTTGTTACTATTACAAATTGAGAATGCCTTATCAGTGCCCAAATTAAATAAAATGCAATATTTTCTTTTCAGAATCATGTAGCCAACGTCGACGCCAGTGTAAACAGCATAGCTTTTAAACATAGCGCACCAAAAGAACCGTCTCCACCTTGCAGTTGGACACAACAGTGTGCTAAACAAATGGACTGCAATAAATGCATACTTAGACGTTAATTTTTACTGTTTAATACATATTATTAATTGTAACGTGGGTTGGTGTGAGTGGAGTCCGTAATGTAATCGCTTTTATATAATCCGAATGAATTTTATGGGGCACTGACTGAGTCTATGGCACTTGTCGTTTTTTAATATTGAAAGTAGGCAATAACGTTACGTCGCGCGCGGTTCATATTAAAAACCTTATGTTACAGTACCGTTAAAGGTATGATGCGAAAACATTTTCAGTGACATAAATACTTTATGCACGCATATAATGCTCTTTATTTTTTACAATATCACCTTATTATTTCAGTATCATACGAGTTTACCGTCACGATATAATAAAAGCCAAAACTATTCTATAGAGACGCTTAATTTTCTACGATGATTGGAAACGGAATTCACCACCAAAATACGTATAGTAAACATATGTTTTGCGACTTTTATTTTGGTGTTCTGGTCGTAATCATCGAAGGAAAGAAGTTGATATAATCTATTATTTCTGAATATTCTAATTTTCTTTATACATATTTGATTTACTATTATACTGTGAATATCTCTTAGTTTCTCATCTGCGAGCGATTAGAAATTTGCTTGTTGAAGTATGCCGAATATTTTCAAATACGCATCATATCTTAATAGGGGTATTGTGAACAATCAGGATCCTGTTTTAATTTAAACGCTTTGTCCTCGCGATAAGTTCATACAAATAAAAGTTACATTCCTACATTGTTGCTGAAAATAAACTGTTACATTCACTACAAATTGTTCTTTTTCTTCTGTTTATCTTAATATTGGTGATTAATATGGAATTGTTGAAATTTGTGTTAGACAGAGATTATATTTTTCGATTTATTATTACTTATTTTTGTTTCCCATTGTTGTATTTCATGTGTAGGTGTCGGATAAGTACAGTATTTGTTAAGGGCCATTTATTTGATTCGTGTTCATATTAATGGGTCAATGTAAGCAACCGGTATAGGTCCATTCGATGTTTCCACAATTTGAATCGATTATCGATTGGTTAATACTGCTTGGGCTTCCGTCAAGGCTGAGGCGTCTTGTGTTGTCGATGTTTGAAATGTTGTGACAGCATTTATAAATACTTCTGCAGTATTTTTTTTTTTTATTATGAGAAACATCAAAAATTTTATGTTAGAACCACACTCGCGTCTGTTGTAAGGAAGGTTCGCTTAGTCATACGAAAATATGAATTCACGTCAGTTATTGTTCTTGTGCTTGTACATTAGAGGTTTTGGCGCGTTATTAATTATTTATTTATTTACATAACAGAGGTACAGTTATAAATATGATGTTGTAAAATTTGTAGTATGCTCTGTATTACAATCATGGGATGCATAGATATTATTACATAATATTTAACAATAATTAATAAATTGTTAATGTAAAAATTATTATTATTATTATTGAGTTGACTGGAAGAGATCTCTGTCAGAAACAATACGAAACAATGTAATTTACAAATGCAATAAAGTATATATATAATCTTTCAACTATGTACTATCGGACTTGCGTTGTTTATTTAGATTGACTTCACTTCCAATGGATTATACTATTATAAACGTAAAATATTCTAAAATGAATAGTTGTAGGGCATCATTTAAAAAAAAAAATTCGTCAAGGCTTTCAAATCTAAATAAATATCTAAATTATCTAGCCTCCTCTTATTAGTAAAGTATAATAACTAACGATAAAATATACCAACCTTAGGCACGATATTTCTCGTTACAATGGATTCAGGTGTGATCCCAACATAAATCGTTTTATTTTTCTTAATCGATTATAAATACCTTCGGTATACAGGTCCTCAGCTTTGATAGAACATTAGTTTTAAATACCGCATATTCGATATGTAAGCCTGCGTGTATGAATGGCCAATACATTAGAGATACATATCGTCGATGGAACTAGTTAAGCTGTAAGGGACGATGCGCATCGGCAATTAAATCGATTCCTAATCGATAGTTCTGTATAAAAATCGATTTGGCTACAGATAAACGATTGCACAAACTGCGTAGTCTATGGTTATGCCGTATTGACACGATCAGAGTATACTCGGACCCAGTAAACTCGCACGAGTTCACACGAATAGTAATGAACACAAGAAACTAGTAAATCTGTTATAAACACTTGATTTGTTAAAATTTTCGAGTTAACGCAATCTGAGTAGAATTAGATCAGAACGCCATAACCCAGACTGCTCGAATATGATTTCGATTATTCAAATAGTTTGTATATACCAAGCTAGTGATGTACTCTGATCGTGTCAATACGGTATTTAGTACTACCCACAGATGCAGCTATATGCTTCGCTTGGAGTTTTATCGATTACTTTTTAATGAGACGGTGATTAAAAACATAAGTGACCGTTCTTATTAGTCGTAATTTACACCGTCTAGTTGAAAAATGTAATCGATATATTAATCGCCAATAAATTAAAAGTGCATTGTATTGATGAACGGTGTACTGTGTATCGCACAATTCTAGCATTACTCGTTAATCGAGTCCATACGGACGGCATACGACGCTATTCGTTCGTTTAGACTCGATTTTGTAACTAACACTACATTCCGGGACCATAACGTGTTAGTTACTTTAATAAATGGGTTAAGTAATAAAGATACAATACGGCGTCAAGCTTCTAATTATTACGATAAGAATATTAAAAAAAAAAAAAACTAATTCATACATAAATAAATTTTATGATTCTGGAATGTAGTTTTTAGTATTCATGGGAGATGGCATTTTTCGCTGAAAATGTGATAACGGATTTAGGCTTTAATTGACTGCCGTGACTGGGCGGCCTCTAAGCTTTTCGGTTTCTTTCTATTTTACTAATGCTTTTAACTTTGTAATACACCGTTTCTTAATATAATAAATGGCATCAAGTTAATTACAGTCTAAATCCACTCCTAAATATATGTTTAAACTAAGGTGAAATAGTACACATAAGTTTTCGTTTAAGGTGTGCAATTGTTACTGCTTGCTTCATGTTCCGACACGCGTGTAGTCAGTAGTGTTCTCGAGAAGCTTCAAATCAAACGGAATTCACAATACCAATATGTTTGAAGCCATGATTAAGAGCGTTTTACCACAGCGTATAAAACAGCGTTTGTCTGTTGTCTGTCCATTTTGAAACTTATTTCAACTATTTATTGATGTCTCTTATCGATTATTTTAAAATTGGTTTTCGTTTACCCTAAAACGTTAATCATACAATAAGTTGCACGAAAACTAATCACTATTTTGATTTTGAAGTTTCTATCATCAAATTATTAAATTTCAGTGACAGTTCTATAGGATATTTATTGCAAGGTTAATATTTACATACATTTGTTTGCTATGAGAGCACATTTGAAATTTTTATCAAAAGTCTATGAAATTGTTAAATTGTTTTAGTTTTGACAGTTAATACAAACGTCACTAGTGTTGTAAATGGACCATACGCTGACGCGTTTTTTTTTATCTCTTTCACTACAGTTTGAAAACGAGATAGAATTTGTTGGCTTCAATTTCGTGTTTACCGTGTTATCTCCATTTGCTTTTAAACTTCCTGACTGTAGACCTGACAATTATGATGCCATGGACACAATTTTTTACTCTGTAGGTAAAACTATGTTCTTCTATACTTTATCTATGATCTATCAATGAAAGCACCAACAATTGCACAAAGCATACAACTTATGAGATAACATTTTAATGTATGTATTGTTCAGATGCAAATATTTAGAAGAATCAGAATGTAAATAACGATGATTTAGTATTAACTGAAAGTGTATAATCTAATGCGCCATTATCTTTGGCGACGCATTTTTTATATAACTGAAACCATTGTAGGGGGCTTTGACTGTGCATTTTTATATAAGTTGAAAATTGTTAAAAAAATTATAATACTTTTATGTATTCGATTGTTTCTTTTTCTCGTATGTAATCTAATGTAAGAATTGGTAACTACATTTTATTGTAAGTATATATTGAATTTGAATTCACACGAGCTAACAATGAACATGTTTTACACACTTAATCTGTAAATGGTTAAATCTGCATAGAATCGAATTCATTATTAACAGAGATAATTGTAATTACGATGAATAAATAATTTATTATTTTATTGCTTTACGATTATAATTTATTGACATACGTTGTCAATAAATTATATATACGAGTTTAGAAGTCGGGAAGATATACCAAGGTTAATCTGTAGTACATCAATTATTAAAACTGTCAGTTAAAATATTACTCTACGACTTGGTTGTAAGAAGCAAAATCGGATGAACTCTAATGTAGTTTGAAATTATGTCACAATTATTTTATGCTAAATAAAAGATTGTGTATAATAATTCTCTTAGTACATTTGATAGAATGGAACGTCTAATCTGATCTGTTAATGAAGGCGACAATTATTGTAAATGTAAGGTTTTTTTTTAAATGCAGATTTGTCTCAGGACAGATTCTAAAATGCTATCAATCAGAGGCACATACTTAGACTTTGTCTCAAGAATACATACTATAAGAAGTATAACAGTGAATCACTGTACAGCTGTATCACTGCATTGATTGGGTAATATGAGCTTTGTGACTCATAACTCATATGAAGATGACATTGTACCATGTCGTTGTTAGCGAGTGAGTGACATTAGCCTCGTTTTGTAATAATTTCTGCCATATATACTGACGCATTGTATCTATCGGTGTTCACTACATAACCATATATGCTAAAACATAGTATTCATATATAAAAATATGCTAGCATCCTGTTTAGATCTGAGTGCTTCTGCTGTAATTTGTTATATAATACAAAAGTGGGATAATCAGATTTTTAACTAAATACTTGAAACCCTTAGGCATTTATTACGTACATAATAATTATATGAATATAAAATATGGATGTGAAATTTTAAAAGCAGTATATTAAAAATTGAAATGTATACAGAAGAGCTCTAACTAAAACGATGCGGTATTTTTTTAATTATCCCGCCTATTTTAATGTCCACTGTTATCCGTATTTAATCCGTAAATTGCTTGTATAATATTATTTTTATACAAATGAAATTGGATAAGGAACTTGTGTCGTATTAAAATGCAATCGATAGATAAGTATAACGCTGTCGGTAATTCTTCCAAATATTGTAAAGCCTCTGAATAATTCAAATTATATTTATATTAACTGTTCAAATGTGAGTTTTTAATTTATTCTCCAATTACTTGTATCCCACGCCTTCACTCACGTGAATTATTTATTTATTTTACACTTTATGGCACCGATTATAAAATACGTAAAAAATAAAATAATAAATACAGTAATTTTTATTATTGGGATAATATAAAGTTTCCATTTAAGATTATATTTTCTAACAGAGATATATATTCTTTACAGAGATATATATTCTTTACAGAGATATATATTGTTTTTTTTATACAACTTAGAATGGCAAACAAGCTGACGGCCCACCTGATGGAAAGCGGTAACCGTCGCCTATAGACATGAGCAGTACCATGGACATAACAGAGCACACTATTTCGCCCATGATACCCCCCATGTGTTGCCATTCCTGAGGACTCAGGTGTTATTCCTCTGTACCTAGTAAATTTACGCCATATCCTTCAAACACAGCCATGCAAACACAACTGCTTCACGGTTGAAACACGAATGTGACAGAAGTACCCAAGCATTCAACTTTTGTAGAGTCTTCCTCTTTCTATATATTCAATTCAACTACTCATGAACGTCAACGCTGTGTCAGTTAATTTGCATTTTTATTACATTTAATTATTTCTATCTTAGTAAAATTTCTGCGTTCATCAAAAGAAAAAGGCCAAAGCTATAGTTTTGGTATGTCTAGAATAAACAAATTGCGAACAGCTGACGTTTGTGTGGCGACGACACAGTGGCGTGCGAAGTATTCTACCTTATTAGAAAAAGATCGTACATAAGTGAGCGTAGATATTTATTCTGAATCTATAGTGAATATCCTATAATAATAATAGTGTTTAAGTCTAAATACCATACATACTGTAATAGCGGTTGGACTACAAAATGTCAAATGTACATTTTGTATACTTATTGGTAAAACGTAGGATTTCAATTCTTTTGGCTCGATAGAATGAAAAGCAACAACCAATTGGTTGATCTTTAAGGTAGGAGAAACAAAACAGTGACTATCTGGAGCATAGACTTAGTATAATGTATTACGTATCTGGAGGCACAGTCCAGAACGCCTAAACTCGAGTCAATTTACAAATGTTCGTTCACATAATCTAAGATTCATAAATAAATGCCCTTGTGTATATATATATATATATATATATATATATATATATATATATATATATATATATATATATATATAATTTCAGCCGTTAACTGTCGACTGCTGGACATAAACCTTCCCCATAAGGAAAGTTTTACCAGTAGTTGCAGGCGGGTTGGCAATCGCAGTTAGCCTTTTAAAGATGTTTTAAAAGGGACGCTGCTGCCCATCCGTCGCCTTCAGTCGCCTTTTACGACACCGCTGGGAAAGGGAGGGGTGGCCCATTCTATGGCGAGAAACACACGGCGAATAGATATATATATTAAATAATTATAAATGCAACGCATAAAGTGTATCATGGGCGACACATTATGCTCTGTTATGTCCACGGTACTGCTCATGTCTACAGTCCGTAGTACCGTCGTCTATACGACGGTTACCACTTTCCATCAGGTGGGCCGTCAGCTTGTCGCCTTTTTAAGTTATATACAATCAATATTATTTTTACCTGTATAACGCCATATAGTAGTATTCTGAGCAAAGCTTATTTTGAGTACTAAACAACTTAAATACGCATTATCAACAGAAGACCAGATCTAAACCGAAACAAACAGATAAATAAAATAAATAATAAGACAAATATTCATAAATATAAATGTATTTATTGTACGCGACTCGAAGTCACGACCTTCATAATTATCTTGGGGGTGTTTCACCCGCTACACTACCAGGGTCGTCAACATTATAAATGACATATTTGAGTATATTTTAACGCTAATGGAATTTCTGGCCTAAGAAGCATGCGTGTCCTGGACGGCACAGTTTAATTTATGACAATTCTTTCGCTGGTTTTATAATTAATGTACCTCTTTTGTCAAATCAATCAAAACATATAATTAAATCGTAACTGGTCGCTGTCTGTACATGGAAGATATATAAGAAAAACGATTATATAACGCTTTATAAACGAAATAGGACTCGAAACAATTATTTTTAGAATTTTTGTCTGTTTGTCTGTACGCTTGTGCACGCTAATCTCAAAAACGGCGTAGCTGATTGGCGTTGAATGCGGTTTTCACTAATGCGTTGCGGTTTGCTCCATTTAACATTTATGTAGTGTTTATTTTATTTCAATCGGTTCATGAATAAAAAAGTTATATTAATCTAAAGAATCACATACAAAATGCTATAAAATAACCGATCAGTTGAATCGACTGAAACTTTTTTTTATTATATGTATTGATTTTCGAAAATTCTGACTACTCCTGCGAAGCCGGGTCGGATCGCTAGTATTTAAATATATCATCAAAAATATATGAGTAGCTTAGAAAAATCAGATTTAGTAAAAAAAATAGGTCAAATGATTACTCACTAGATTGTGATGACTCGAGATGATAGCGTGGCGCTTTTGTAATTAATTCTATTTGATAAAACGGTCAACAATGTATAAAGTCAATAATAACTGGTCTTACGACATACGAGATAACAGCAACTCAAGAAAAACACGATCGGTTTGCGATTGTATTCGCGTTTATTAGTAACTAGCTCGTCACTCTTTGTCAGTCGTGAGTGCCGCACTGCCAGTGAGCAGTCCACTGCGTCTGCGCACATCGTTTATCTATAAACAAAGCATTAAAAATACTAACGCAAAAATAGACAATCGATAATATATTCTTATTTTAAAATGGCAAAACTTTTGAGCAAGGAGCTCCCTGATATTGAGGTGAGTACACATATATTACCTAAACATTCTTAATCGAAATCATCCAATTTTTCTTTTGTGTGTAATCAGTATCAATGTCATATGCTATTTGGTATTCCCTTCCCTATCTTAACATTCAATATTATCTGTATAAGGCCAAAATTATACTTTAATGGATGATAATGGCATGGTAACAGTGCCTGCGGTATCGGTATACGGTGGCAGAATACCAGTAAGGATTTATAGGTGAGGATGAAAGCGGGTCTGTTGCCCCATCGTGACGTGCTGGTTTTGAGGAGGGATCGCGTGTTGACCCACCTGACAGGATATGTTGCTAGCATGAGCATTTCTAGTCCTCGTTAACAGGGTAGGAAAGGGATTGTTAGCAATGGAGTATTACAGCTCCATTGCTAGCAAATATGCTTTATTAGATCAACCTCCACGTGGTTCTCCCTGAAAACCATCGTGAAAAATTCTTGTTGAATTCGTCACGATAGGCTAACTGACCTAATAGGGAGGTTTCTTTTAAGTTTTGTCTATATTATGAATCAGAATTGGCGCCAGTTCTGAACCGATTTTAGATAACAACTCCTTTTGTAAAGGGGGGAAAGGGATTGTTAGTAATGGAGACTGAGAATCCCATTGTTAGCAATATACCCAACCAGGTCGACCTCCTCGCGGTTCCCCCTGGAAACTATCATGGTTAATTCCTGATGAATTCATCATGATTGGCTAACTGACCTGTTTTCATTCTCATCTATCACCCTTCACTGGTGTTCCACCAACGTATCCTGTTAGCGCAGGTGGGGTTACCATACCATTATCACCCATAAAAAAAAAATCCTTTTGTAAAATGCCTTTAGAAATATTATGAAACTCATTACAAATAATATTTATATAGATGTTCGTATATAGGTACCTAGTTTAGGTAATCTTGTTTTAATTGATTAGGCAATTAATTAACATAAAAATTCTTTTTATTCTTGCGTTGTTTGTTTACTCTTAGCGTTGTTATTTCTGAGTATGAACAAATAATGGTATGCGGTCATATCGAATTTGTTTAATATGTATATACCAAATTTGAAGACAAACATAATAAGTCCTGTTTAATGTATTCTTTTGACAACGTAATAAGATGGTTTGAAAATTATCTAGTCGCAAAATTAAATGTATTAATAATTAATTAATTCATGTACTCGTAATCCCAATATAGAGTTACCTAATGCCCCAAAACTGAGGTATTTCTAGATCAATCTATCATGTTGGCTGTACAGTTTGTAGTTCTGGAACACTGGGTTTTTTTTTTACAACACAGGGGGCAAACGAGCATGCGGCTCACCTGATGGTAAGTGACTACCGCCGCCCATGGTCACCCACAACACCTACGGCATTGCAGGTGTGCTGCCGGCCTTTTAAAAAGGAATATGCTCTTTTCTTGAAGGTTATGTTGTCGTATCGGTTCGGGAATACTACTGCTGGTCTCCAAGTAAAATTATTGTATCATACAGATGTCTGCTGGAAGAGAACTCTTGCAGAGTTAATCTCGCCTTTGTACATTTGCTTTCCACTGTCATATTTCTTTATATATTATTAGTTATTTGTTTGTAACACTTTATTGTACAGTTAAGTAGTATTAGTGTGATACAAATAAAATAAATAAACAAAATTAATTTGTAAAGAGTATCTACCATTATTGCCATGAAGTTAGTAGTGTCATTTACCACTATTATAGGTATAATCATCATCATCATCATGATCTTTAACTGTTCACTACTGAATATAGGTCTCCATAAGGGGGGGGGGGGTAACCAGTAGTTGTCACGCTTGGCAGGCGGGTTGACAACCGCAGTTAGGCTTTGGTGACATATTATGAGGAACATTACTTCCATTCTTTAACCATTAAGTTCTCCTAAATTGCGCTTACGACACCCACGAGAAAAGAAGGGGTGGCCCATTCTAAGCCGAGACCGACCATACGGCTACTATAGGCATCTAAACTACAAAATCCTGAAAAAATACTCATACTAAGAGAATTTTCTTATATTATTAACTATTCATTTAATTTAAAATTATTTACTAAAAGATTTTTTAAACTTAATTTAATACAGCGGTTATGTTTAAAAGTTATTATTTAGTTATCGTTACTATAAATTACTTTTACAGAATCTGCTAAGATTAAATCCGACAGTGAAACAATATTCGAACGTGCTGCCGTCTGCGCAAACGAAAAAGAACAAGCAACATTGGAAGAGAAATGCTGACAGAAAGTGTACTGTAAGTATAATTAAGATTGTGTTCCACATAAAAAAAAAAAACTACATTAGTTGTAATAAAACCAGTAATTTTGATTTAAAAACTTAACTAGTGAACCGATAATGATAACATTTTTATGGGACGAATCGGTAACTCTATCCTTACAGATAAAAAATAAAATTTTTCAAATCAGGTAACAAACATAAAAAAAATACAACCTAAGTAAGAATCTCCTTCTATTTGCACAAAAGTCCCAAATATCTTTCTCCAAAATAAGAGGATATCAGTTTATTTTTAGAAGTGTTTTTTTAATAAACACTTAAACATACAATTTATTTTTTCTATATTTTATTTTTACTTAACTGTAACTATTTGGTTTCTTAATTAATAAATTGCGACCAAATGAATTGTCTGACAAGGATTTTATTTAGCTTTGTGTATAATTTTATTGTCTTATAGTTACGTATATAGTATAACTGTACCAATGTGCAGACATAATTGGTACACTTATCATTTGAAATATTATGTAATTATGTAATAATATAATAACATATCTATTATATTTTTAATAGTAGTAACTTAGCTTATTTCAATGTTGCACAAATCTAGGAACTATCAAAACACCTAGATTAGATGTACGTTATCAGTACCTAAATAAGTTAAACTAAGTATTCTAGTTAATAATGATAAGGTACAAAATCAATTCGATAATTGCATTATCTTCTGCCACGTGACACTAAAATCTAATAAAGTAAATAATCAAACTATCTTTAACCAAACATTCCTGCAAAGACTGTCCTCAAATATCATCATATGTAGACTGACATTGTTGATTAATTTGTTAAGAATTCAGGTACATAAAAAATGTAGCATAACGCTCTTGTAAATTATTTTACTGTTTGAATTTACTCCCTGATTGAACAATAAAAATACAATAAAACACACACACACACACACAGAGAGAGAGAGAGAGAGAGAAAGAGAGAGAGAGAGAAAATAATAAGATTCTAATATCAACATTTTAAAATGTCAAATGTCAGCGAAATTATACTGATGTGATTTGAAATATTACATTTTCTTTTACAGACATGTCCAACTTTAGTAAATAATTTTGACGATATAAAACACACGACGTTGTCGGAACGAGGTGCTTTGAAGGAGGCGGCGAGATGCCTCAAGTGTGCTGATGCTCCGTGCCAGAAGTCATGCCCCACGCAGATCGATGTCAAGAGCTTTATTACTAGCATCGCCAACAAGGTACCTACAGAGACAACACATGAAAATCATAGCCTAATAATTGGATAATTTTATGCAACTTACAATGGCAAACAAGCTGACGGCTTACCTAATGGCAAGTGGTAACCATTGTTTATAAACATGAAAAGTACCAACGATATAACAGAGTATACTGTTTCGTTAAAAAGTAATGCGTTAGCATTCCTGAGGACTAGGGCGTTATACTTCTGTACCTTGTAAATTCACTGCTATATCCCATCCTTCAAACCGAAACACAACCATGTAAACACAACTGCTGATTGAAATAGGTGGGGTTTCAAGTCGACCATTAATGTTACAACGGAACGGCACCTACTCTTTTCAGTATCTTTTCCGAATTATCTTTTCAGAATGAAGTCATCGTGTTTTATTGAAGTTCACTTCAAGAAATTACTACAAGTTGTTAAAGCTTAAGTGGGTCACAGAAATTTTTGAACATCTCTGTAAATTATTGATGCCCATTAATTCTTCTCTTTCCGCGTCTAGGGAAAGTAGATAAAGTTTTGTTTGAGAAATCAGTTCAGGGTACAATAGGACTGATATACCTGAAGAAGGTAAAAGCCCTTAAAAAAAACATCCAGATGTAAAGGCAATGATAGTTAACACATAATCTGCTTGGACATAGAAAAGTAGGATGTACCTAATATATTTTTATTTAGGTAAATTATAGCGTCGTGTGGTCCCGGCATAGAACAGGCCACCCTTTCTATTCCTTGGGTGTCGTAAGAGGCGACTAAGGGAACTTCAAGGTAGAGGCATGGGCAGCAGCATCTCTCTTTAAATATAACTAATGCCAAATGCGATTGCAGATCCACCTGCCAAGCATGACAACTATTGGCAAAACCCCCAATAAGTGAAGACCCATGTTCAGCAGTGGACAATTAACAGCTAATATGATGATGATTAACAAATTGCTCCAGCTTCACAGAAATGTAATTTGTGCATATAATACATATCTTAGGTAAAAAAATTTAGAAGGCAATGATACCTGTGTATATCAAAACCCGTTGCGTGTTTCAGGAGAAGTAAGCGAGGAATCAGACAGACGCAAACAGTGACTTTATTTTGACTTTAAAAAAAAAATTATTTTAACAGAATTACTATGGAGCAGCAAAGGCCATTTTATCGGATAATCCCCTGGGCCTCACTTGCGGTATGGTGTGTCCCACTAGCGACCTCTGTGTCGGAGGCTGCAACCTTCATGCCAGCGAAGAGGGAGCTATCAATATTGGTGGACTACAACATTTTGCTGTTGAAGTAAGTATTATCATCATCATAGGTTATATTAGTACGAAGTTAGTTTTTTTGTATCAAGAATACCGGTATTTCTTCAAGGAGTTGAAGGATTCTAATAAGTTTGAATTTCCAAGTCGAATAATTTGAAAAGAATTGGAAGGCATTTATTTCTTGATGGGGATCGTAATGTTTAGCCTTTTAGGTAACGTTGAGTTACCTTATAATCTACACAAAACATTTCTTTTTAGTGTTTTAGTAATTTTTAACTTCATTTCAGTTTCGCCTCATTATTTTTTAAAACAATCTAAGCTATACTTTCCCAATAACAGAACTTAACTGCATTTTACATCAGCGACTTCTGCGGCTAACACCAGCCGCTATTTATCGCATCAATATATACCCCCATTCTCAAGTCATTGGCAAAATATAGCTTATATATGGCTCTTGTTACTAAACAAGTCTTTTACAGACATTCATGAAGATGGGAATCCCGCAAACTTTGGATCCTAACACGAAGCCATTACCAAAAGGCGGAGACCAGAAAATAGCGTTAATAGGAGGCGGCCCCGCCAGCATAAGCTGTGCTTGCTTCTTGGCCAGGCTTGGATATAAAGACATTACCATTTATGAAAAGGAGAAATACCTCGGCGGATTAAGGTACTATTTGATCATTCCAGTAAATTTTTCGATAAAACACGCTTAGTCTAAAGGTAGTCCTAAAGTCGGTATGTTCAAGTAGGTATACTTTAAAGAAAGCGTGACAATTAAGTATTGTTCAAGCATGGATATCATTAAGAATAATGATAATCATCATCATCATCATATCACCCGTTAACTGTCCATCGCTGAACATAAACCCCCATAAGGATTTTGGCAGTGGTTGTCGTGTTTGGCAGGTGGGTTGGCAACCGCAATTATAATTTGGTGATGTTTAATCCCTCGACCATTGAGTTCTTCTTAGTTGCCTCTTGTGACACTCATGGGAAAGAAAGTGATGGCTCATTCTACGCTGGAACCACATTGCGATTAAGAAGCGAGTAAGCTTATTCCCAAATTTATTAAATGTGAATATAAAAAAAATACAGTAGTATATTCTGTGGCTAAATAAACATAATATAACTTAAGAAGATTTCAGTAATTTATTTATTATCTAATACCTTATTTAATTAGAAATAAAGACTTAACTTCTGCAAATCGATAAGTGCATGTAAAAAAATTTAGCAGTGTGATGCCGGCATAGAAAAAACCATCTCTTTCTTTCTCATGGATGTCGTAACAGATGACTAAGGGAACTTAATTGCCGAGGGATAGGAAGCAGCGTCCCTTTTAAAACATCGCCAAAGTCTAACTGCGGTTGTCAATACGCTCGCCAAGCATGGCAACTACTAGCAAAACCTCCCTTATGGAGGAGGGTTATATTCAGCAGTGGACAGTTAACTGATATAATAAAAATAATAATAATATAAAAACATCAATCTGATATTAAAACCTGATTAGATAACTGGATACTGGATACAGTCGACAGCTGTTACTTACCTACAATGTTTTTAATAAATAAATATTTGTTCAATAGATTCACATGATTTTCGTTTCAAAAACATTTGAATCGAATATTGAAAAAGACGCATGACGATGTAACCTTTACCCATCTCGTACCTACACGACTTAGGTATGTGGAATTTGCGGCTACACGTTTCGGATTATAAAAGGGTTTTTAGTAGGCAATCCACTAAAAACCCTATTAGCTCCTTTTATTCAGTCCATTGAAATATATGTATGAGGGGTTGAGGTAACAGTGGTCTAGATGTACATACTTAAGTGATTCAAGACCAAATATAAGTTTATTGCTCGGCCCTTACTTCCTTTTACTAACAATCCCCTCCTTAAGGTTTAGATTAGCAACTCTATTACTAGCAATATGCTCTATCAGGCCGACCTCCTCGCGGTTTCCCTTGAAACCATTGTGATTGATTCATTAGTGAATTTGATACGATGGACTAACTGACCTGCTTCATCACTTATCATCCCTCACTGATGCCCCACCAGTGTATGCCGATAGCGCGGGCGGGGTAACTATTCCATTATCATCCATTAAAAAAGCAATCCTCTTCGTCTGGAGACTGGTCTGGTCTCCGTCTATTATAAAATAACTCTGAATATATTGTTGCAGTTTATCGGAAATACCGCAATATCGTCTCCCATTCGATGTGGTGCAATTCGAAGTAAACCTGGTCAAAAATTTAGGTGTAAAATTTGTGACAGGCCGGAAACTATCTACAAAGGATATCACCGTCGATGTGAGTTACTGTCTTCTGCTTATTTCTTTTTAACGCTTATTTGTTTTCCGTATTTCACATCACCTTAGACACTCATTTAAGAAAAATTCTAGAGCTAAACCTTCATGTACCTCCTCTTTTTATAGTCTGTACGACTGATAACATGTAAGAGGAATCCTATGTGACTACCGAGAGGTAGTGGCAGATTTTTTTTATTTAATCGTACGGTATATAAGTCGTTCTTATAATTATTATAAATTCTTGCTATTCTATGCTTCCGAACCACCTTCATAGATCAGAATCCGCGACAAATTGTCCCTAATAATATTACTTTTGTATTAGTTTATTACAACTTCAAGATAGCCTTATTTTTACGTCAGTTCGTTCATTTACTCCGAAAAACCAGCTTTATTTTTTGCTTATTTTTCTTTATGAGTGCAATAAAATATTACAAAATCAACTGTAAGCAGTAAATATTCATGGTCATAATCCACCTAAGACAGCCGACCGCTGTATATACAGGCTTCTGTTTCCGTTTATTATTGCTCTACATATCAATATCAGGGTCTCCAACATTATTCTTTCTTATTCTCTCATATTCTTTCAGAGTTTACTAAACAATGGTACTGCAGCGGTATTCCTTGGCATCGGTCTACCAGAGCCCAACAGCGTTCCGATATTCAAAGGTCTAACTCAAGAAATGGGTTTCTACACTAGCAAAGATTTCTTACCTTTGGTGTCTAAAGGCAGCAAAAAAGGTTAGAGATCCTAATTATTAACGTGAACATGCAACTATCAAATTTTCGCAGGTAAACTACTGGAGCGGTTTGAATAATTTCCGGAATAAAGCATAAATTTATAGTATAAAAAGAAATGTTGTGTAAAAAAATTAAAACTGATAAAACTTTTAAATGTTCCACGATCAGACAATAATCACCTTGAGTTTGTTATCGATTGTGAATGCAATGGTAACAAATTCAATCTCGTTGTGTCAACTTGAATTATCGATACAATTGAATAGTTTAAGACATGATAAAAATAATTATGTCTTAATATTTTACTAAATAAAAAAGAATCGAAAAAGAAATCAGTTTAGGTGCATATATTGTAAAAATGTAGTTAACGTCACATTTTTTTAAGTTGGTTAACGGCTGGTAACAAAAGACTCTGAAGTGTCTTTTTTTTAAACATATTTAATAAGCATTATTTATTAAAACATTTTTTAGGAATGTGTGCATGCAAGTCAGCTCTACCCGAATTGTTTGGCAACGTGATCGTTCTGGGCGCCGGAGACACTGCGTTCGACTGCGCCACATCTGCCCTCAGGTGCGGGGCGAGACGGGTCTATGTGGTCTTTAGGAAAGGTTTCAATAACATTAGGGCTGTACCTGAAGAAGTGAGTATACCTTTACTACAGAATAAATTGTTTTCTTTTTTTTAATTTAATGTTTTTTTTTTTTAATAAATAAAACTCATAAGTAATTTGCATTGTTTATAAAAAGGAACTTGATAGGTAATTGAAGGATCAGTATCATAGGATCACAGGTGCAAAATTCCTCCCCACCGCGGAATCCTTGGCAAGAGTCCCTACAAACACACCCACACATCGCATACACCGCCCCCGCCGGCGGGGGCGAAGAACCCTCGCGACACACGGTCCGCGCGCGATCAGGTTTGCGCCCGAGCGCATAACAACCGCGTCGCAATCTCACCCACCCAAACGTACCGACCCTTCGCCGTCCCTCGACGGGGGTCGAAGTGCGGTGGCCTAAGCCGAGGCCGAGCCACTCTGGCGCCCTCAGGCGCACACACACACCGCAGTCCATAAGAAAGAGTCGACACCTCTGTCGCTCCCCTCTCGCGGGCTTGGGGTGCCATCAGCACTCGCCCCTGCATTCGCGTCCGGTGAAGCTGTAAAGGCCACTCACGGCCAACAGCAAACACATTCAGAAAAAAAAAAACAGGTGCAAAAGTGAATTTATGATGCTTTAGCAGCTTTAGCTTTTAGGTGATGAAATTTGGTATTCATATATAATACAAATTAGGATGAAGAATAACCTAAAGACAATTTATCTCGATCAATTGTCATATTATCCCAGTCACGCAGACGAAGTCGGGGATAAATGTTCATATTTATATATAACCTCTGGTAAATTTCAGAGGTCCACTCGTTTCTTAAAATTTTCTACAATATTTTGACAATAAAGACTACCCACTTACCAGTTATAACTGAAATATTTGGATTACATAATATTATACTGATAGTTATTTAATTCTGCTAACACCGTTAAATTAAGACCCTGAATTTTATATTATTTGCAGGTCGATTTGGCCAAAGAAGAGAAATGTGAATTTATGCCTTTCATGTCGCCTCAAGAAGTAATAATTAAAGACGGTGTTGTAAGTATGATTCAATTCATGAAGTTATAGATTGTGTAATAAATCTTACTTCTGCTAGCATTTGTACCATTATATGAAGTATTCTAAAAATTCTTCTTTTTGTATGTGTATGTTATATGGTATCTTAATTTATGAGCCCTCTTTGATGGTTCTTTATTTAATAGATAGGATTTACTCCCACCTTCATTTTATTAAACCAAGTTTTAAGTATCATTTATATCAAGATATAAATTAACTATGAATTATCGACATAATTTCAAACATTCATCTTCCATCACTGAAATAAACAACTCCATAGACTACCTGCCCCTCTTGGAATTGTTATGGGCTACTTGAATCCATCGACTCCATGCAAAATACAAATTCTTTCAACACTGCACTTTTATCAATACTTATTTTATCAATATTTATACAATAAATTTATTTACGTAAATATCCATTTACAGATCGCTGCATTAAAAATGTGCCGAACAGAACAACTAGAGAACGGCGATTGGATAGAGGATCCTGACCAAGTTATGCAGCTAAAAGCTAACTTCATAATCTCGGCATTTGGCTCCGGACTTTATGATAGCGACGGTAATTAGTAATTATCCTGCTTATTAAAAGTTAACCTAATATTGTAAATGGAAATATTTGATTACAACGAAAATAAAATATATACTCTCGACTGTAATTCCTAATGGGGTAGTCCGTGGCGTTTCACCATTATTGTGGTAAAGGTAACACTCGATTTGCCCGCATTTTCCTAACTAGTTGTATTGGATTCATATATGAGTAGTATTTGAATCCAATTTCGCATAGGTCTTACTGTTGTCACACAGATTAATTTGGTCGGATAATGGTACTTTCTATCACTGCGATTTTTTTTTATATATAAAATTATGTAAAGAGGGTTGACGTCAGGCAAACGGCCGGTCGTAAAAGTAAAAGCCAAATCTTTTTCTAATATGGATAAAAACATATTATGCCGACCGCAAAGGATAATTGTAAAGGGTAGGAAGATGATGATGGTTATATAAAGTTATGTAACCTCGCCTCTTCTCCTGGTTTACTGCGGTTGCTAATTAGACATGATAATTGAAGATAGATTAGGTGACTATTCGTGATAATTTCTATAGGATTAAACAAACGTTGGCTTCCAAATGAAAGCGCGTGGAAGTAAACCTGTAACTTTATTAGCAATGTGGATAGTCCCTTTACTGTTAGTAAAGGGACTTAATTTATATTTTAGCTTATATTTAACCTCACCTTTAATCTATAATCGAGGCTTAGGGGGATAGCTACCATTAGCTCTTGCTGATTTTCTTGTGTATAAATTTGTATGTTTGTAGTAAAAGAAGCTATGTCAGGCGTTAAACTTAACCGTTGGGGCCTCCCTGAAGTGGATAATAATACCATGCAGAGCACAAGTAACCCTCGCGTGTTTATCGGCGGTGACCTGGCCGGGGTGGCGGAGACCACTGTGGAATCTGTCAACGATGGCAAGACTGCTGCCTGGTATATGCACTGTTATTTACAGGTAAAGGATCATAAAATATTTTTTGAAGCTTATTTTTTAAGTCCTTACGTCTCCACATGTTTTTTATTTAGGGTTTACTAAAGTAGATACAAAAAAAATTATTTAATATTAACAGGGCCTCCCATTCGATTCACCGATTGAGTTGCCAAAATTTCATTGTCCAATCGACGATGTGGACCTGTCTGTGGAAGTATGCGGCATCAAATTTGAGAATCCGTTCGGATTAGCCAGCGCCCCCCCGACTACTAGCTCGGCAATGATTCGGCGCGGTTTTGAGCAAGGATGGGGCTTTGCAGTCACTAAAACATTTGGTTTAGATAAGGTAATTATTGAAAATGTTATAAAAATTAAATTGTTTAACTATGGAAAAAAATCTTTTCTATGTAGTAGTGACCACAAACAACGTGTTGCAAAATTCAGTGTGGAGCGACCCCTTACGAACATAGAGAAAAACAACAATGAATATTTCATTTCTCTACATCGTAGGGATAAAATCTTGAATCTCGTTTGACTATAAACGTCATTGGATAATTAGAAATCAGTGCATAATTTGCATAAATGCACTCTATTTTCAGTGCCATTTTTTGAACTAGGTACTCTAAAAGAATACGAATAAGTTTGTTAATTTATCTGACTTTTTACGACTTTATTATTATAGATATGTTGCAGGACAATATTGTAAATTTTTACGATTAAAGTAATTTCTTTACAGAACAGAGTGTTGATAAAACATACCACTGCACCAAATTACATATTCAATATTTAATTCAATACGTTCAATATTTTTCACGTGACAAAGTAATAAACATCTATATATATATATACATTCTCGCAAACTTTCGCGTTTCTCGTAGTAAGATGAATGGACAAAGTAAAGTAGTTTATATATCATTATCCGGTGTCGCAGGACCTAGTAACGAATGTGTCGCCACGCATCGTCCGCGGGGTGACCTCCGGCGAGAACTATGGCCCTGGCCAGGGCTCGTTCCTCAACATCGAGCTCATCTCCGAGAAATGCGAGGCCTACTGGTGTCAGAGTATCACCGAGTTGAAACAGGACTTCCCCAATAAAGTATGTATTTAAAACATTTAATTTTATATGTGTTAATTATATTGTTATAAAGATAAATTAGTCTATAGATAGGAATAGTAAAAAGAGCTATAAATGTCAAACAGGCATCTAGGTAAGTAAGATTAATAGAACATTAATGAATTATAAGTACCTAAGGAAAAATTTAATTTTATAATTTTAGCCATATAGCTCGAATAATCGATAACGAATGTTGAAGACTCGTTATCAATTAGTGATTGTGTAAAGTCAAACGTACTGTAATAAGACACCCACTAGATGGACCGACAATCTTAAATATGTTGCAGGTTGCAGTTAACTCAGAATTATTGGTGCCATAACCAATGTTCCTGTGTCTATGGAAACTGTGTTTGGCGGTTAATTAACAGTTGAAATGGTCATAATGATGAACTACAGTAGCCGCTTACTATTAGGCGGGCCTCATGCTTGATTGACAAACTTTTTTATAATAAATAGATAAATCAATGTAATTATTACATTGTAGGTAGTCATAGCATCAATAATGTGTTCATACAACAAAGAAGACTGGACAGAGCTGGCACAAAAGGCAGAAGCAGCTGGCGCCGATGCCCTCGAACTCAACTTGTCGTGTCCCCACGGAATGGGCGAGTCTGGAATGGGCTTAGCTTGTGGACAGGTAATGTTGTTTAAAAAATATATATATGATTATGAAGAAATTGTAGTAAAATGTGTCATCATTCCTTTTTTTTACTGTAACGTTTTTTTTTATGGGTGAAAATGGTATGGTAACGGTAACTCCGCCTGCGCTAATGGGATACGCTGGCGGAGCACCAGTGATGGACGATAGATGAGAATAAAAACAGGCCAGTTAGCCCATCATGATAAATTCATCACGAATTAACCATGATAGTTACCAGGGGGAACCGCGAGGAGGTCGACCTGGTTGGGTATATTGCTAGCAATGGGATTCTCAGTCTCCATTACTAACAATCCCTTTTCTCCCAAAGTAACTGTAACGTTGTTAAGGAGAACGAAGTACTAGTATGTAAAAAGAGAAATAAAATCCTATATCGAACCACTTGGGTAGCGTACTAGTGTAGTAAGTCCTAAAATTCTATTTTGATGAGACTAGTACTAAAACATAATGGTGTTAGGGTAAGAAGAGCAAACAAAAAAAAAATGCAAAGTAAGTTTTCTTCCTTTCCCGTGGGTGTCATAAGAAGCGATTAAGGAAAGGCAAGGGACCCTATCTATGGTTGCCAATCCGCCAAATAAGTCGTCAAACCGGGCGAATTGATAGTCTAATAAATATGAACGGTAGATAAGTATAACATGTATTTATTTTGTAAATTTTACTAATATTATAAATATGAATATTGTGATGTTTGTTATTAAATCACGCTTATTTGAATGACATTTAATATACAGATGAGTCATGTTAGTATTGTTAATTTAATAAAAAAACGTAGTTTATATAAAAACTAGATATTCCTGAAGGCTTTATTCGCTTGAATTTGTTTTAAGTACTTATCATAAGTTAGGCGTGTACTAATATTCATTCGAATCCGTTTACAAACATTTTTATAATATTTATTATAATAGTAGGATTCATTTAGAACAAATCTGAGGGATAAAGATCGTATGCATATGTCTAAATCTTAAAATGAAATCTTGTCTTTTCTAGGATCCTGTTTTAGTGAAAGGCATTTCCCAGTGGGTGCGGGCAGCTATCAAGATACCTTTCTTTGTGAAGCTTACACCTAACATCACCGAAATAGTCACCATTGCAGTTGCTGCTTATGAAGGTAAAAGATATTAGATGTAATAAAAATGAAAAAGTAATAAATATAAAAGCAAATAATTATAGTATCGGGGTAGTGCCCCGACATATAAACCAGAGAGAGGTCATAAATTCAAATAATACGACAGCAAAACTTAAATTACAATTTAAATTCTATTTAACCTCTTGACTAATTGTTTGGAAAATTCCGATGAATATTTTAAAATTTTTCTCTTTACAAAAGACAGTAATATGTGAGACCAGTTTTGTGAGAGATTGGTGCCTGCAGTAGGTTTAAAACCACTATCTGACTGTGGTAGGTGTCACTACGTATTCAAATATTCTCGGCAAAATGTTTGTATATCGAATGTTATGTTTACTTAAAACCTGATACGAAATCTCATACCATCCTATTCAACCAGAGAGGTGGTGGTGGTAATACACTAGTATTTTATGAGTAGAAATGTGCCTAATAGTGGGACATTAATAGAATGCTATGCAATTGATATATTTAATTATATCTTCTTCGTTGACTAAAAGGTGGAGCAAGCGGCGTGTCAGCTATTAATACAGTGTCAGGGTTGATGAGTGTCAAACCTGATGCGACGCCGTGGCCAGCGGTCGGTAAGTAACTTTTTTGATCTCTATATGGCTAGAATTACGAAAGTATAGGTACAATCATTCTAGTCATTGATGTCTAGCTGTATTATTATTAGCTGTATTCTGCGGCATTGCCCACGTGAACTAAACCTACTGGTTAAACACATACTAGAGGGAGACTTCAAAAGTCGTCTGCTTGGGTACCTCTGTCTCTTTCATGTTTCAACCGTGAAGAAGTTACGTTTGCATGACTGTGTCTCGGTTTGAAGAGAGGGATATGGCAGCGTATTTACAGGCTACAGACGCACACCTTAGTCCTCAGGAATGGTAACGCATGGAGGGTATCATGGGCGAAACGATGTTCTCTATTATGTCTATGATACTTCTTATGTTTATAGGCGATGGCTACCGCTTCCCATCAGGTGGGCCGCCAGCTTGTTTGCCATTCTAATTAGCATAAAAAACAGTGCTTTTTACTTAGAGTATATATTTGCACAAAATTTCTTTCCAATTCATTCAGTCGTTAAACCGTGATTGAATAACAAATAATTACATTTATAATATTTATAGAATTGCTTAGTCTATGGAAACCCGAAACCGATTTTAGAAAAGAACGGTTTATAAGCTGGGTTATGAGGAATTTTATAGATTTTTAGAACTCACAAGAGTTCATCTTCAACATCTTATCCCTTATTTGTTCTCTCATTATCCACTGCTGAACGTAGACTTCTCTAAAACAGTTCTAATGTTTTTAAGTCTCTTGAATCTAATTTGGAATTTTGGCCTATGGACGCCTGTAACACCAGGGATATCACGCGCGCGTTGTCAACCCTTAAACTTAATACGCCCTTTTTTAAAGGACCCTATTCTGTAGACTCTAGGGAATGGTTGAACTGTCACAATACAAATGTAGTAATTACTGTAGTTGCTCAGAGCATTACGTTAATAAGTGGTAACAGCTTAGTCGGATTATACTTGACTGGGCTCTATGGGTCGGAAGACCGATTCTTAGCTTTAATTTCTGGTAATATCCTCTCCACCTACTAAATTGAATTCTTATATGATATATATACCTACTTACGTATACCACAACATCAACAGTAAACAGGTGTCTCACACTATCCCACTAGAGATTCAAATCTTTGTTGTTTTCATCATCATCATCATTTCATCCGTTATATGCCCACTGCTGAACAGAGGCCTCTCACATAGACTGCCATAAGGAACGGGATCATTCCCTATGGCAGATTACCATTAGAGAGATTTTGCCAGTAGTTGCCACGCTTTGCAGGCGGATTGGCAACCGCTGTTTGGCTTTTCTTGTGTTTTAATTTATTAATAATTTGCTGTTGATACCATATAATTGACACTATCAGGAGTGGAGAAACACACAACTTATGGCGGAGTTTCCGGCAACGCGACCCGTCCTATGGGGCTCCGTGCCGTATCCACTATTGCCAATAAACTTCCCGGCTTCCCAATACTTGGTATAGGGGGCATAGACTCTGCTGACTCAGCACTGCAGTTTATAATGTGTGGAGCGCCTGTTGTCCAGGTATGTATTTTAACCTCTTGATTTTTGGCCTTGTAACTTGTATGGTGCCCTGATAGTTTTTATTGATACATACTAAGCCGTTTTTTTAGCAATTAAAGCGGCAATTTAATAATGCATTTACCTATTTGGTTTTTTACCACAACTTCGTATGCATGGATTTTCAAAATACGTAATTATGCATGGCGTATCAAGACAAAAATCTATATGAGATTTTAAATTGGACCTTCAGAACACTATTTGATACAGTATTTTTTACATTATACCGGAAGAAACGTACGAACATTAAAAAAAAAATCTTATTAATAACATATACGAGGTTTGTCCGGAAAGTACGTATAAAAGTTTTTTAAAAATTTTATTTTACAATTATTCAGGTAAATCAATTTTATCCCCTTCAAAGTACTCCCCCTGTGACATAATGCAATTGTGCCAACGCCGTTTCCACTGTGAGAAGGCTCCTTGAAAGTCCTCTGGTTGTAGGTTTCTCAGCTGCCCCGTCGTAGCTTTTTTTATCTCATTTATGTCCCCCAAATGCCGCCCCCGAAGTACCAATTTGGTTTTTGGGAACAAGAAGAAGTCACACGGGGCCAAATCCGGCGAATAGGGGGGGTGTTCGGTCACCGTAATGGAATTTTTACTCAAAAACTCACGGACAACAAGAGAGGTGTGGGCAGGGGCATTGTCGTGGTGAAGAATCCAACGCCCCTCTCGCGCCAATTCTGGACGAACTCGTGCCACACGAGCTTTGAGGCGTCTGAGCACATCGACGTAGAATTTTCCATCAACTGTCTGGCCTGGAGGGACGAATTCTTGATGGACAATCCCCCGAACATCGAAAAAAACAATCAACATTGTCTTGACATTTGAGCGGGATTTTCTTGATTTTTTTGTTCGTGGTTCCCCGGATGTCTTCCACTCTTTGCTTTCACGGCCATTCTTGCCGAGTTTCGAGAGAAACTTGATTACGACGCGCTGCTCTTCAACGGAAGCGGGCTCCATGCCGACGGGGTTTCGTTAAAAACTTCACAGATGGCGTGACAAGCCAGTTCGCACCGCACGGCGGTCAGACCAGAACTGAAGCATTGTTAGGGACATAAGGAAGGGGTCCTTATGTCCCTAACAATGGCCTAACCTGGCCTCCCCACTCCTCTTTCTCGCATTCCAGAACACTTTTATACGAACTTTCCGGACAGACCTCGTATAAGGACTCTTATTTAAGACCCCTTGTATATTTTTTCTTAAATATGTCCATGCTTTACATATCATTTTATCATGTTAACTGGCTTAGTTATATTATTGTTTTGATAGTTTTTTTACTAGTTATTCTAAGAAATTACTGTTGATAAAATAAAGAAAACGATTCCATAAATCTTATGTTAACAATAGATCTGCAGTGCTGTTCAGAATCAAGATTTCACCGTGGTAGAAGACTACATTACTGGATTGAAGGCGTTGTTGTACCTGCGCTCTCTAGGATTAGATGGCTGGAGTGGCCAGTCTCCGACTACGTTTAAACATCAGAAGGGCAAGCCAGTTCAAACGTTGTACGATGAAAATGGCAAGGTAAATCACTACTTAGGTAGATATTTAGATTTTTATTTTTTTTGCTAGGGTATTAATAGTATTCAACTGAACCAAGAGCATGGCATTTATATGGAAAGGTTAGAAAATATATCAATAGAGAAGTGAAGAAAACATAATTAAGGATTTTTTTCAAATCAAATAATAATTCTTTTGAACATACTGCAAACATGTTTAAAGACTATTGTTTTTATTACTGTCAATATAATTTTGTCGTTGATGATATTTAGCAATTTACGCCATATTTAAAAATTGAACTTTTGTAATTCAACGATAAAGTTGTTTTATTCGTAATTTAAGAAATTAATTATATGCAGCGATTTCTGTTGTAGATTGTACCTAGTTTATCTTTTAGTGTTTACGTTAGTTTTTCATAGAGCCCTCAGTATGAATTCGTTAACAACTAATAGTTTTTATAAAAAATAAATAGTAGGTAGCACGTACCTAGAACGGAATAAAAGCCACAGACACAAACTCTGCGCAGTGGTCGTTTTATATACCTATTAATAAAATTATTACTGCACAAGTCACGTGGTATAAAAGTTATTTTCAATACATTTGCCGGTATCTATAGTGGCACTGATATTTTCGAGAATAACCAAAATCTACCACTGTCTTACCACTATGTGTAATATTAAAAAAAAGCGTAAGATATTAATAAGATTCTATATTTTTTTATTTTAGGTACTTGCTCACTTCGGGCCTTACAACAAACAGCGTGAAGAAAAGTTACACGATATCAGGCTAAATTCAGACTTATTAGGCGACAATAAAGTAGAAAATGACTTGTTAAATAACGGTGTCAATGGAACAAATTCTAAGGTGCCAAGTATCAAAGAGGTTCTTGGGGATGCCTTACCTAGAGTTGGAACTTACAAACATTTGGATAATACCAAACAAGTGGTTGCATTGATTGATGATGTAAGTATATTTTTTTATTAACTATATATTTTTTATAAGACTAGAACAATAATAATATAAGTATCAACTTTAGATAGCCTCAGAAATAAATTCCATGAATTTAATTCAATCCTCAAAATTCTATTTATTAATTTGGCGAAGACATTGTGAAATATTAGTAAGAATTGTAAGTCTTTTAAAATGACTTTAAAAAGAAAATTCTCGATTTTCTACTAAGAGGGTTCGAATCTGGCAGACACTAAATACTGTATCACCAGTGTTATCATCACACCGTTACCGTAGAAGTCGCTTGAAAAATGCTTACTAATCGGTCCCATAGAAATTTTACCAAAAGCGGTTCAGTAGTTTTTAAATAAAAAAAAAAAACTAGTTTTGCCACAATCGAAGTCAGTTTTTTTTTTATGGAACGCAAGATTATATTTTTTAATATAAATAAAATCATGCTTAATTCCATATTCTTATTCTATTTCACGCGAGAAAGCGCGACGTACAGCTATTAAAATAATATTTACACTCTTCCAGGACATGTGTATAAATTGCGGCAAATGTTACATGGCGTGCGCCGATTCTGGATATCAAGCTATTGAGTAAGTACTGCCACCACTTTTTATATTGTTATATAATAATAATAAAATCATTTATTCAGCTACAAAATACAGTGAACGCTTTATATAAACAAGATTCATTATATTTTATTTATTCTACTCAGCTTAGTTAGTGAGAAAAATAAGTAAATATATTTTCTAGACGATAAGTATTTTTATATTCCTTTTTTTTCTTATAAGCAACTTTTCCCAATAAGAAATTTTTTTATTGAAATTGGTTCAAATGAGTTACTTGTATAGAACGTTCACTATATAACAATATTAATGATAATTTTATACATTAAAATAATAATTATGTGGTAGCAGTCCCCACTCAGCTTAAGCTGCAGCGCTAATTTTCAGTGGGGCCACCACTCGATAGGTAGCATTCAAGAAACAGCATTCAATCTATAATATACTATTAACTGGACCTTATAGAATATATCAATTATATAATTATATTATTTAAATAATATAATATATAATAATATGACTAGACATATCATGACTAATGAAAATAATCATGTTTATTGTATGGCTCATACAATAAACATACATTGTCTGCTGGAGTAGGTATATTAAAATAATAATAATTGAGCAAACAATATTACTCATATTTATATATCCAGATTTATATTATAACCAGATTTACATTGTTTTAAAATTAATGGTCACCCATGTATTCATACATTTTTTTTTTATACCCAAGAGGGTATTTGAACTTTGCTTAAAAAATATTTTTTTTTGCATACATTTCAAAAATAAATTAGTTGCGTATTTAAAAAAAATCTGCAATACTATTCACTTTTTATCTATTAGCACAGTTAGTGTATAATAATAAAACAACAAAAAATCAATAGAATTCATTCATTTCTGGTCATAGTGATTAGGGCAGTAAAATAAGATAGAATAAATTTTACTTTTCTTTAAAATAAAGATAACAAAGGTACTACTTATGATATATTTTGTTTCGTATTTTTTTAGGACGGCTATAAGTTGAACTATAAGACGTTTCAAGGTTATCCATTCATTACCGGACACTCTGTATATTGATGATATCTGCGCAACGCAATTTAATCAACGTTCTTTAAATAAATACACGCGGATTAAGACCCTAATCCTTTTAATATTATTCTATTTTCTACTAATTCTACTTACGATTATAAATGCGGTTTTTTTTTTGTCCCGAACTTCACTATTCGCTGAATTTTAGTACGTTACTAAATATAAATAATTACAATATTTAAATTTTTGTTTTTTCAGATTTGATCCAGAGAGCCACATTCCGCACGTAACAGACGATTGCACTGGGTGCACGTTATGTCTGTCTGTGTGTCCCATTATCGACTGTATTTCGTAAGTATTAGACGATTGTTGAAAAAAAGGAGTGTATTGTTTTTAATATTATTAATGCTGGCCACGCGGAATGGTATAGGGTTTTATTTAGATTTTTTTTTGCGCATTGGTGTAAAGTGCTTTCTGCAGATAATCAAAATAAAGCGGTGAAACATTGGTAAAACATGCGTAAATGAGGTTCCAGGTTCGATTCTCGGCCGGGTCAATTTAACCTAAACCTAATTTCTGAATTTGTTCGGCTCTGGGTATTATGGTTTTTTTTAATGGATGATAATGGAATGGTAACCCCACTCGCGCTATCAGCATATGCTGACGGAGCATCAGTGAGGGGTGATAGGTGAGTATGAAAAGGTAGGTCAGTTAGCCCATCGTGATGAATACACATAGAATTCAGCACGATGGTTTCCAAGGGGGGACCACGTGGAAGTCGACCTGACAAGGTACATTGTTAACAATAGGACTGGTATTCTCTATTACTAACACTCACCCCTCCCTTCCTGGGTTGTGCCCCAAGTGTTTGTTCCCTGGTTGCTTATAACACAATGTATCCTAATTTGAGGACCAGGTGATTGGTGTTATTATGTAGCACTTATTGTTATTGTATGTACTCGTGTTCTGAATGTATTGTCACATAGAATAATTATGCATATATTTTTTTGCTGTATTTGTCGGTAAAAACATGCTTTGTTTTTTTTAGGATGGTCCCGAAAACGATACCTCATGTTATTAAAAGAGGTCTACGATATGACGTATTACAAGTATCACCACTAGACAAAGTATGTTAGTAAAAGAATATACAAACACAAAGAAAAAATATAAAAATATATTATAAAAACATATGTACATTATTAATAGAGCAAATACATTATTTTCAACCCAACTTTTTGTATATTTCTTGTACCTTAAGTTTTGCCGATCTCCATGAAAATAGCCAACTATTGTGGGGGTTCACACCCAAAGTCAACGCCGAAATTGGTTGAGGACAGTTGTAATGATATTTAGTTACAATATTCTTGTCACGTTTATTCTTCTCATGTAACTTTTTGCATACTAAACATTCTAGAGTTTCGGCTGTTTTTAATGCGTCATTTTGATACGGCCTTGCTCTTAACTCTTTATGCAGTCTTTTATTTGTTATCGTCCCTTTAATTTTGTGCTCCAAATACTCTTCATATAATTTGTCATTTTTTAGCAACAGCTGTAAATATTCGGACATGGCTTTAGGCGTCGGAAAATCTTTAATAAGTATCGCAGACTTGTTATTCGGTAACCAATCTCGTATTGTAGGTGACCCAAAATATATCGGTACAGTACCTACTTTGATAGCCCGCCAAAATTTCTCCGTTATATAGTCATCACAGACGCCATTTTCGATTGCTATTACGAACTTGTACCTCGCTGTGAAATCAAGAAACTCTGGGTCATTTAAATTATTTAGATAATCATGTTTAAACTTCTGAGGTATCACTTTGTTATTTAAACAAGCACCATATGAGTCCACTTGTATAAATTTCATCAATTCTTTTACATATTTGTCTCTTTCGGTTGAAGTTTCACAATCAGTTTGTAAATACATTATGGGGCCAATCTCTTTGAGATAATTGTTCTTCGTCGATGTATCAACGTAGTGTTCTTTGCTAGTTATATCATTAATAGAATCCATATATTGGAGAGGAAATGGAACGTCGCTATGACGGCTAAATGTAGCAGAGAAATTAAACAAGTTTAACATTTCTTCATGCATCAACTCTTCAACGTTCCTTGGCGATTCTTCGTGAAACAGACCCCAGATTACATCATATGGCCGTCTAGGTAGTGGTAGATCTTCTAAATTAATAACACTTCCATAAAATAAATATGCATCGACGGCATTGCCATTAATTTTCTTATCAGCGATAATTTCACAGTCTATGTTATCAGAACAAGTCCGAATTTGGTTTACACTAGGAAACCCATTTGTCCACCACACTATCACAGGAATATGAGCATTTTGTTTATACACACCGATAGACTCACTTTTCCAAAAGGAAATAAAAATTAAAAAGAATATAATAAAGATGCAACTACACAGACAATTTCGTACAGTCAATTTCATTATTCTTTTAAAAATTTTCATAGTCATTTCTTTTAAATAAATTACGATTTGTCTACAGAAACAATGTGTATTCCTCTTCATACTTTTCGTACACATGTTGAAGCCGCTCAGTGGTTACTATTTATCACAGGAAGCCTTATCAGTACTGGGAATTATTGCTACATATTTATCCTCTACAAAACCACATTTATATTCAATGCATATATTTTTTAACAGCGTTACCTATTTAATATGTCCAGCCCCTTTCTTTATGTATATAGTACAAATCCATGGAAAATGCAACGATTAAATCAATGTAGAAAAGACCATAGATGGCTCCATATATTTTAGCAACAATAAAGAGATTTAAGAGTGCTATCGAAGTGAGTACCAGTTCAATGATGAGGTAATAAAATTCTGCCTCGCTTTGTACCTGATCTACAATGTACAGCACCATGATAAGTGTGGACAGTATGAGAGTGGGTCCCGCGACGAGACAATGCAGCGCATCCACTGGTTCCACAACATGAGGAACTATATTGAGAAAGAGTGCCACTACCTAAAAGTAAGGAATGCCGCAATTATATTGTTTGTAATTAGGGTAGGTATACTGACGTAGTATATATATTTAAATGTTCAAATAAACCTCAGTACATGACTCAGATAATATTATGAATCTTTTAAAGAAATTTCCTACAAACTTGCTGAACGTATGCGTTTTTGGATCGTAAATGCTTATGAGGATTTACTACTTATTTTCTACTTATCTAATTTACAGTTTATTGTATAAATGCTAGCGAATAATTTCAACAATATTTTTATATCACGTGACCAGCACAGCACCAATTTTATAAAAATTTTTGCTTTTATAAGCAAAACTCCATCAGTGGCGCAAAAAATTGCAGTGCTTATAATTAGGATTTGTTCCCGAGAATTATCAAGCGGTATTGACTTTCTGGGGAATTTTTTGAGGTTTTAATTTATGTACATACATAGCGGTACTGAAAAATTTGTCATAGAAATTATTGGAAATAAAATTTGTTTATAATTTAGTTACATGGCATTTGAACACTGATACTATACAAAATACAATATATATATTTTTTATTTATTGTATCGTATTTATAAGAACAATAAAATGATCAGTGTTTCTCTACTGTATTATGCATGTATTATACATATAAACTTTCGTTTTGAACCACTTAGTCTATTTAAAAAACTACATCAAAATGCATTGCATAGTTTTAAAGATGTAAGCATACATAGGGACAGACAGATAGGAAGCACTTTGTTTTATATTATGTAGTATGATTAATATTATTATTAATCAAACTGACCCATATTAATTTGTAAAGCTTTCAAAAGACCATAATGTGCCTACTGTAATAATATTCTTGCTAATTTATTTTTTATACAACTTAGAATGACAAACAAGCTGACGGCCCACCTGATGGAAAGTGGTAACCGTCGCCTATAGACCCATGTGTTGCCATTCGCCCATGATACCCCCCATGTGTTGCCATTCCTGAGGACTCAAGTGTTATTCCTCTGTACCCTGTAAATTCAAATATTATAAATGTGAAAATGAGTTTGTTTGTTAATGAAATTTGATATACATATACCATATGGGATAGAAGATATAGGTAATTTTTATTAAAATCAGTATTATCAGCATCCTAGTCATATAGATGCAGTTGTGAGTAAAAACTTGTATTAATATTATAATAAAAAAAATTTTTTGGATGATATTGCTGTTTTTTTTTTTTATTAGATTATCCTCCAGTCATTAAGATGACACATAAGGCAAAAAAATATTGCTATTGTTATTACAAAATAGGAATAATTTAGTTCTCTACCTATACAGATTTATTTCTAGCACCAACAAAATGATAGTATCTATACTCTATCAACTCTTTTTGCTTCTGGTTGTATGATTTTTTATATAACTCTTATTAATATTATGAATGTGAAAATTAATTTGTATATTTATTATCTCTTGACACCCAAATGACATAACAACCAATCCTTATCAGATTTGATATAGACATACTATGTATGGTATAGAGAAAGACATAGGTTACTTTTTGTTTTGATCAGTGAGCTTATTATGCATGTGGGTTAAATCTAGTCTAGTAATGATTTTGAGTAAACATTGGAAAATATAAGAAAAGAAATAGAAATTGCCTCATCCTGTTTATCTTTAACTATCTAACTTCATATCTAATCTCATTTTGACATAGAGAACAGATTACCAAAAGAAACCTTTGGCTGTTGAGTCAGAGATCCTTTTACACGTCTCTTGTTTCATGTATTAAAAAAATTTTTTTTAATAAATTAAAAATCAAGCTGACTAAAGAGTTAACAGTGGAATAATACAAATACGCTATCTACAGCATTTTATTACTAAACACTCATACTGGTTGTAATAATGCAAAACCTCTTTCCTTTATCACATAATATTTGTCAATACAAAGGGCAATAAGTAAATGACAATAAAATAATCCATATAGTGCTCCAGCGGGATATTGTTTCAACAGCACACTAAAGAGAGCAAGTATATTCAGTGTAATTTGTATCAACAAATAGAGTTGTTCAGCTAAGTCATGTACTTGATCCACTAAGTACAGTACAACAAACATTATGGACATGACCACAGTGGGGGCGACAGCCAGGCAATGCATGGTGTCAGCTCCGTTCATAGCGAACGGAATTATCATCAGAACCATTGAAAAAACCTAAAAGTAAATACTTAACTGATGATGGTCATTCTCATTATTATTATAGATATGGGTACTTACATATTTTGATTAATATACATTTAATATTCCTATTCTTATACATTTCATTCTTGTAAATGAATTCTGTTCATATTTTCAGTACAATCAGTTACTTTACTAACAGGAAAAATTGGAAAACAATAATTGTTTATATTGTTTTTATATCATAATTCATTTTTAATTATAAAAAATATTTATAATTATAAATAAAATAAAATATACAAATTATTCAAATGTACTTTTTTTTTAGTACTTTTGTTCCGTTGTGGAACAGGCTAAGGTCGGAGACCATGCTGCCTATCAAATGTACTGTAGGTGTCAAAATGACAGCCGTCAATGTTTTTTTTATTAATTTGTCCTTTCGGACAGGCTACGACCATAGGCCATTCTGCCTCATCTTTAGTAAGTCGTCAATTAATTAATTTGTATGACAAGTAAGTCTATGACGGTAAGCATAAACAAATATACCACCTATTGCAACATTTTGCAAAGCAAGGCAAGAGACAAACGCTCGCTTTTATTAAGAGGATTTTAAACTAGCTCAAAAACATTAATGTTTCTTAGATAACATTTTAAAGTCGGTAAAATTTACCTCAACATATTAATTAATAATATGTTGAGCATTATACTTGCATAGGCATGTAAATAATTATTCATTTACATTGAAACATCCGACCAATATTTTACTTCTACAATTTTATCATAGTTTATACCCATTATATGCACTTAGAATATAATTTACTTCATGATTTTTATTGGTAAAAAGGAAATTGAAGGAGTAACTTATATTACAGAAACTATATATCTTTCTATTGAAAAATTATATTGAATAAAAATCACTATTATAGAAAATATTATAATTCAAATCATACATAAACTTAATTACATTTAAGCACAACTGAATGTACAACCTCTCTCATTAGCTATAAGAAATAAGTCCAGCGATAAAGCGGTTAATAAACCGAAATAAAATACACCATAAATTAACCATAACCATACTCTAACAATGTTTAATAGAAAACATTGAATAAATGCACCAAAAGTAAAAGTATTTGAAAAAATAAATACATTTTTTCCATAAACAATGGTACTTTTCTTCGTAAGTAAAGAATGATGAATATTAGAGATATTATGAATGTGGGACCGGTAGCAATACAATACATATGCCCTTGTGGCTTTGGAAATATTAGTGGTAGTAACATTATTACGAATGATATGCCCTATAAGGAATAATATTATCTCAGTATATACGTAATAAATTAAAATGTATAATATTAATAAATCTTCAAATTAAAGTCTTGAAATTTGTCACAATAAAATAAATTAATTCTTCGGCTTTGCCTAAGCAATCGCCAAATATGTTATCTGTCAACTTAAGGAAATGCAAATAATAACCGTCCATTTTGAGCACCATAAATTACTCAGAGATAATCATGGAATACACCTAGTTTTTAGAATTCAATTCAATAGTTGCAGGGCTTAGGGTCTCAATAAAATTAGATGTTTTACCTCTCTAAATTAATATTCCTTTCATTAATGTAAAAGAATAATACATTATTTATACTTACAAACTCGACCAATTTCATAATAAATATATTATATTTAATTAATTCACTCCATTTTTTGTCCACGGGAACAGAATCTAAATAAAAATATTGGTTTAAATAAAAATCAAAGATACTAGGTATTATTTATATTAATACTAGCGACCCGCCCGGGCTTCGCACGGGTACACATTACATCACATAACATTAGAAATCTTTAAAATTATCAGTGTTTCTCTACTATATTATGCATGTATTATACCAGTGATTCTCAACCACTGTGCCGCGGCACTTTTGTGTGCCGCCAAATTTTGAAATCGTTAAATATGTGCCGCAACAAAAAAAGGTTGAGAATCACTGTATTATACATATGAACCTATTGAATCAATCTATCTATTAAAAAAAACCGCTTCAAAATCCGTTGCGTAGTTTTTAAGATTTAGGCATACATAGGGACGGACGAACAGCGATAGCGACTTTATTTTAGTTTCGTTAGTTTCTTTATACCTGATGGATAAACCCAAAAATTACTCAACCGATTTTAAAATTCTTTTACATAGCTACGTCCTCAGCGAGTGACATAGGCTAGGTATATATTATTTTCGAAAATTCTATCTAGCCGTACTACGCGGACATAAATAGTTAGTTTATTATAAAAACGAAAAAGCTGCTCTTTTTACAACATTGGAGATGTTGCAATCTTAATTTTTAATATTTTCAAAGCGTTTTCTTATAAATTTTAACCAAAATTAAAAACTACCACACAATTACTACTACACAAAACTATTACAATTATGGGCAATTTTTTTGAAAACTAACATCATACATACCATTTATTATCATGTCAGACATTGTTTATACTTGCTGTAATTAAATGCTGAAAAGTTTAAATAAACATTAGGAGATTTGATTATTATAAATTTGCATGAACTATTTGTATAGTTTTATAAATTGATGAAAATTATAGTAAAAAAATAATATACAGGTCTCTAAAACTGGCGGGTAACGATTTACGTATGCTTTCAAGTAAGGCATTGACAGCATTTCTATTTAGTTTGTGGCATTGACTTATGACTCCTTGATAAAAGTTTTAAGTAGACAAATCGCAACTACTATCCTACATCTATGTATATTACTAGAATACTATCTAGAATCTAATAGTAACAGATTTTGTAGGGTAGAAATAGAGTCGTTCTCTAGTTTTTTCTTACTCATTAGACGTAGTATAACATATTCATGTACTGAGTCTTACCCATAGAAGTAGTGTGACGTACTATGTGTCTTATTAGTGACGATGATGAGATTTTTACCATCTATTTTAGACCATAAGAAGTAAACCTTTATTATTGAAAAAAAAAGGACGCGAAAACTTGTTCAAATACCTACTTACGGAAAATTTTATAACGAATAAATAAAAAGAAGGATTGAATATTTTTGTAAAAAATACAGAATAAGGGTAGAGACAGACGGAAGAAGAGATACAACCACTCTTTGGAATCAACTTCCAGCAGCAGTATTTCTGAACCGATACGGCATCATAACCTTCAAGAAAAAAACATACTTATTCCTTTTTGAAAGGCCGGCAGCACACCTGCAATACTGTTGATGTTGTGGGTAATCATGGGCGGCGGTGGTCACTTACCATCAGGCGAGCCGTACGCTCGTTTGCTCCTGTGTTGTAAAAAAAAAAAGGATAGTACAAAAGGTAAAAAGGTACTCTAACGGTGATTATTACAATCTCTTCCGGTTATACATATATTCTTAATTGCATAAAGCAATTGCAAAAAATAGCATGCGTAAGAAAAACATTGCATAGTAACAGTAATTTTATTTCCTAAATTGCTCTGCAGAAACAGCAAAAATAAAGTATCGAAAAAATGTCAAAAATGAATTTTGACAGTAAATGCCGTATTATTTTCATCTGTTAAAAATAGAACCTATGTCTACGGCATCCAATTCCTAAAGCCTCTACATGTCACTTTGTATAAAAGAAAAGGTTTGTATAAAGTACATGCAACCAGCTTATTGCACTTGAAAATTAGGCATTACAGTATTTGGTCAGTAACACTGAATATTTTCTCTAAAAACATCGATTAAAGATTGATAAAAAATTATATGCCTAATAACTAGGTAAGTTGTATTAGTATGAAAGGTTTAGAACTTTTTGTATATATTTTTTGAATTTATAAATTTTATACTATAAAGTAGCTATACCATTGTGTTATCTATTATTTACATTAAAGATTGAGACATATAATAAATAGTTGTATAAATATGAATACATATTTATATATTTTATAATATTCCATCTAAGTGGTTACAAAATTCATTATCTAGTTTTCTTTAAATAAGAGCAGTGGCGACTTTATAATAATGTGACAATTAGTTCCTTGAATTTGATTTGATTGAACTTCATACTTCATTCTTGACGTGTATATCACTTCTTAATCTATACCTATTGTGGTATTTAAATAATTTTGAAATTTCTTGTTCAACATGCCGATATTATAGTTTTTATCTTAGCAAGAAGACAACCTAAAATGGAGGATGAAGATCCAGTAGTACAGGAGGTGAGTAGTTTATTAGTTCTTGCTTTACAACGTGGTTACAAAAAGGTTATGTTTTTTTAAAAAAATCTATCATATGATTAAACTTTATTTATAAATTCTTTGCAGATACCTGTTTTTCTTTCACAAGCTTTGTCTAAACATTTATACATATACCAATATCCTGTTAGGCCGGCCAATAGAGATTGGAAGGATGTTAAAGTAAAGAATGCTTCAATCAAACCTAAAAACCAATTAGTTAGACTTGAAATCGGATTAGATACGTACAGTGATAAATATTGTCCTTCTAAAGGCGAACAGATTGCAATTAACACAGATGGACAACAGGTAAATATATAAATTGATAATGTATTTTGTTATTGAATGTTAATTACTGAAGTTTTGGTATTAAATTTATATTTTAGATTAATGATGTATATAATTATACTATTTTCTACTAATAATTTAAATGTAAAAGTTTGTATAGATGTTTGTATGGTATTGACTCGATCATGTTTAATGGATGAATGAAAATTAATAAAATTTGCTACATAGGTTTATAGGCTAAAAGGCCTAACTTACACATAGAATACCTTTATTATTGATCAACACAGTCCAAGCTGCGAGAAGCAGGTAGTAAAATACTAATATTAAAGTTTTTCTGCTCTAGAGTGTTACTTAGTTATTAAAGCTCTAATGCTTCTCTGTTGCTCAGTTTGTTCCCAATAACAAGTGTTAATTGAACATTTTTAAATACCTTTGAATATTTATAAGTATATTTATTTTGCATACTAATTACTGCTCAATTTTAGTGATGACAGTTCTTGTTAAATATTTAATTAAGGCTCAAAAAAGAGTGCATTTCAGATAATGACATGAACTAAAAAGACAGTGCCAATGTGTTTAAATCTGCCCAACATTAAAACTTTTTCTATCTTATTACAAAACAGATAAAACAATACAGGAGTTAGTACTGGAACCACAGACTAAAACACAGATTAAAGTATTTTGGAGGTTTATCTGTAAACTATGGATGGTTCACATTTTAGTCTTAAATTTTGTTTTGTAGTAAGGATTGTTTAGCCCATGATATATTTCAGTACCAATTCTTGTATTATCTTTAATCTGTATTTTGCAATAAAACAATTTTGAAATTTCTCTATTGTAATGTTTATTTTTTTTTTGAGTATCATTTATTAATGATTTTTGATACTTATTTACTGTTTTTATCTAAGTAAATCCAATTAAAGAGTGAGGTATTTAATTCTGTTGTATTTTTTTACCTCATAACTTCATCATTTATAAAACAATTTTGGACATTTTTTTTTATTTGAAAAGATATATATTTTAATTAATCCCATACAAATTTTATTAAAAATGATTTAGTAGTTTTATAATCAAAATGGTGGCTGACTTTTGGATTAAGTCTTTGTTTTTTCTGGAATTATTTTTATGGAACAAAATTTTAAATAATGGTATTAATAAAACAGGAATCTTCATGGCATGTCAAAGAAAAAGATCGATCTCAGTACTTCAGGAATGGGATCATGGACAAAATTGTTTACGAGAGCAGTACTCCCTGTGTGGAGACACAACACTACACTGTGGCTATATTGCAGGATAAAGAATTACATTGTACATCTATTCAAGGTATTGTTTATTTTGTCTATGTTGACACCCTCACCCTCTAACCTCTTTTACACAAGCCCACAATATCTAAACTATCTCTTTGGATGCTATATTGTTTCACATTTGTAGGAAGCTCATCATATTTTAAAACCTAAATGGAAGTGTAATTGTTTTTAGAGGTGTTTTTCCTTTCTTATATTTTAATTATAGAATAAGCTTTTGGATGAAATTATTTATAAAGACTATATAGATGCTTGAAATAACCATTGGAAAGGTTTCTTTAGGCTCACCAGCATGCATGTATCCTTAGTATTCACAGTCACTTATTCTAATAATACATGTTTAATAAGTTTCAATAGCTATTTCGTGTTATAAATGGCCTGAATATTTAGTTAGGACTTGTGGATTTATTTTAGAGCTTTAAAGAATTTTAAAGTCTCAGTTTTCATGTATTTACACTTATAAACATGAATGAATCTTAGTGAAAATGGCTAGTACATACTTACTTCTATATATTAATTTACATACTTCTTATCTAATTGTATAGTCAATTGCTTGGGTATCTCTCTCCCATTCGTGTTTAAACCATGAAGCATTTGTTTTTGCATGGCTGTGTTTCGGTTTGAAGGGTGGGATATGACGTGAATTTACTGGGTACAGAGGAATAACACCTGAGTCCTCAGGAATGGTAACGCATGGGGGGTATCATGGGCGAAACGGTATATTCTGTTATGTCCATGGTACTGCTTAGGTCTATAGGCGAAGGTTACCACTTTCCATCAGGTGGGCCATCAGGTTGTTTGCCTTTCTAAGTTGTATAAAAAAAAAATGAAAATTCTATAGAATTTTGGAAAAATTTATGTTATCAATAGTGTTAAAATTTGTCTGACTATGTAGCAACTAGGATCATATCTTAAAATCACAGTTTCAAATATATAAGATATGAATGTTATGCTATAGAAATTAGAATGTCATGCAGTTTGATGTTTTGTACTTTCGTATGTGTGTTTATACATGTTTATAAATGTATTTATTTGCCATTTGTTTAATGGTTCACTAAAGTCTCATTAATGGTGAAGAGGTGAATATTCCACCTTATCTTTAAGATACTGCCATTAGTAAATTATAAAGTATTTTCAATATTAAATTAATTATTGTTTGTAGGTGTAGTCCAAATGAGGCCGTCATATTCGTACTACGATAAACAGGACAAGCGTAAGCACGACAAAAATAAATCAAATGATTCTGATGATGAGGAGAAAGATTCTGAAGTTCAACAGGTACATTTTTTTTATGTTACATATAATAAGAGTTTGTAATTTTTTTTGCAAATTATTTATTTATTTAGGTTTGCCAACAATTGTTAAGACTGCATGACTGTAACTAGTTGGAAGGGGGGCATTGAGGGGCAATATCCAACCTTAAAAGACTCAATGCCCTACCTTAAAATGAAAGGCCTCATGAAAATTTGACAGATTCGCTATTTCGATGTCACTTATGGTTTCTGTCCTACCAAAAAGTTATTTTGCCCTGCCTTAAACATGGGTCTAGCTACAGACCTGCGTGACTGCCAACACTCGAAAATAGATCACCATATCGTCATAGTCGTAGAATACTGACGGATCTATATATGTAATATTTGTCAGATCCGTCAGTATTCTATGACTATAACGATATGGCAGTAATAGTAAAAAAAAAGTAGAAGTTTCACAACCTTCCATATTAGCCATCAATCTCCAATTGTCATTTTGTTCACACACGTTTTGCGACACGTGTTTTACTTTTAAATGAGGTATTTTCAGGCAAATTCTTATATCGCTACTTGGAGCCTAGTGTTAACCGCATTCGCATTTGCAGTTTGGGTGTACTTAATGCTAGTAATGTGTACTTAATGCCAGTAGCATTCGCTACCAGTCAACCAATATATATATGTATATGCTCAAAGCATATGTTAGTTTTAAAATTTCCAAAAAAACACTGACAACATCTGTAGTGAATCCCTGTCCTCAACAGGTTTAAACTTTTTTAAGTTTAAATTTGAAATTTTTGCATTGTTTACCTAATTTTTATTGTTTTCGTGTAAAGCTCGCGTGTTAAAGTACTATTTAACTATTTGCGTCGCATTAAGTCCCGATTGTAAATTTAAATAGGTAGCAATTTTTTTTGTATATATTTAAATTCGGCTTCAAATTTTGACGCCATACTACATCAGCTGTTAATTTACCACTGCTGAACATAGGTCTCCCTCATAACGAGGGTTTTGTCACGAGTTGTCACGCTTGGCAGACGGGTTAAGCTTTGACAATGTTTTAAGTGGGACGCTGCTGCCCATCCTTCGTTTATTAAGTTCCCTTAATCATATCTCTTATGATACACACAGGAAAGCAAGGGGTGGTCCATTCTACGTCGGGACCATAAATTTTGACAGCCTAAATGAAATGTAATCACAATTAAATAACTTTACAAATGTTCGATTAATCTGTTGTAACAGATAACGGTGAAGTTTGCTCGTCAAGAGACAGAAGTGGCTAAGAAAGCGCGCGAAAAATCATTTGAAACAATGTCACACCGGTTAGCTGAAGAACCATGGTACGATGCGATGTGGAGACATCATGACACTGATCAAGCCGAGGTATGTATAAGAATAGGCCCTGTACTAGATCCTGTAGCATAAATATCTAATAATCAACAGCGGCGTAAGTATCTAAAAGTAATTATGTTGATGGTCCACGTCCTGTAAAGAACTAAATTATTAATCATTATCATCGTATCAGCCTTTGTCCACTGCTGGACATGAGCCTTAGGGGGGTTTTGCCCTTAGTTGCCACGCTTGGCAGGCGGATTGGCAACCGCAGTTAGGCTTTAAAAATGTTTGTGTTTCTTTGTATGATTTTTTTTATTGGTGAAATAAATCAAGCTGATATAATTCATGTTCAAAATTAAAGGAAAAAGCGTTAAAAAATACATCTGACAGCTTTGTTTTTTTTTTCTGCAATGGACATCAAAAAGGTATCCAGACACGATCAACTTAAAGTGAAATTGTTCTTTTATATAATTTTTGGGCATTCGATGTTATGATGGAAATTTCCACCATTATGCAAAGAAGGGTTAAGAGGGACACTGCTGCCCATCCCTCGCCCTCTTTTAGTCGACTCTTACGACACCCACGGTAAAGGAAGAGGTGGCCTATTCTATATTCTATCTAACTTATTTATTTAGTTGTAAGAATTTTGTTAATTTACGTGTGTTATAGATAACTAAAATTAAATTGTTTATCTATTTATCAATCTAAATTAGTCAGAGTTTGCAAGCGATAAACACGCAGTTAAAGTGCATTTAGTTCACTTGCAGGTGGCGTGAATCATGTCGTAACATTTTTTATTACATTCAAATGACTTTATAACAAACTTCCCATCTTTGTGGGGTCTGAAGATAAGAAGGGTACGTTTTCGTTGCATTACCTAATTTTTGATTGTACCAGTTCTAGGAGTGGCATCATCATCATGCTGATGATGATGCCACTCATTTCATGTCAGCCGTTAACTGTCCACTGTTGAACATAGCACATAGGACCCTGCTGCCCATCCCTCGACTATTAATTTCCCTTAAACGCCTCTAATAACAGCCACGGGTAAGGAAGGGTTGGTCCAGTCAACGCCGTTGGGACTCGGTGGACTACAAAAGGAAACCCGGGTCCCTAACATTATGGCGCGGCTAGGAATGCCGTGATCGTTTTAGCCGGTAGGAGTCCGGCAGTACCCATACGCTTCCCCCGGGGCGTTTGGGTCTGCATGATGCATTTCCCCATGAAAAAAAAAGTCTATGCTGGGACCCGAGGGTGTGTTTTGACAAAATTTGATATATTCCTATCATATTGAATGGAAATGGACATTGACTGTTATTTATTACGATCAATTGATATGTACCTGCTACGCGAATAAAGTTGAGAGCAAAACTTAGTATAAGTGAATATCAATCAATCCCAATGGCCATCTCATGTCCTGCCGATTAGTAGGTCGGGCGAGGTAGGGGCCTCGGGGTGAATGGGGCGCCCCGACTTCTACTCCGGGGGCAACAACCTCCGGGTCACTTGCTTTTAAGTGGACATACACGGGTGGTCTATATATGTCGGCGCGGCGTTTTCTTTCTTCATCTTCCCCTTCTGTAGGTGGTTATTGGTATCTCCTCTCTCTCTCTCTCTCTCTCTCTCTCTATATATATATATATGTTAAGTTACACACTTCTTGTGTCGGCCCTCCCCCCGCCATTTGGGGGGGGGGGGGGGGGTTAAGTGAATATGATCTACATTTCTTCTCGTTGCGTCTCTCAGCTGGAGCGCCTGAAGCTGTTCAGTGCGACGTCATCAGACGGGTCCGCGCTGCGGCTGCGGGGGCGCGAGTACGTCCGCGCGCTGGTCCCGCCCGCTGAAGAGGACCAAGCGCCCGACCAGATACCCTCGCTGCAAGACCAGGTCCGGGAGATACTTATCAATGGTGAGCACATGAGCATATTTTATTATTAAAAAAGTTGGGAAAAATGGAAAGAATTAATTCAAAAAATTCTGTAGTGAAAACCAGTAGAAATTCTTTACGAAATTTTTTTTTTTTACATTTATGGTATTGTGTCAATATATAAAAAAAAAAATTGAAATACTATGAAATACCAAAACTAGCAATGTAATATACGTAGTAAAACGTACAAATACGATAAACGTACGAAAACTATCTACGAAGAAGCACCATTGACCGTGTCCGATACCTATGTATCATAAAATTTCAAATACATTGCGCGGTGTCAAACCTAAGAATCCTTAATTATACGATTGTCGGGCATTTTCAGTTGAAAAATAATCTGCCATCTGAAGCCTATTTGTTTATTTTTTAATGACCAAAATAAAAATAAAAAGTTTGATGTAAAAGGCGTACATAATGCTTTGTACCATCGTTTTTCAACCGAGGAGTTGTGACCCTTGGAGGGGTCGTGTTCGTTATTAAAAGAGGTCGCAGTGTATTGAAAAATAATAATACCTCGAAATATTCGTTTAACGTAGCGATGCGCGACTTAACTAATTTGACTATTAATTATTCGATTGAACAATTAATTCGAATGGTTCTCAAATCACTCGATTATTAATTTAATTCACTATATGCTTTTAGTAATAGCTAAAGTTATTCATTAGCAGTCGTTTATTTATGAGTCGACTCGAATGCTGGATTGTCTTGTTAAATAAAGAAACTAAAGTAAATGAAGTAGGAAAGTTAATTTTTAGTAATTAATATTATGTATGTGTAATTGGGAATGAACGTGGTTGACGTTTTTTTTTGTCATTTTTTATCACGTATTGTTAAGGTAGTGGTGTGGTAGTAGTGGATACAAGCAAAGGATTAATTATTAATTAAAATATTATATTTTTTAGATAGATTTTGTTATTTAAAGATTTTTACTTAACTTTTTGGCTGTTTTGTGGGTCGCGACATAAAAATGGTTGAGAAACAATGCTTTATACTATCTGGGCATGTGTGTGTTGGTTTGCCCTTGAAGAATGGGTAATTCCAAGTTTACTGGGTTTGCAGTAATAACGAATTTGTTCTTGATACAAGTATGATTTGAATATGGAAATAATGAAATATATATGAATTCACAATATGTTTGTATATATAAAAAGAAAAGGTGACGGTATAATGCATCCAGTAAAATATGACGAATGACGTGAATGTAGCTGCTGATTGGTAGGTCGTCGCAATGTGCTTCACACTTCATGATCTTTGTAGAAACCATAGATTATGTAGTAATATATACTATTCTCTCCCAATTACTTTTGGAGAAATCTTATTCTCGGGAGGAGTAGTAGGAATGCCTTTAAATAAGGACTATAAAATTAAAGACAGCTAAATGCCATAGAATCAATTTAATTTTTACTCTGTACTCATTTCGTCATAGTCGTAGAATACTGACGGATCTGACAAATATTAAATATATATATATATATATATATATATATATATATATATATATATATATATATATATATATATATATATATATATATATATATATATATATATATATATATATATATATATATATATATATATATATATATATATATATATATCGTTATATATTCTACGAAATATGACGATATATTTCTCTTGTTTAAAATGTTATATTAATTAAAATTCAAATTATTACAAATTTTCTTCAATCTGTTTTAAAAATATAGAATAACGTTTCATATCCTTGACGAAATATTAGTTGTTTTGTAGTTGAAAATGTGTTAACATTTTACAGATCTAATATTGAAATTACGTGGTCTATCAAGCTATATCCTTAACAACGTCAATCAAAATAAGGTTTAAAATCTTGAACAACATTATAAGATCTATAATCTTTCTACGCTGACTCAGCACTTCATCAAGATGATGACGTTCAATAAGATGCAGTTATTGCGCGCGTAAGGTAACGTGTGAAACTTCTTTGCACTCTCTCAATACGGATATGACATTGATATTGGGGATTCGCGCGGCGGCGTGTACTGGACGCGCGTTATGCGCGGCCTAACACCTCTAAATTCTTGCGCGGCGTTTAAGAAATCGAGCGGCGCTTAACTATATTATCAATATGTCCATTAAGTGATAGTTTTGAATCCAGTATCACTCCCCGCGCACGCTTACATTAGCCGCCTCCTCAATGCACTCATTCAATAATTTATATTTTGTGGGTATTATATTAACATTTCGAGTAAATTTTATATGATAACATTTAGAAAAATTTAGAACCATCCTATTAGCATCACACCACTCTTGTACCGATTGAAGGTCTTGATTGAAGGTATTCATTTCCATTATTAGAAACCACAGCACGGCGTCACAGTTAACATTTAAAATATTAAGACTAATAATAGGTTCCTTATTTTTTTTTTGTTTACAACTTAGAATGGCAACCAAGCTGACGGCCCACCTGATGGAAAGTGGTAACCGTCGTCTATACACATGAGCAATACTATGGACATAACAGAGTATACTGTTTCGCTCACGATACCCCCCATGCGTTGCCATTCCTGGGCACTCAGGTGTTATTCCTCTGTACCCTGTAAATTCACGCCATATCCCACCCTTCAAACCGAAACGCAGCCGTGAAAACACAACTGCTTCACGGTTGAAACACGAATGGTGCAGAGGTGCCCAAGCTTATTATTATAAAAGTACAAAATTGGTTTGCGCAAAAAAGGATTGCCATTCTAAGTTGTATAAAAAAAAAATATTATTAAAAATTTTCTTTTCCAGCTATATTTATTCACACAACATACGTACATAGACCGACGAAAGGTAGCTGCCGCAGTTCGACTACCTCCTGATGAGGTTTTGCAGATCATCCGCACGGTTGCCAAATACAACCCGCAGCACGGCTGGGAACTTCTGATACCGCCAGATCTAGCGTTTGAAGCGAAATACCCAGAGGTGATGCAGCGCCAAAACCTCCACTGGGAAGCACGTCAGAGGTTGTTCAACGAGATGCTTATAGGAGAAAGCGTTCCTAAACGGCAGAGGAAAAAGTCGCAGAGGGAGTCGGTTAGTTCCGATACGATGCTGAGTCCAAAAACGAGGTGTAATAGTGTAAGTGAAGAAGACAGTGATAGAAAAAGACATAAAAACAAATCCGCTACCGGTAGCGGTAAACGGACCCGAAACATTAGTTCAAGTAGTGCACACGATGGTACGTGATCGTCACGGAGTAGGTAGGTTATCAAATTTTATTGGCGTTGGTGCGGAGTTTTCACTATGACGTTGAAATTGATGATTTAAAAGTGCTTGTAAACAAGTCTATTTTAATAAAGATATTTGAATTTGAATTTTGAATGTAGGTATTGACTCTCCCAGTGCTTGCATGACTATATTTTGATTTAAATGGTGAGGAATTACTAAGTAGAGACAGAAGTCTTTAGTCCTGAGGAATGGAAAAATAAAGTGTATATATGATCTCCCTGGTGCAGTTTATGTCTATAGGCGAGGCGATAATAACTTTCCATTAGGCGTGCCTTTAATTTATTTGCCATTTTATGTAGTATAAATAAAAACATACAAAGTACAGTAAAATACAATCTTTATGTCATAGTGAAAAACTAATTTTTCTGCATATTCCTCGCTTGCTTGTTTGATAGTGAAGAAGGTACGATAATAATGATTGTGACATATTAAAATTTTTTTATTTTGTTATTGCAAATCATTGTTGCGATGATGGGTAGGAACTGATTTTGTTTTAAGAGTAGACATCAATAGTACATTACAGTAATACATACATCGCTAGCGTGGTTTATTTTGGGGAAGCTATTGGTAATAATTATTTTGTCCAAGTTAACTTGAATGCAAGGAATAGATATATGTATTGTAATTATATTTTTTTGTGCTTCCAGTATTATTTTTAAATGTATGTATAATAAAAATGTAATGATTTTGTTTTATTTTAAATTCTACTAGTATTATAATTGTTAAAATTTGTCGAAAAGTTTACTTGTTTGTTACACAGTTACACTTACTTGGACATATGAATGGATTTGAAGAATTTATTAATATCATATGAAAAATCATATTTCAAAATTGTATGATTGGACAAGTCGGCAAGATTTGATTCCATACTGTAATTAATAACGATTTTATTGATAGATTCATCTGGTCTAAGGAGAGCACTTGAACTATGCCTCACTGGATGTCCATTTGGAAAATACTTAGTCACTTGAAAATGATTGAGTTTTGTTGATTTTAAAATGGGTATCTTATCTTCAATATTTATAAATATTACATACATATTTGTCACGCCTGTCTCCCATTAGGGAAGGTAGAAACAATGTAACGACAAATGCCAAATCGCCATCATTATCCATCTTCTCCAAATTGCCAAACAAACGCAATATTCTTTTTTCGATTTTGTCACTACATTGTCTTTCAGTCCGCACTTTTCCCTAATCACATTGTTTCTTACTATATATATATATATATATATATATATATATATATATATATATATATATATATATATATATATATATATATATATATTATTGCAAAACTAGAATCCCCATTATAATCACCTAGCGACCCCAATGCGATATATAATAGTATAGCTGATGTACACAATATAATATGCAGTGTAAATAGTTAATCAATATTTATTATGAAATGCTCATAAAATAATTTCATATGAATTAGTAAATAAACTATGATCTTGTAATAGTGTGTGTATGACACTACTAATGTGATTTATAATATGTTGTTATCCTTTTATAAACAAAATAAACATTTTAATATTTTTGTTTTGTGTTGTTTTTTACTTTATACCATTTCGTTTGCTGAGCAAAATTGTAAAATTAAATTAGCTCTGGTATTATACAGCTTTATCAATCAGAGTGTAATAAATGTGTTCCATATTTTTAAGTGGCTTAAAAAAGGTGCCCAATTCAACTGTGTGTGAATCGATTTTAATGATACCTTTTAAACGAGTCAAGTCCTGTACCTTACCATACCTATACATTTTGTCACGACCAAGATTGAAGTCAGGTATCGAAAAAAAAATTTTAAACTATACAATTAAAAAATATAAAGTTTCATTCCTATTTTTTTATATATATTCGCTAATTTTTAACTGATTCTGATAATTCGTTCTATCTACAGGTTTTTTTTTTTTAATATATTAGATCTATATTAAATTTATTACGATAAAGTATGGATTGTCTAACGTCAATATGAGACGCCTCTCCAATATATTTTAGTGACACACCATTTTAAAGAGAATTCCTTAAGATCCCTAAAATAGAACAATTAAAGATTGTCTCATAAAAAAAAAAAAACGGACTTCAATCGTAACAAAACCATTTATTTGATCACACACATTGATCCAAAGATTAAATTTCGGAAACTATTTTGATAATATTTCTTATCCAATCAATTGTAAGTTTTTTATTTATATAACATAGAATGGCAAACAAGCTGACGGCCCACCTGATGTAAAGTGGTAACCGTCACCTATAGACATGAGCAGTACCATGGACATAACACAGTATACTATTTCGCACATGATACCCATGCGTTGCCATTCCTGAGGACTCAGATGTTATTCCTCTGTACCCAATAAATTCACGCCATATCCCACCCTTCAAACCGAAACACAACCATGCAAACACAACTGTTTCATGGTTGAAACACGAATGGGGCAGAGGTACTCAAGCAATCGACTTTTGTACAGTCTCCCTCTGGTAAAATCCCTCTGTCTCTCTGGTATATCCTTTCAGATAAAAAAAAAGAATCTTCCAAATCGGTTTCCAACTGAAGGAGCTATGAGATGATGATGAAATATATGATGAAACATAAAAAAAATACAACTGATTTGAGAGCCTCCTTTTTGAAGTAGGTTGAAAAAACTTTCTTATACTTAATCCTCTCTCACGATCTTACCAGTGAGTCAAAAGGAGGAGTTTGAGTAAAACAACATTATTTTCCACAAATATCTATTTGGTGATAGTTACAACAATAACAGAGTAATGAAAAAACACATACACTGCGGGGAATAGACAAGTGCTGTAGACAATTGGGAAACTATATCCTTTTTAAATAAATTATTTCGTTCCATTTTACACATTTGATTATCATTGACAATTTGTTACGAACAAATTAATTACGTTCACTTAACATATTAAAATTTCTTGATAATTCTTTCTAACGGATACATATGTTTGAAAGTGTGTATGTGAAGAAAAAAGGAAGATAATTTAAGAAGAACCATTTATTTTAATTTAAAAAAATAAACTATTAAACTGACGTTAATAAAATTTCTACGGCAGCAAAAAAAAAATACAACCGAATTGAATACTTTCCTTCTTTTTGAAGTCGATTGAAAAGAAGAAGAAAAATTAAAAAAGTACACTGCAAAAATACAACAAATTATGGTTACGATGCAACAGTCAATTAAAGTCAAATTCTATTTTATGATAAGCCTAAAGAATAGAATAAACAATTAACAAGTAGGTGTGATATATTTTCGTTTGCCACTTGTCTACAACTATTTATGTATTTACCAACATTAACATCAATATTAAAATTAAAATAACTATTTTAATATAAAACTTATTATTTAAATGCTAACATTGTTATATTTAGTTTGTGTCTTTGGACTTAAATTGGCGGAAATCCGACGTTATTTGATCAATATGATATAATTTTTTGCACAGTAGGTATTTTTAATATGTTACAAGCGATGTTTCTAAATATTATGTAAAAAAGTAACAATTATTAGTTGCACATAACATATAAGTTACGTAATGAGAAATTATTGAATATTAATAGAAAATATCCTCTGGCAGAACCGAAGCAGGTAACAACGTTTTTTTTTTATGAAACTAAAATAGCAAACAAGCCGACTGCCTGTCGGACAGAAAATAATAATTTTTATCTATAAACTTAAACTGCACTGTAGACATCGCAGAATACATTGTGATGCCCACGTGTTGATGCCACGAATAGCAAATTCCTGAGGACTTATGCCTTCGTGGCTAGTAATTTCAAACCGTAACACAGCTATGCAAGCACTGTATTTATTATTTAAGATAACTATAGGAATAGAATTTACTATTGCTATATATCGTGTGGTTCTAACATAGAATGGGCCATACCTTCCTATTCTGTGGGTATCGTAAGAGGCGATTAAGTTAACTTAATGGTCGAGGGATGGGCAACATCACCAAAACCTAACTTACCAACCCGCCTGCCAAGGGTGCCAACTGCTGGCGAAACATCACTTATTTGGGAAGTCTATGTTCAGCAGTGGACAGATAACGCTGGTACAATTGCTATAGGTAATCTTAAATAGTATTTACGTCATACTATGTCTATAGTTTTTATCATAACTATGCACTCTAAGGACATTCAGAATTCACATTGTTCATATTAAGAAGTATTTGTCATATTAAAATTACGAAAGTAATAAAATGAAAATAATATGAAATGAAATAGGAAGACCCTTCCTAAATAGGACACCATAGGATTTACACTTAAAATTACAGTGTAAGAAAGTATTTTATAAACTACATTCATGTCTGCTACTTTATACGCTTGAACTTCAGAAGCATGAAAATCAATTATATAGACCTCTTTTAGATGGTCTATCAAGATAAAACATACACCAACAGGCTTACTCTTGAATTTAATATCGATGTTATTCCAATCTAATGCCAATGACAATTTTGTACTGCACTCATGAAACAACAATTAGAAATTAGAATTGGGATCGGTTTGCAATAGTTTCCATTGGCAAATTGCACTAATATGCATCTACCAGAACAGTATAGAACAGATATGTCACTAGTATTGGAAATAGAGAATGTGAAACATTTCAGTTCAAATATCGATCTATTGGAATTTATTTCAAGTGTAACTTCATTGATTTTAAGTTAGTCCTTCAAGAATATAAGCGTGAAAACCGTATTCAATTTGATGCAGTTTTTGCGTGAAACGGAACAAACATCGTCTGGTTACAATTTTATTGTATTAGTAAGATGTATAAAACAAAATATTATAGGTATTATTGCCCTCTCTTCCATAGGAGTAAGCCTCAGATATGGTATAAAAAAAATATACTCCACATACTGTGATTTAAGGGGTAAGCAGACACAATAAAGAATATTATTAGATTTATAAATGAGATTTTTGTTATTATCTGTATCACTTTATTGATACTTATTTTTTTTCTTATTTTCAACATCAGTGTCCTAACTGAACTATAATAAGTACTTAATAATATTTTTAATTTTTCTTATATCCAATTGCCAAATAAATATATGGCAATTTTTATTAGACAATTGAATATTTATACGTAAAAATTATGATCACGATTATATTAAAATAGGTTACAATTTTACAAAACAGGTAGGTACTAAAGTATAATGTAAAAGTACCATGAAATATTAAAAAATACAAACTTATATTTCTTCATAAATAAAATCATATATACTCATGTAAAAATATTAACAAATAAATTAGGTAAATTATGAGTCCAACGAATAAATTCTAAAAGAACGAACCTATGGCACAAGTTAGGTATGTGCGTGAAGTTTTAACCGTTAGCTAGTTGAAGTAGCTTATTTGAAGTGTTAGAGTTATACACAGGCAAACAATATAAATGTAATTCCTTATTATTAGGATATAGATGTCCATAAAAGTTAAAGAATTTTTTTTTCCAGTGTCAAAAATATTGGTGATAAATGAACAAAATTATTCAATCTAAGTAACTCGTGATTCAGTAAGTAGTGCGTAAGCGTAAGATAATGGTTTTCAAAGTATATATTATTTTAAAATTATATAATATTAAATAATTTAAAATATATTAAATATTCTCACCACTGTAACTTTGAAAGACACTGATAGATTTGAAAGAACGCGTAGTTAAAATAAGAAAAGGTAGGCTACATTGTTTCAAGTATATGGAAAGAATTGTTATGACTAAACAAACGAAATAGTTAAATCACATGTTTCAATACATTAAACTAATTTTAAACCAAAATAAACCAAAACCGCGAATAAAGCTGAAAAACCGTTAATCTTTACAGCACTATTACAGAATTTCAAATCGCAGGTATTAGCGAGCGCCCCAAATTTGTTGACGACGTATGACCAGTCGCAGAGTCCGACCCTGCATCCCTCCACGTACATAGGGTATTCATTCTCTAGGAAAAGTACCTGATATCGTTCTTTCACCTGGAAATTTCCGTTTATTGTACACCTGAAAAGTAGTTTATATATGTTAAACCTTTCATATAGCGTCCATTCTGAGGCTACATTTCTCTAAATTTACCTCTAAAATAAAAATTTCAATTTGATATAATAGCCAAATCTTTATGGACCAACATCAACTAAATTTCTAATAGGTTTTAATAAAAAATATTATAAATTCAATTTATCATGGTCCATAAAATAGTAATTTTGGGATAGGTATATTAAATTAAAATATTAGATTGAATGTGTGCTCCCTGCATAGAACATTCCACCCCTTCCTTTCCCGTGGGTGTCATAAAAGGCTAGTAAGGGAATTTAATGCTAGAAGGATGGGCAGCAGCGTCCATAAACATCACCAAAAGCTAACTGCGGTTTCCGGGGGGAAAAGGGATTGTTAGTAATGGAGACTGAGAATCCCATTGCTACCAATGTACCCAACCAGGTCGACCTCCTTGCGGTTCTCCCTGGAAACTATCATGATTAATTCCTGATGAATTCATCATGATGGACTAACTGGCCTGTTTTCATTCTCATCTATCATTCTTCACTGGTGCTCCGCCAGCGTATCCCGTTAACGCAGGCGGGGTTACCATACCATTTTCACCCATCAAAAAAAAAAATGCGGTTGCCAACCTGCCTTCCAAGCATAGCAACTATTGGCAAAACTTCCCTTAGGAGAAAGGCTTAGTAGTGGACAGTTAACTGCTAAAATAATAATAAATAATAACTATAACAACATCGAGGTCCGGTAATCCTTACTAATGTCATAAATGTGAAAGTGAGTTTGTTTATTACATCTTAGCAGCTTAAACAATCACTATGAAAATTTGGCATACACATTCTGTATAGGATGGGAAAGAACATACAATAATCTTTGTCTCAGATAATGAACATACCACGGTCAGGCGGACTAAGTCGCGTTTAAAAATTTGTATTATTTTCATTGCGTCTGGCGTCTGTGGTGTTTAACCAAAATTAAGGGCCACAATTTGAGGCGAGACATTGCATCGTGAGCACTATAATAATCGCTCAGAGTTCCGGATGCAATCAAAATAATTGTCGGAAACGACAAAGATTCCAGTTGGCCACTTATATGTAAATCTTTGAAGTCTCATACTGAAAATGAGTCTCTTCCAATTGGATAAAAATATTAATCTATTATTACCATACCAGCCAAGCGGCTTGGTATAGGAATTGATTTCAAGTTCTCCTCCAACAATGTCTAGGCATTGTGCTTTGTTTCCTTAGTCGTCATAGAGAATTTAGTTATATAAAAAATGTTTGCTAGTCTATATCTATCTTTCTTGTGTATATAATTCGAGATTCGAATGTTAACCAGCTGTAATTGCATGGCTGCATTTGATAGTAGTAAAATTACAGGGTATGGAGGCTTTGTAGTCCTCAAAATTGATGTAAACACTCATTGCCATTTCATGAGATATCATGAGCTTCCCCGTAAATTCTTTTACATCCACCTTACGACACCCATGGGAGAGAAAGTGGTAGTCTTTCTATACCGGGACTACATGGCGATGTTATGGTGGTACTCACTTGTAAAGTATAGCAGCTGCGTTGGCGTTGAATGGTGACATTTTAGACGTGGTCCATTTGCGAGCCTGTATCGGGCTTGTATGGTAGTTGTCGCCGGTGAGGGGGGCGGTGTCCTGGTGGGTGTTCATCGCGGTCAGCAGCATCAGCAGCATTGGGGAATCTATCAGGTTGATTTGTGCTCGGGGCTGTTGGGGCTGGGGGTCTGCAATATTAAATAAATAAGGTGAGAATTCTCACGACCATATTACTCCAATGGGGTAACTAGAGGCGTTTGTTGAAGATTGCTGTTGTGGTGAATATACACTCAACATATCCACATTTTTATCATCGTCATTGTAATTTCAGGCATTACCCGTCTACTGTTGGACATAGGTCTCCACCATAGACCGCGTTAAGGAACGGTCCTGAACCACCTACATTCATTGACTTCCTGCAAATGCATTTGAGGTCGTCACTCCATCTAGTTGGGGGTCATCCTAGACTGCGTTTTGCCCGCCATTAATATGGCAGGGGACGAACCTACTACCGTCATTCAGATTAACCATACAAATCAAATTACGTCATCACCAGTATGTATGTCTGCATCTGTCACCCATATTTTGCGTCACTGAAGGTTGTCGGCTAGATTTTAATTTATGGATTTTGAAGTTCAGTATATTGTTCAAATTCATTTATCATGCCTACTCTAGATGCCATGTTTTTAGAGTCGCAGACATAATTTCTTGGCTCTTAGATGATTAAAGTGTAGACTTTAAAAAGGTACAAACAGAGTTTCCTGTTTCATATTCCTTCTTGTTTCACTTCCTTATTTTGTGAATATAATATAAGTATACCAGAATTTCACAAAAGAACGAGTTACCGTTTTCAATGTGCTTGGTGAAGAAACCCATCATGTCTCTCAGAAGGGAACAGCCAATGTTCTGGTTTTGAGGCGTGCCGTACCCGTACTTGTAATATGTCTCCAAATCCTCAGCATACTCTATGCGCTTCAGGTCTTCTCTGGTGAAAGCCTAAAAATAAATTATTGGCTTGTTTAGTATACATTTTCTTTTTGCTCTATTTTCTGTTCTTTTATACCTATTTGTTTTGTTATTGTGTGTAAAATAATTGTATATATAATAGTATATATATACGTACTTAGTGTAAGGTATGCATATGATTATTTGCATATGTTTTATTAACATAAGCGGTTTTCTTTTTTTATTAGACTTTCTTTTCTTCTCTATCTAAAGTTTGTCTGGAAGAGATTGCTTCAGCGATAAGACCGCCTTTTGTACGTCATAAGTATAATACGTATTTATATTTGTATTATTCTTTAAGTGGTGCAATAAAGAGTAAATAAATAAATAATATAAATTACTTCAGTAATAAAGATTTATTATAAACTATAGCATTATCTTGATTAGAAGTGGTATATGTTTTACTATTTCTGAAATCCACACGTAGGTAGTAGTTAGCAAAAATGCTAGTAAAGAATAAAATAATTATATATGACTCACCGCGCACCATTGCGAGATGGCTGCATTGTCCCATGCCTTGTTGTATCGGCACATTTGATACATGCTGTACACTATTTCTGGATTTATACCATAGTTGAATCCCAACCTTAGAGATATGTTGGTTATCATCTGTAAACAAGCCAACGGGATATTAAAGTCGATGGGTTTTGGGATGTTTATAGATTAATAGCAGATTAACGGGGGAAAAGGGATTGTTAGTAATGTGTTCTAACAGTCCCATCGCTAGCAATATACTCTATCAGGTCGATCTTCACGAAGTTCCCCCTGGAAACCGTCGTGGTGAATTCTTGTAGAATTTCTCACGATTGGCAGACTGACCTGCCTTCATTTTCATCTATCATCTCTCACTGGTGCCCCGCTAGTGTATACCAATAACGCTGGCAGGGTTACAATTCCATTTTCTATTGAAAATTCCTATTTAAAAAAAATTGAGTGATTTACATTATGAATCAGACTCAATGGAATTACAAGTGTGGTAGTTTAAACATCATTCTAGATTCTAGATGAACAAATAAGAATGGATTATGAAATACTAGTCGTATCCCGCGGCTTTGCTCGCGTCAATTACTATGTATGTAAAGTATCCTATGTGCTAAGTTAGGATGTAACCTACTCGTATACCAAATTTCATTCAAATCCGTTCAGTAGGACGGACAGGGATTGTTAGTAATGAGATCTAATAGACCCATTACTAATAATATACGCCTAACAGGTCGGCGTCTCCTCAGTTCCCTATGGAAACCACCATGACCAACTGACCTGCTTTATCTTCACCTATCATCCCTCACTGGTGTCCCGCCAGCGTATACCGTTAGCGCAGTTACCATTCCATTTTCATCCATTAAAAGAATTCCTTCAGTAGTTGTTGTGAGTTTCTGTTTCCTTTTCATCTAATTCGATATAACATTCGCTGTGATGGTAATAATAAATGTATATTAGTAAATATATTATTTTATTTTGCTGTGTGGTTTCGGCAAAGAATGGGCCATTCCTTTCTTTTCCGTGGATGTCATAAGACGACCAAGGAATTTAATGGTCGGATGGGCAGCAGCATCCCAACGAACCAAGCGTGGCAACTACTGGCAAAATCATCCTTATGAGAGAGGCCTATCTTCAGCAGTGGATAATTAAAGGCTGATGGATATGATGATCATGATATGATGATTGGTAAACATAATTGCAATCAAACTACGAGACTCACCTCTTTGTATTCCTGCTTTGATTGAAATATGTGCATTTGGGACAGAGTGTCGTTGTTTTCTCCAACGTTGTTCTTCCACGCCGGACAGAATTTGTACGGCTGAAACAATACAATTTCATTTATAAATAATGCAGTGGTAGGTACGTTGATTTGCGCGTATTAGGTTTCGGGTTCTATTCTCGTTTGGAAACTAACATTTCTGAATTGTTATTTTAATGTTATGTTACTTTAGCACAGCTGGTATAATCACAACTGGTTTACTAGTTGTGATTAAAGTAGGGGTTTGATTCTGTACTATTTATCATTATTATTATACATTAATTATTTATATGTTTTTGTACATCCACTTTTAATATTAGGTTATAACGAAAGCGTATGTGCGCGCGCGCGTATGTGTGTGTGTGTGTGTATGTGTGTGTGTGTGTGTGTGTGTGTGTGTGTGTGTATGTGTGTGTGTGTGTATGTGTGTGTGTGTGTGTGAGTGTGTGTAAGTGCGTGCGTGCGTGCGCGCTTACTTACGTGTGCGTAGTCGTGTGCGTGTGTGTGTTACTACAAAAGACTACTTGTTCGTAAATAATATTTCTCACCCTTATAGTTTTCTCGTCATTTTCTTTCGGTATATCCAACCCTTCAGTTGGCCCTCGGAACATTCCATCTGTGAATGCTCTGAAGCTTGCACTGTAAAGCGGTTCGTCCACGTATTTTACCTGAAAATCACAATTAATGACTTAAGATTTTTTTGCATACAAGTCTCTTCCACAGGGATACAATTAGTATGATGAGTTTATTGATTGTAAAAAAAATGACAAAGTCAGTGCAAAATCAGTTAAAATATTTTGTACTAAAAATGGCCATGCAATGTCCTCGGTATTGCAGATGTCATAATCTACAGTAATCGCTTACTAAATCATGAAAAAATCTAAAAATAAATCTATAATAAATTAATCAAATGGGTCATATGCTTGATTGTCATATGTGTAATTAAAAAAAACTACCTATAAATTTAAATATTGCTTTTTATTTATTTATTTATTAAACACAAGGAATATACAATATGAGTACATTGGAACCTGCACCAGGCGAACCTATATCGCGGGAGTCAATAAGGGATTACTAAAACAATGTTTTATAAATATAGATCAGTGAGCCAATTTTACAGTACCAAGCAGAAGACACGTGACAGAAGGACATCATTAATCTATACTTATAATATAATAAATCTGTAGAGAGGTCAATTCTTTACATGAAATATATTTCCAAAATAACTGTCAGGGAATGATTAGTGATCGATACTGTTGCCAAAAATGCAATCAGTAAAATTTTTGTCTGCCTGTCTGTCTGTATGTTCGTTATAGAAACAAAAACTATTCGACGGATTTTGACGAAACTTGGTACAATTATTCTTCATACTCCTGGGCAGGTTATAGTATACTTTTCATCACGCTAAGATCAATAGGAGCAGAGCAGTGAAGGGAAATGTTGGGAAAACGGGAGAAGTTATTCTATTTTCAAGCTTCCGTCGCGTGTGCGGCCTTAATGGCCACTTTTTAAAATGGAAAAATGTCCACCCGTGCGAAGCCGGGACGTGCCGCTAGTTAATAATATAAAGGCGTTTTGTAAGGACATGTACCTAAAACCATAATTGTGACTGTAATCTGTCAGAAACTTATTTCTATGTCGGATTTGTAACTTATCATGTCAAAAATTTGTTTACTAATACTTACCAAGTAATCATGAGGATTGTCAGTAAGAAGTCCTGGGTACCTCTGCTTCCAGGCTCTAGCGAGCTGCTGCGTTGTCATGTAGCCCTCGCTGGTGAGCCCTTCTGCGAATGTGGTGTTGATGTATGGGTTCCACTGCCATCGTTCCAGCAACTCAACGTCGGTAGAACAGATCTTTCTCTGGAAATTGAAAACATTTTTTTAAATACATTTTAATAATCGATAACTGCATACAGTGACGGTAGCATATTTGTTAATCGATTTAAAAAAAGTTGGACGTTTTCTATTCAGTTGTAACTTTTTTTATGTTTGTTACCTCAGAACTCTGTCATTTATGAACTGATATAGATTTTCGTTTATTTGAAGGGATTTATCTTATTAGATTGTTCCCATAGAAATTTCTTCAAAATTTTTTTTTCTATCTTTATTTGGTCTTCAAGCAACACTTGTTACACTGATAAGATTTAATATTAAAATTACTGTCTATTCATACTTAGTGTACAATCAATTTAAAGGAAACACAGCATGCTTCAATATCGCTTCAAAATCGGTTTAATAATTTGGTTTATAAATTAAAATAATTAGTTTTACCACAATGGAAGTTGGTATCTTTTCTGTTGAACAAAACCTTTTTGTAGATTTGTCTTAATAGGATCTCGATTTTGCTTCACAGTTGGGCAATTAAAAAAGTTATTTTGCACATTGGTTGAAATCTGGGTGATCTTAGTTTTGTCGTTTTGGTTCCGATGTTTGTTGTTTGATTTCTTACAAAACAATACCTTATTATTTCAAATTAATTTGTTAGGATACTTTTTAGCTCGAAAATTAGTAATTGGTGTGTTTGGGTGCATTTGTCTGCTTCAACAAGACTGAAATCTTAGATAGATAGTGTCTCCATACAAATACTTCGAGAAAAACGGGTCAACTTTTTCATACAATTTTGCGTGATAAATAGATAAGAGTGATTCCTTTATAATTAAATATAGATACGTCAAGATACACTGTGTTCGTAAATATATAGAACACTAATAAAAAAACGAGTCATAATTCGACAATTTTACAAAAAAAAAGTTAACCTGTTTTTGAAGTTCCAAGCTCTATCTATGGTATATAATCAAAGACTGAAATATATGGATTTTTATACTTCTGTACCTAGTAATTGTACTGCAATATCCCACTCTTATTCCATATCAATGCAATGACAGATGTAGTTTATACAACACGATCGTTTCGTATATCCCTCCGATGAGAGTATACTACTTTGTTAATATTATGTCCTTAGCGCGCGATGCTTATTTAACTTGAAGCATTATACCCATAAGACGAATTAAAAAAGTTAGTTTTTAAATAGAAGCCTCGTGTTCTCAGCATGGAACGGGCCAACCCTTCCTATCCCGTGGGTGTCGTTTGAAACGACAAAGGGAACTTAATAGTCGGAAAATAGGAAGCAGTGTCTCTTTTAAAACATAAACAAAACCTAACTGCGGTTTCCAACTTGCTTGTCAAGCGTGGCAACTATTGGTAAAATCCTCCAAAAAGAGCAAGTCTACGGTCAGCAGTGGACAGTTTACGGCTGAAATGATATTTTTTAATTTTTTAAAATAACATTCAATTCACATGAAAAGGTTTGCTGGAAGAAATCTCTTATTAGAGATAAACTCGCTTCTGTACATTATGTTTAAAATGAATTGTGCTTGAGATTATATTTGTGTACAATAAAGGATAATGATAATATTGAGTATATTTTAGTATCTAATATTAAGATAGATATAAGAAATTGTTAGCTAATACTAGGAGTTGACATTAATCAATTAATTTGAAGTACTGCAATATAAATTAGCTCGTCTAGAGGTTGATTATGATCATGTTTCCTTACTTACGAGTATAATGTATATTGTATTAACTATAGTTAATACCTTTATGTGATAATTATGAAAATGAGTCATAATTAATGCTAGTAGCTACCTATATCTATAAAAAACTATTTGGCAGCTATCTAATTAGCGTTCAGGCTGGGGCCGTGGAAAAGAGACTGCGAACTAACGCAAAAACGTTGGTGTTTTTTTTTTTAAATGGATTATAATGGAATGGTAACCTCACCCTCACTATCGATATACACCGGCGGGGCACCAGTGAAGGATGATAGGTGAGGATGAAGCAGGTCAGTTAGCCCATCGTGACGAATTCAACAAGAATTGTTCACGATGGTTTCCAGGGGGAACCACGTGGAGGTGACCTAATAAGGTATATTGCTAGCAATGGGGCTGTCAAACTCCCCCTGTCCCTGTCAAAATCCTTTTCCCCCCAAAACGTTGGAGTTAGGTACAGAAAGAATCAATGCTTTGAATTATTGATTAGTGAACCAGATTGATTTACAGATACTAAAATACTAAATGTAGAAATAGAGATGATAAAAAAAAACAAAATAGTGTTCATTATTCGCTTTGTCACTATGAGATTTGTTTTGTATAACTCATCGATTTAAATATACTAATACGTCAATAGTGACTCCATAATATGGAAGATATATTGAACTCGGCGTGTTAATCCCGTTGTGATTCTCGTAAAGTCAGCATTTTAATCCCCTGATATAGGTAAAAATGGTGATGTACGTGTAAACGAGATATTCACAAAATAAATTAGTTTCCAGCTTTGGATTTTTATTTGTTACTACAGTCTAGTATAATATTATATTATCTGTGCTACAGTTGAGCCTACATACTTGTCGGGGGGGGGGGGGAAGGGATTGTTAGTAGTCCCCCCTGGAATCCATTGATTCCAGATGTATTCATCACGATGGGTTAACTGACCTGCTTTTTCAATCTCACTTATCATCCTTCACTGGTGCTCCGCTAGCGTATACCGTTAGTGCGGGCGGGGTTACCATTTCATTATCATCCATTAAAAAAAATACCCATCTATACAATAATTAAAGATTGTGCCCCAAGCTGACTTTAATTATAACAAAACTAGTTTTTTTGACAGAACACAAAATTACTGAACGGATTTTGATAAAATTTCCATGAGATCAAACTATAAGCATATCCTTTCAAATAAGGCAAGAATTTTCCAAATCGGTTTACAACTATCGGAGTTATGAGGTAACAAACAAAAAAAACCGTATCGAAAACCTCCTTTTTTTTAAGTCGTTTGAAAAGACATTCTACTTACATTAGTGTTCCTAAAATTTCTGTTCCTGTAATTGTCGAGAATGTTATTCTTGAGATCAGTCAGATGTTGCAACTTGGGTATTTCACTGGCCTCGGGGTTGTTGGAGCCGTGTCTGCTTGCCAGCCAAAAAGCAGTGGGTTGACAACCTGCATAGACGATTACAATGTTATTTGTATTGAGAGAGAGTAGAGGAGTATAGAATCGTTTGATAAACATGCAACCGAATTGTTAACCTCCTTCTTTTTTTGAAGTCGGTAAAAAAATAGTATACCTTTTTTTTAATGGATAGTAAGGGAATGGTAACCCCGTCTGCGCTAACGGTATACGCTGGCGGGGCACCAGTGAGGAATGATAGGTGAAAATGAAAAGGTAGATCAATTAGCCCATCGTGAAGAATGCAACTAGATTTTAGCAAGAGGGTTACCAGGGAGACCACGTGGAGGTCGACCTGACAGGTTATATTGCTAACAATGGGACTTGTAGTTCGCATTACTAACAATCCTTTTTCCCCCTAATAGCCTTATTTGGTAGGTACACATGAGAACGTTCAAAATGTATATAAGAGGAAGGAGAAGTACGTTGGAAGGGATTGTTGGTAATGGGTGATAGATAAACCAGTGAAGGGTGATAGATGAGAATGAAAGCAAGCTAGTTAGCCCATCATGATGAATTCATCAGGAATTAACCATTATCGTTTCCAGGGAGAACCGCGAGGAGTTCGACCTATTGGTAGCAATGGGATTCTCAGTCTCCATTATTAACAATACCTTTCCTCCCTCCTTACTAGGTTGGTACTACGATGGGCCAACTGACCTGTTTTCATGTTCATTTATTACCACTAGTATCTCATCAGTGTGTATCAAAAGCGCAGGCGGGGTAACCATTCCATTTTAATCTCAATATAAGCACATATGTTATATATAACATATATAAAGACGTGCCATAAGAATAAATAATCCGAATCTTATAGTCATGTGTCTTGTTTCTTACGGATGTGCTTAGTCGTTCTATAATTATAAATACATATTACATATTAACACCTAGTTCTAAAAATAAACAAAATGTACTATGGGTAAGTACAAGAAAAGTTATAGATAAATATTATTTATGAATAAACACACACACACACACACACACATAATTGTGTGTATGTATTTATTAGATGATATATAGACAACACCCAGACCAATATAAAAAAGTATAATGAATACAAATGTTTGTATTATGTATGGTTGTGTATTGAACCATAGATAAAACAATAATGTTAAACCGCTACACCATCAAGGTCAACAAAACCCAAACCTGTTTTTTATCATCAGTAAAAGACAGACAAAGCAGTGGACGTATGTTTTTTTTTAATTTTCGTAAAGATTGTTCGTCCCTATTTCTTTTCCATTGTCACTTTCGTGTTCCTATAAATATTGATATCTAGAACGCACCTCATACATTGTGTCATATGATGGTGGCGTCACTGTGGCTTTTGTATTTCCTGTCATTACCTTGCTCTAATGTGTGTATTGAACAAGCGGCTACAATTAAACGTTTCTACTAATTAATTTCTATTTTCATTTGTATATTGAAATCCGGATCTTAGGTCAATCCGCAAATCTTCAACAGTTTCTCTGCATAAGAATCACTAAACGCCTATAATTTACATTACGTCTACATTCGGCAAAGGGAGGACGAGGGATGGGCAGCAGCGTCTCTCTTAAAACGTGTTTAAAAGCTTAACTGCGGTTGCCAACCCGTCTGCCAAGCGTTGCAACTACTGGCAAAACTCCCCTTATGTAGAAGGTTTATGCCCAGCTGTGGACAGTTAACGGTTAAATTAAAGTGAAATAATAATAAAAAAATGCTTACTCACACGATGGGCAAAATTTTCGTGCACGTGTATTATTTAATGGATGAAAATGGAATGGTAACTCTGTCTGCTCCATTGATATATGCTGGCGAGGTACGGGTGAACGATGATAGGTGAGGATGAAGTCAGATCAGTTTTTTATTGGATGAAAATGGAATGGTAACCCTGTCAACGCTATAGCTATATGCGGGTGGAGCACTAAGAGACAATAGATGAAGATAAAACAGGTTAGTTGGTTCATCATGATGAATTCATCAAAAAATAACCACGGTGGTTTCCAGAAGGAACCGCATGTAGTTCGAACTGTTAGGATATATTGCTAGTAACGGGATTGTTAAATTTCAATCACTAATAATCGCTTTCCCTTGTCAAGTCAGTTGGTCCATTTATGATGTCAGTTATATATTGCTAGCAATAAGGATGGTAGATGTGGGATTGCTAGCATTAGACGTGTAGAATTTTTTAATGGCTGATAATGGAATGATAACCCTGCCTACGCTATCGGTATATACTCTGAGAATCGTCTTCTACGATAAATTAGTTACGATAGTTTCCAGGAGGAACCGCGTGGAGGTCGACCTGATAGGGGATATTGATAGCATACCGACTAACCTACCCATTACTAACAATCCCCTCCCCCCTAGTTCAACCTGTAAGCGTATACTGCCAGTAACGGGCCTATCAAATTTCAATTACTAATTATAGACAGGTTATATTGCTAGCAATAAGGACGAAAAGTGTGGAATTGCTAGCATTAGAAGTATAGGATTGGATCGGTACTAACATAACACGTATAAGATGCAGTATACGATTTTAAAGGTCTCATTTTCCAAGGTGGGCCTGGCGTGTGGCAAGGTGGGTCTTAAGTAAAGGTTGTATATGTCTCTCAGACATGTCTTTGTGTAGATTTGCTCAAATTTTGAGGTGATCACCAAAGAGTGAGTTGGGAATAAATATAAAATTTGGCCCGAGGAGGAGACAAGGCAATGCAAGGTAAGGAGTTCGCGCATGTTATTAATGAAAATATATAAGATTTCATGCATTGTTTTATAATCTTTTTGTAGAGAGAATGTTATTGTTAATTTTAAATCAATAAAAAAGAACGCTAATTAAAAGTGGTTGATTATCCAGAACATTGCGAATCCTTTCAATTTCAAATTTTCCAATTTCTAATCCAATAACTTGGTATAAGTTCACAATTTTGATCTAAAAATCTATTTTAGAAGTTGGTTAAAAAATTCGTAAATTGTAACATGTATAAGATAATTTAGATCGTTAAATATTCCACAGCTTCATGTACCTTTATATCCGCTGTCTCCCATAACACCGTGGTTACATTATAAATAGACTACGCGTGCGTGCCACCAATAATGATGGTTACACCATAATGAAAACGCCGTAAAACCCATAAATAGCTAAGGCAAATGGTGACCTCAGGAAGATAGACGGCCGACCCTATTAGTTATCATTTGTCATTGCTAAATGAAACTAGGCGGATATCGATTGTCTCTAAGCTATCAAGTCTAGAAAAATCTAGATGGAAATAATTATAATATTATATAAAATTCAAAACTGAAATGTTACAAATAACAAATGTTCAGCAGTGGACAGTTAACGGCTGATATAATAATAAAATAAAAGACTAAATTTAATTAAAAATTTTATTTTAAAGTCATTGAAAACGGCCATCGTTTTAATTAATACACGTGTATGTATATTAATTTGTAACCAATACGTGCATATGACTGTATATTTAATTATATCAAAAGAAATAATTTCTAGTTTAAATGTAAAAACATTTACGCTTGGGAAATTTTTAATTTAATTACTTGCAACACAGAAAAATGACGCGTTTTGTTTTGTTTTTAAAAAGTATGAGTCAAAAATATTCAGTCAAACCTTTAATTTGCTGACTAAATGTTGACCTGTTTTGACGATAGATGCTATATAAACTAAGATAGTTGTAGCACATGTTAATTATGTTTCAGCAAAAGAACAAGGAATAGGAATAAATAGGCCTCGAACAGTTGATGCAGCGGAGAACAGCCAGTTATAAATGAAACAAAAAAAAAAGGCTATATAGGTAGGTACTATAGACAATATGTATTACTTCATCTGTAGTATAGATAGAGAGATGTGATGCTCGAGAGAATGATTGTTTTATTATTGGCGTGGGCCGTAATATGTGATAATTGAAACATTCTCGGAGCAAATCTAAATGAATGAACAACTGTATTATTGACACAATATGCTAACTTTATGTAGTGGAAAATTAAATGGAACCCTTTGTGGGGTGTCACTTCATGTGAAAAATCTATTTTGTATAGTGTGCTGACTTTGTTGAGCAACTTATGAAGGGCGCTTTGTTGAGAACGGGTAAACGAGAGTGAAGGATGAACTTGTTTACTATAATATTATTATATTATAAATATATAATGTATTTATTATGTAACAAACTTTTTGTACGCTACTTCGTATATGGGAATTTCAGAAAACCAATGAAATAGAACATTTTTAGATAGAGTATCAACATGAAACATATACTAATAGCTTTTGCGTGATGCCAGACAGACAAACAAAATTTTTAAAAATTATATTTTTAGCATCTATAATATTTGTTTTTTTTTACAACACAGGGGGCAAATGAGCATGCGGCTCACCTGATGGTAAGTGACTACCGCCGCCCATGATCACTCACAACACCAGCGGCATTGCAGGTGTGCTGCCAGCCTTTTTTTAATTTGGTTATTAAGACCGTCATATTAATTTTTATTAAGTATTTTACATGAATAGAAATTGCTTAGTAACATTTTTACTGCATTACTAAGACATAACAATAACAGGGTATAAATGTGTCACCATTGTAAGAATTATACATTCACTAATACAATCTTCATCATCATCATCACTACATATTATAAAACAAAGTCGCTGTCGTTGTCTGTCCGTCCCTATCTATGTTTAAATTTTTAAAACTACACAACGGATTTTGAAGCGGTTTTTAAGAGATAGAGTGATTCAAGAGGACGGTTTATATGTATAATACATGCATAATATTGTAGAGGAACACTGATAAATTTAGAGGTTTCTAATGTGATGTCGTAAATAAACACAATTTTTGCGCTTACATTGCAAACGCTGGCTAAACCGCACGAGATAAATCAAAATAATCTACTACAGTATTGTACACCTTAAAAGGTCAACAAAAAAGTCCGCGATGGTATATGTCAATCTCTTAAGAATAACCCACAATAACCATTCTTTATCTTTACATTTTACGGGAAAAAAATGGCTTATTTACGAAGTGATTTTAAGCAATACAGCATTAATTTTTATCCAATTAAGTACCTTAAATGCATTGTCCATTTAATATAGATCATTATGGCCCTTTACATCATGTAATTTGAATGGATATTCCCGAAGATATTACAGATTTAAAATGCAGGGATATAGGGGTGTGGCATTGTACCCGTGCGAAGCCGGGGCGGGTCGCTAGTAAATAATAAACATTATATAGAGAAGGACAAATAAAATTGGGATAGGACCAATCCGATCTGTGCATTTTTTTATCGATCTGTCTATCTTGAGATAGAAATGCTTTAAATTGTTTAATGGAACTTAATTATATTAATTAAATGATTTAATTTTAACTTCTTCTAAAACGGTTCTGGTACATTGTCAAGGGTATAAGGCAATGATGATATCCATCATTTAGTACTTAAGTATTAAAAACTAAACCGTATATAAAAAATTATAGAACTGAATAGGTTTATTTGTAGATAAAAGAAAAATATATTTTGAGTAATTTTTACTAAAAGTACCACTATTAAGCATAATTTTAAACCAATTTCTAAAAAGAGGAGTTTCTCTATTCAGGTTGTATTTTTTTATGTATATGTATTACTTCATAACTTCGATAGTTTTAAGCCGATTTGGAAAATTTATTGTTTATCTAAAGGTTCCATAAAATTTACAGTTAGGTCCCATAGAAATTTTATCAAACTAACTTCAGTAGTTTAGTTTTTAGATCTAAATAACTGGTTTTGTCAGAATTAAAATATTTTTTTTATGGGACATAATCTTTAATTTTTTTATATTTTTTTAATACAACTTAGAATGGCAAACAAGCTGACGGCCCACCTGATGGAAAGTGGTAACCGTCGCCTATAGGCATGAGCAGTACCATGGAAATAACAGAGTATACTGTTTCGCCCAAGATATTCCCCATGCGTTGCCATTCCTGAGGACTCGGGTGTTATTCCTCTGTACCCAGTAAATTCACGCCATATCCCACCTTTCAAACCGAAACACAGCCATGCAAACACAACTGCTTCACGGTTGAAACACGAATGGGACAGAGGTACCCAATTTATAATTTTAACATATTTTTTACCATCTTTAATAAGCGAGCTAAACTATCTATTACAGAGATCGATCTATGCCAGGTAGTCTAAAGGTATAGGTAAGAAATTTGGATAAATTCCAACAGTTCATGGTTACATAAACTGTAAATAATAACGAGTTTGTGTCTTTGAGCGAAATTACAAGGTTTAATGGGTCACAAAAATGGATTTGTCGAAGCACGAGTAGGCACAGATCAGATTTCAGTGAAAACTATTCGAAGTTTAATCTGTGTGTAGAATAAATAGTAAATGTTCATAAAAGGCATATTATTGAAGGCAATATTGCCTATTTATTTATTTAATTTTAAATATTTAAATCTCCTTTGATAGAAAAATTTGCTAATTAATAGAATTCTTTTAGAGGTCATCAGTTGTTTCCAAAAGCATAACAATCCCAAACATCGATTAATAAAATAAAAAAAATATATTTGAAGGATTTTTTTAATGGCTGCTTGGAACTAATGTATTATGCCTATTATATATAATATTTTATAACAATTTGTTTTATATATTTGTATGCGATTTGGTTAGTTTTACAATAAACATTACTAAATACAAAGATAAAAGGGTAAGATAATTAGAAATTGAACTTTATATAATAGACATTTAGACATATTTTTGAACATTAAAATTTTTTTAAACACATTATTATGCTTTACGGTGTTTAATAGTTATTTAACATTATTCATTGTTTTGTCACAAGACGCGATTATGAAGACAATAGGAAGGCGTCTGAGTGTTCAATATTTCTTATGCGTGCCAATTGAATAGGTGAATAGAGTTATTTTCTTTCAGATGAGATAACAGTAAATTTGTAATGTATTAATAAAGAATAACGTATCGGAATAGTAATGTGAATTTTTATAAAATTTTGCTCTTAGATATATGTTTTTATATTAGAAAAAAATATATACAAAATAATAAATATTCCTGAAACCTTGTCATGGTGCCACTTTCTGGGTCCAGTCGTGAATCTAAATTACCCAATAAAACGCATAAAAAATTCCATGAAAATGTGTCCAGCGGTTTAAGAGGAGTCCAGCGATATACTCTATATCTCCAGGCTCCAATTTTAAAATTATAGTCTTATTTACTAACAAACTTTTAGGTTTTTATATTTCTCAGCAATCGCAGAAAAACGCTTTCGAATGAATCGAATTTGTTATCTTTTTTTATTTTATTATAACTACTAGTTATTGCCAAATCACGACTTTTAAAACATGTCATTTCATCATGCATCAAGTTGAATGAACTAATTATGCAATTTTTTAACGTGTTAAATTGTCTGCTCGTTTCATTGTCCAGTCATTGCCATTATAATTTAGTGTAATCATGATAATAGAAATAAGCTAACTGTTTTGTGGTCAGACTACTTTTTTTTTCTGTCGTTTCTATAATAATCTATGGTAAGTATAGATATAGAGTTCTTTTCTTAGAGATTTATAAACATTTCACTTGGAACATTTGTCGTTCTAACTTATTTCTTGTATACGTAAAATTGTAATGAAAATAAAAGTGTAAATTCTTTCTTTTTCTTGTTTAATTCTTACTAAATTTCAGTTATAGCGGTAGTTAGTAACTATTCTGGGTCGCCTCATATTCTCTATTTCCACAAGAAAAAAATTTAAGCAGTTATTAATTACAATAAATGAATTTTAGTTTAAACAGTCTAGGGTATGTAAAGAATGAATCGGTTTTGATTTCATGTAACTAATGCATGCATTATGTTGTTAGAAGTTTACATCTGAAACTGTTGATAAAAATAATATCGTGAAACTAGTTTCGGTAGTATAGTTTCGTGTCATCATCATCATCATCATTATCATACCAGCCTTTAACTTGTATGTAGGCAATATAATGAATAGTGATTCATTATTTTTCAGTTTAAAAGATAAGATAACCAGTGTTATGTTTACAACAGACACAGAGAGCTTAGAAGTTACTGCATTTTGAATATGGAACATAAAAAAAAAAATATTTATTTTTTTACTCACCAGGTATTTCGTGTACTCTATTAGTATTCAGAGCATGGTTGGCGAAGAGGTAGGCAGTCTTCGAGCCAAACAGGAGGTACGGGTTCTCGTCCACAGACAAGCATGGCTCCTGACCAGCGACAGCAGTGACCAGAACTGTTATGGCAAGCCACCGCATCTTCAACAAAAAATTGGAGTTGAGGAAATGCGAGCAACGTTTTTCTCACACAAACATAATCTCCTGTTTTCTCCTTGGGTAATGATATTAGATTGACTTTTTTGACTATATAATTTTGTATCCTTTCCACGTCTTTGTTTTCCTCTTTTTCTAAAATATATCCACAGTCACAATAAAGTTTTTTATAGTTGCAATGAGAAATCCACTAAACAAATTTGATGAACATAAAAAAGAAAGACTTAGGGGCATACCCACAGGTCTTGTTTTATAATTAAAAACATACACTAAATTGGATCACAGTCAATTGCAATGTATCTGGGGCTTTATTGTTGGTTTTAACTTCACTCTCAAGTTATAGTTGTTGTATTGCTGTGCAGTTAGTCTAATCGGTAGCTTTATTAGAGAAGCGAGATACAAATATTTGGTAGTTTATTTATTACGGTTTATGTTGGTAGAATTTTATTATGTATTTAGGTAGGTAACTAACCTAATTTGATAAGAAATAACATATTTTGCTGTATTTTAATATAATCCTTGATACAAAAAGCTGTTGAAAACTCCATTTCATTTAGTTAAGCTTCAAATTTTGGTTTTAGATTTGTTTCATTATGTAAAAAATTATTGTAACTATAGGTAAGTTATCCCATAACTTGCTTTCTTATTATTGGTTTAGTAATTGTTGAACAAATGTAAAGTTGATTAAGGTTTGGTCGAATTGGTTTATGTAGATGCCTGCTGGCTATGGTCCTTAAGAGTAACTTATACACAAGAATTATTACAATAGTAATACTTTTTTTATGCAACTTAGAATGGCAAATAAGCTGACGGCCCACCTGATGGAAAGTGGTAACCGTCGCCTATACACATGAGCATAACGTGCAATGAGCATACCATGGATATAACAGACTTATTATGTGATGACCATTCTATTCGCAATTTATGACTTTTTATCCGATAGATAATTACCATCAGTAGAGTAAAAAAAATGTAGTAGTACTGACTACATTTTTTTTTATATATTACATACATACATAGGCGTATTTAAGAGGGAGGCCGAGTGGGCTGTATCCACTCGAGAATTGTTTGGTGTCCAACCTAGGATCCGAGCGAATCTAGACATAGACATGTTTGAAAGTGCATGTATACGCCTTTATAAGGGGTCAGACTCTCTCCCTGAAAAATAATCTTAAATACGCCTATTAATACATAGGTAATATGGTTAATCTATGGTTTCCGAACGAAGCAATTCATTAAACGCAATTTGTTTTGTTTAATTATTATAAGATTTACTGAAGATTTAATATGTAAACATTATAAAAATATTTGGGAAGTGTGACAGAGATATTGAGAGGAGAGTAAAAGCGGGAAACAGTGTTAACGGTGCACTGCTCTCGATTATGTCAAGTAAAAATGTATCGAGCAAAGCTCGCCTTGCTATAATTCAAGGAGTACTGACACCAACACTCATGTATGGAAGCGAATCGTGGGTATGGCAGAAGAAGCATGAAAGTAAGATAAATGCTGTACAGATGAGAGCTTTGAAAGTATCTGTGGTATTACTTTAAAAGATAGAGTAAGAAACAGTGTGATTAGAGAGAAGTTTGAAAGACGATGTAGTGACAAAAATTGAAAAAGGAATGTTGCGTTGGTTTGGTCATTTGGAGAGGATGGATGAAAGAAGAATTACGAAAGAGATTTATCGAGCAAGAATGAATGGAGATGTCGGTAGGGGCCGCCCTAGACGGACGTGAGGCGACGTGCTGAAGAAGGGCCAAATTAAAAGTACCCGTAACCGACGAGCGTGTATGACAAGATTGATGAATGTGGAAGAAGCGAAAGAGGTTTGTTTGAATCGAAGCATTTGGCGTTCCATTGTTTCTGCCTACCCTAATGGGAGACAGGCGTGACAGATATGTATGTATGTATGTATAAAAATATTTGCTGCTTTCATTTAGCCAATAATAGTTTTAATTTACTTTTATATCAATTTACATATTATAGACGAACCCGTTCCATTTAAACATTCTAAGTAACAAGAATTTCCATGATGAATAGAAACTTTTATTAAAAAAAAAGCAACAGCTGTTTCTTGTCCATTCTTTTTAGCTGAAACTGCATTCTGATAAAAAAAGATTATTCAAAAATGCTTATTATTTATTACTTAAATTTCACTTGAATAAACATTGATTAATATTATTATAATAAAAAGCAATGGCTTTATATTATCAATGTGAATATAAGCTTATAATAAATATTACTAAGTGAAGGAATTTCCTCCTTCGTATTTATTTACATAGGTAATTAACTATATGTTGCGAAATTGTTCATATAATATATACCTACCCTATTATTCATTCATTCGTTCTTTTATTGTAATCACTTAGTCATAATAGAGCAGGTACATAAGTACTTGCTTACTTTTAAAACGCCATACTTAAAGTATTGCTCATGACAGTGCTCCATTACGTTTACGTTCCCAGGGCCCACAAAAAGTTGTTCGACTTGTAAGTTCACCTAACAAAATTTGTTTTGATCTGCGTATCTTTAAACGGAAAGAAGTTAAAAGAACATGTTTTTTTTTTCATTGAAAAAGTCTGTTAATGATGTTATTGGATTTAAACCAATTAATAAAATAATTAATTTATTAATTAATTTACAGAAAGTCACAAACATCCTTCGATAAAGTTTCAAAATCAAAGCAAACAATATCAACAATAGCGGCGCAATGGCATTATACATTGATAGAACATAAAATAGTCTCTATAGAACATTATAGATCTGAAGAATCATTTACAATATCACTTTAAATGCACTTGAAAACTAAACGCTTTAGATAAAAGTCGAATATTACCTTTTCGCGGGAAGATTCGGGATAATATCCGTTTTGTCTATGGTCAAAAGCGCGGTTAACGCGGCGTCTCTCGCTCGCGATGGCGGAGGTACTGAATTGAGTTAGGTGAGTTTGGTTTTGCCTCTTGTTTGATGTTTTACCGGGTCGTGTGGTGCTTGCTCGTTAGCTAGTCATCTGCGAGAGGCTTTTCAATTATAAAGAGACCCATGGTTGAAAAATTTTAATCAATTCAACATGACTACTTAGATTTTTATATTTAGGCCAAATAGCTTAGGCAAATGCCAATTGTCTTGCCATAAATACAACTATACTTATTTAGATATTTACACAGTTGGTAAAATCTTATTTTACACTTAGGTATGTAAGTATTTGTTATTCTATCCACTGTACTTCAATTACTCAATATAAACAAAGTATATAGGTATACTTACTTAAAAAATGGTTGTATATTAAGCACAACTTTAACTATGTAATTAATTTAATTTAATTATAATTCTATTTCATTCCATAGAAAAACATTTTCTATAACAGTAGTGCGTCGTGAAGGCTGTGACATAAATTTTCCGATACACAAGAAAATATATGAGGTTATTTGTAGTCTCGAGCCTTTATTGGCTGCGTAAACTATGAACTGCAGACTAAATAAGAAATAGTCTTGCAACATTTTATACAGCGCATATTTAGTCCTAAATATAGTAAAGCTTGTGTTATAAATCCTTGACTATTGATACACAATACACTTGAATGGATTTATTATAAATACGTAAAAAATATAAAGATATAAAACTGAAATTATGTGTTTGTAAGTTCGTAAGTGTGTGTGTGTAATTATTGTAAGTTCGTAAATAGCCCTTTACAACAAATTTATACAATTAAATTGTACATTTCGTGCTCTACATTTTGGGTTCATAGAATTATTAAGTTACAATATTTGAATACTTAATAAATTTTGTCTAGATATACAGTGTAAGTATATAGTTTCATATTATTGAAATAGAAATCTAAAAAAAATAGATTTTATACCACTTGGAAAGGCAGACAAGTTAATCATTAGATATGTCAAATACCTAGGTACTACATGTATATTAATTCATAATAATTGGTTGATTTGTTAAGACACAAAAATTGGCATTTCTACGCACTTGTATAATAACAGGAAGGATAAGAATGAGGAATCTTTATTTATAGTGTCAAATACTGGCTGATGATTTGGCCTTAAATTAATCTTAATATAAGGGTATTGTAACTAATTTAAATTACTGGTAATAATAAATCTTTAAATTAATTATGTTTATTGATTTATTGATATAAATTGTGTTATTGAAATAAGTATTTATTGATTTTTTTTTGTCGAAGTCCCTATTGTTTGTGGTTATTTTTTAAAGCTACTGGCAAGAAAATGACGTAAACCGTTGTATGACACCAACGCTCTATTTTCCATAGGTTGCTATTATTTGCTGGTGATCTGAAAATGATTTTTATTCGTTTTCTTTATAGTTGTTTTCATGTAATTAAAGCAGGTAATGTAATTTTAAAATACATTTGAAAAAAGAAACTATTTATATTTTAGTTACTTTTTTCTGCATTTAGGAATGACATACAAACTGACGGTTCACTGAATAGGAAATGGTAACCGTTGTCTATTGAAATCAACAGCATCAGGGACATCACAGTAACAGTGTTATATTTATAGTATCTCTTATATGCTAAGGTTTAAAATTCAGAAATTCTTTGATCGAAGAAATTATCACAAACAGTCTTTATCGATCCATGTAGTCTATACACGATTACAATATCAAATTAGTATTAGTAGTATATAAAGAATGTCACGTGCGCGTTGCTATCTTTGCACATAATTGTTGACAAATTTTCTTATATAAATTGTTAACAATAATGCTATTTGTTGTATTTTTTTATTGGATGATAATGGGATGGCGACCCCGCCTGCGCTATCGGTATACGCTGGCGGGGCACCAGTGATAGATGATAGATGAGGATGAAAGCAGGTCAGTTAGTTCATCGTGATGAACTCGATCGATCGAATTAACGATGATGGTTTCCAGGGGGAAACGCGTGGATGTCGACCTGAGAGGGTATATTGCTAGCAATGGGGCTGTTAAGACTCCATTGCTAACTATCCCTTCCCCCCTTTCTGTTGTATTAAGTATATAAAAGAGAAGTCGCAAAATTTGACAAGAGTTAATAAAGAGGGGCTTCTTAAAAGGATTTTTACCGTAAGTCTGGTGATATTTGTATCTTCTAAGGTTCGTATGGTTTACACGAACTGTAATAATTAAACCTAATTATTAACATTCAGGTAAAAATATGTATTTCACAAATATCATGTGAAAAGTAGCTCAATAATGACTGATAAACGTGAAATAAATCAATAGAATTTAATGGAAAAAATTACTTTTGAAATTGTTATATATGGTAAAGTTTAACTTCTCGAAAAATAAAAATAAAGATTCTCAAAAGCGGGTTAGTATTTAAAAATGTCCAAAATTTAAATCCAAAATTATGTTTATGCAGCTTGTTTAATAAGTCACGTGTTCAAAATACGACCAATATTTTAAAAGATAGCGAGATAGTAATTTTTAATTCTTTAGAAATGATTTAACTTATTTTTTTTTTTTTTTATTTTAATGCAGATGTCACCATTCGTAACGGTATGTACAAAGAGTAGATGTGTACCTAATCACTAAGTAACGTAACATTCATAATAATTTGTATGGGATTGTGGGCGTGTTATCAAGGTGCAATAAACCAACATCGGTCACTGCACCATAAGCCCACCATTCGCGGTCGCTACGCATTCGTGTGACGAATGGTGACTGCACGAGACCGATGGTAACGTGACCCCATTCTTGCTAAGTTAGGCGGAAATTGGTAAGTAGCTCTTGTAAACTATGTAAAAGATAAACTTGAACAATTTTTTTTATAGTGTTGCCAATTCAAATTTAGCAGTCATCAAAACTTATATGTTCAATGACGAATAAATTTATGTCAATCTGACAATGGAAAATATGAATAATCCAAATTAATCCCATAGGTGATAGGTTTGACTTGGTCTCATTAGTATATTTAAAGATGGGCAAATTTTTTTTAAACGAATCGATCATTCTCAGATTGTCTGTAAGATTGCTTTTAGCGATAAAGCCGCCTTTTGTATATGCACATTCTGTATAAAAACTCCTTGTATACATCTCTAATGTGTGCAATAAAGAGCTTATTATTATTATTATTCTCCACAACAATGTAGACAAATGCCTCTCTTAAATATTTTTTTATTTCTTATTTGAAATAGTCATGTAGTACACATACAAATGGGTATTTTATTTACATTATGTGCTAATGCCTACTCCTATACAATAAAAATCTTGTACATGTCTTTAACACCGTACCAGCATTTTAGTAATTGAGACATTTAATCAATTTAACACGCTGCATATCTTTGCGTTTACTATTTAATAAAACACGTGTGTTTATTAATTTAATTAAGTATTAAAATTTCAATTAGCATCCTTAACCTGATAGCAATAAGAGTGACAATAACGGTAAGTGGTAATAGTCGTGTTTTGCCTTATGGTCTATACAAGTAGGTATGCGGTATGCGGTGTACCTATGTGCGCTGTCGACCTCAATTTTCATGTGCGCTGACCCGTCAATAGCTACAAATGCCACTTCATCTGAGCTAGCAAGATTTATTGAAAAAAAAGGAATAGGAAACATATTGAAAAATATTTGTTTTCGATTTCTAACGGGATTTGCATTCGTTGTTAAGTTTAATATGCGTGTATATATCTAATTATAAATCGCTGGTCTTTCCGTAGATTATTTTAATTTCGAATTCTAGCATATAGTGAAAATCCGAGCCTGAACTATACTCCAGAGCTTCTGAACAATTTGCAGTGTCTTCTTAATACTGTGCTTAAGAATCTAAAGATTCCCGTTTTAGACTGTTTTTTTTAAGCAATTGGCGTTTCCAAATAGACGGTCCATTTGATGGGAAATTGTTATTGCCATTGCCTATAGACGTATAGCATTATGGACTTCACAGACTGCCTACATGCTGTAGGTAGTCCATTCGCAATAACTTTTTTGTTCAATGGATATTTGCGTAGTAGTGTAAAAAAAGTATGTAATAAATACATACACTGTAGCTCTCGTGGTATCCATGGTAGGTAGGTACTCATGTCTGTTGTTATTCTTAAGTACTTAGTACGTACATAAGTTATGTTAATATTATTATAGTATTGTAGATGAAAAGATATGGCGTAGTTTTTGGAATGCAATTTGAATTTTGACTAAATTAGTAGTGGATCAAATCATTATCATAAGTTTGTAGCCCTTATCTTATATAAAATAAATGTTATAGGTATAATTCAAGGCTATAAGGACGTTATGAAGCGAGACCTATGACAAACCTTAATTTATATCTAAAAATATATTATATCTTAGTTATTAGAATATAATATATTAATTTAAAATCTTTAAAAAAAATTTCAAAGTATTGCTAATTCTTTAAGAAACAAAACTCCAATAAAAGCTGTAATTTTATTTATTGAGTGAATAAATTAGGTGAAATAAAAGCTTTTTCTCTTACTTTACTTTAAGACTACTCTTTGTATGAAAGTCAAATATGTTAAAAATTCGATACGATCACTTCGAAACACTTAAATATTCCCGCGGAAAGTAATTTTTACTTTTAGTCTATGGTAAGCTGCACATTTTTTTGTGATTATTTAACCTTTATTGAAATATTAAGATCCACTAAATTTATATGATTATGTTATTACCTGTTTATACACTTGATGTCTAATAATATCTTAAAATATAATAATTATTATGATGATGATTAAAATTATGTCTACTAAGGTGAAACTAAACGTTAGAGTAAGGAAAGTTAAAAAAAAAAATTCTCTATAGTCTCGTTCACTAATGGCGTGTCTTCCGTTAACACACGTTAAAACGTCAAAATGGCTAAGAAAAAAGGCGATGAGAAAGTGAATCAAACCCCTCAAAGTGACAATGAAGAGCAAAACTTCGATGAGGAGCCTGATTTTGATGATCCGGAAGGCTTCGTCGACGATATTCCTGATGAGGGTAAGCATATTATAAATTAGAGGTTGGACCGGCCATATGCGTCACCCACGCATTTCAGGATTTTTCATTGATTTCTTTACTATTTTTAACAGTTGTACGATAAATAGTATTGTTTAAAAATGGTCACTCTTATTTCTTTAATATACTGTGTGGTGATGTCAACTCCTAAACATAACCTAACATTGACGTTGCAGAATTGTTGGCTGACATCCTAGAGCAAAAGCCGAAGGAGTCTGATGGTTATGAAAATGTAATCGTTGTTGACGGGTGCCCACAAGTCGGCCCCGAGCGTCTAGAGAAGCTGCAAAGCGTTATAAATAAGATCTTTAGCAAATTCGGAAAGATTGTTAACGAGTATTACCCAACAACCGAGAATGGAGTCACGACTGGTTACATTTTCTTGGAGTACAACAATCCCCAGAACGCAGCAGAGGCTGTGAAGGCGACCAATAATTGCAAATTAGATAAGCAGCATACATTTTTAGTGAACCTCTTCACTGATTTTAAAAAGTAAGTGCTTACAAGACATATTCCTAACAACTTTTCACTTTGAAATCTTTAATTAATGTATTAGTTATATAATGCATAAGAATACAGCTGTATTCTGGATATTTATAGGTTAATAATCATGCATTTATTTTTTAAATCTTTACATATAAAAATCCTGTCACAAAATTCTTTCATGCTAATCTTTGAAATTGCTCAACCTATAATTTTAGTAAAGTTTTTAAAAATTATATCCGCTAGTTTGAGTGATGGGATAATTATTATCTTTATAAGGGATCTATACACCCAAATAATGTATTCTGGGTTACCCAGTTAAAATATATTTTCATAAATTTAAAACAGTTTGATAATATAAAAATAATTATAATAATATGCAATGTATCTTTTTACATAATAACATTAATAAAATATATTTCCTACTACTTTCATTTAACTATGTATTTCATGACTGCAAATTTTTTCTTTATTCAAATAGTTCATTTAAAAATTTAAAAAGAATATAAAACTTCAAAAAGAATATAAGACTTGCATTATAGAAATGACTAGAAAATGTATAAACCTTTGTGCAGAGGCATAATCACAACCAATGATACAAGTACCAGTAAATACGAGGTGCAATTATTGTTAGTTGAAATTATTTTTTTCTAAATGTAATGGCAAATGTTGTACTTACCTGTAATCAGCACATGTAATTTATTATAATCTTAACTATTGTAGTGTTTTTAAATGGGTTAATATATACCCCTGGTTTGCATTAATAAATAAACAACACTGTTAATAATTATGTATACATAATTAATTACGAAAGTAATTTAGAAAAGTATTTTGGAAAATTTTTTTGTTATTGTACAAATTATGAATAATTTATTAATGCTTGAATGACAAAAAAGAATGTACTTAATGTATTGTAAATATATAATTAGGTATTGTTCTAATATAATTTTTAATTTTTTTTTCTTGAACAAAAAAAAATTTACTGTACTTAGAATGTACTATATTAGAACCATTTTGTTGACCAATTTCATATAGGGTTAGTGGCTAATCTATTAAAATGACAAAAATGTGATCTTAATATGTAATTTTCCACATATATATATATATAATTATTTGGAGGAACATTATCTACAATGCAATAAATAATTGCAGTTATGTCTATTATTGCTGATAATGTAATATATGCTGGTAATTGTTATTTTTTTTAGAGTAAACTAATCTTCTAATGTTTTAATAATGTAACTTCAAAGTACTTACTATAGCAAATGTTAGGTATTAAAATAATTCTTATGTAACGTCTTAGTATTTCTTCATATTTTATATCATCATAGTCGTAGAATAGTGACAAATCTTTATATGTAATCTTCGTCAGGTCTGTCAGTATTCTACGACTACGACGATATAGGCTAATATTAATATTATTGAAGGGAATTTGATTTATTGCAACTAAAAAGAAACTGATTTCATATATTTGTTTAGGAGTTAGGACTACAATATCCATTTATCTATTGTTATTTTATGGTGTATATAAAACTTTTAATGGCAAGGGGACAAGCTTAATGCTATAATTTGGATTGATTAGTTACTTGTGCTTTATATTACCATAGAAATGCCCTTTAATTATCTCATTAGACATTAATTATTAATTTAAGGCCAACATACAGCTTTATACCTATGGCAATTATACAATTAAAATATTTTATCCCATAGACAATAAAGTTTGCACAAATACTTAGTACACTAGTGAAGGAAGAATGTTATAATCTTGAATGTTATATTCAATTATTATTTTCAGATATTCAGAAATACCAAAAGAATGGGAGCCACCCTCGCCACAGCCGTTCAAGGTCCAGTCAGATCTCCAATGGTACCTGATGGATCCAGATTGTTATGACCAATTCCTAGTTGGTATTGGTACTGGTGTAGCACTCCAAGTGTGGCAAAACGCATTGCCTGAACCTGTGTTACTGCAAGAACGACCGGTATGTATTAAATTATTGTCACCCATCTCATAAATTATTTTATGCAGCTTAGATTTTCATATAACTCGATGAAACCTAATGAAAAGTGCTAACTGTCACCTAAATACATAAACAGCACCATGTACATCACAGAATATACTGTGATACCCTCAATACTTTTCAATAATTGCTGTTTTTGAGGACAATGCTTTTTTGCTTTTATCCCATTAATCAAACCAAAACAGTCATGCAATCAAAGTTGTGTTATCAATAAATGTAAATATAAAAGTATTTTTTTTTATACTTGGCAGATTTATTAATAAGTAACATTATTGGAATTAATAACTGATTTTTATGAAAAGACAGTTTAATTAATTAAATATGCCAAGTATAAAAAACATGAAAATTTTGTTACTTATAGAATTGGACAGAAACTTATGCAGTGTGGTCACCACTAGGGACATACCTAGCTACATTCCACTGGAGAGGGGTCGCCTTATGGGCAGGACCTAAATTCTCACAGTTCCAGAAATTCTCACATCCAGAAGCTAGGTTTATCTCTTTTTCGCCATGTGAGAACTATATTGTGACATTCTCACCAAGCAGTGATAGAGGGAATGATGACAAGAAACTCATTATCTGGGATATAAGGTGAGATTTAATTTAATAGATTTTTTTGTGCAAACAATATTTCATGTTTGTCTTAAATATAAAATACTAGCTGCTCGTCCTGCCTTCGCATGGGTGGACATTTTTACAACATTGTAAAAGTGGTTGTTTTGACATAACGATGATACTTGGACATAAAGTATCGCGAAGTTTTTTGTAGTTATTGATATTTTATTAAATATTATAGAACATACTTTTGTTCTATCATCATTGGTTTCCGCAGTGCATGCCATGAAAGATATTTTATAGCATTTTTTACACCTTGAGTTACATTACTAAAGTTTTAGTGAGGATCCCTAATCTTTTCTAGCAATAAATATAGCCCATGTTACTCAGGGTGAATGTAGCTTTCTAATGGTAAAACAATTTTTGAAATCGGCAAAATAGTTTTTGAGTTTATTTGTTACAAACATACATACACACAAAAATACAAATCTTTCCTCTTTATAATATTAGTGTAGATACGGAAAATTGTCATTGTTAACACTAGATACAAATAGGGTTGTTGAACTTCTAAGTGAATCAGATGCAAGACAGTGGAATGGTCCGATTCATTATTTTCTGAAACAAACATTACATTGAGGTCTCTAAAATGACATGTGAAAGAGTGTTTAGTGTTGTAGCATTTTAATGATTGTAATAAAAATCAGTTGAATGAAGTTTTGACAATAAACTGTTCCATTGCTGTGTGGTCCTGGCATAGATTAGGCCACCCTTTTTTTCTCGTGGGTGACTAAGGGAACTTAATGGTTGAAAGATGAGCAGCAGTGTCCCTCTTAAAACATCACCAAAAGCATAACTGCAGTCTATGGGGAGGTCTATTTTTAGCAGTGGACAATTAATGACTGATATGATGAGAATAAAAATAAAATTTTGTCTACAGGACTGGTCAGGAGAAAAGGAGTTTCCCTCCCCCAGATGAGTACGTAACATGGCCAATATTCCGATGGAGCAAGGATGACAGGTTCTTCGCGAGATTAGGCCCCGATATGCTTTCGGTATATGAGACGCCAGGATTTGGTTTACTGGACAAGAAGTCTATTAAAATACCAGGAATAAGGTACGTTTCTGATACATTTTATCTAAAAACATAATTTCTAACTGTAACACAGCTCTCCTGATGTTAATTATCATTAGTGTTAGGTATATATATTTTTTACAATAAATGGTTTCATCTTACTGATGGTAGATTTGTAATTTATCTGAATAGACTCTTGCTTGTTTATCATTGTTTCTTAAGTATCAGGATATCTGTGGTCCATATATGTATAGACATTATTGGCATCATTATAAAAGAAATGAGGCATCATGTATTTTTTTTAAACAAATTGATACATTTTCCAGCAATAGAAAAGTCATACTATTGTGTAAATTTCTAAAAATTATATCTACTCGTATATGTACTCATAAACTACATTTATTTATGTTGTAATAATATTTTGCAGGGACTTCAGTTGGTCGCCTACAGACAACGTTCTAGCTTATTGGGTTGCTGAGGATAAAGACGTGCCCGCACGCGTAACTCTTCTAGAACTACCAAACCGTACAGAGACACGTTCAAAGAACTTGTTCTCTGTCGCTGACTGTAAAATCCACTGGCAGAAGAGCGGTGACTACCTCTGTGTGAAGGTAGACCGCTACTCGAAAGTGAAGAAAGACAAAAATGAGATTAAATATTCCGGAATGTATTACAACTTCGAGATATTCCATATGAGAGAGAAGGAGATACCAGTAGACTCAGTAGAGATCAAGGAGCCTATCCAAGCCTTTGCTTGGGAGCCTGTTGGGTCCAAATTCTCTATAATTCACGGAGATCCCGCAAATATATGTATAAGCTTTTATCAAGTGAATACAGGGCAGGCACCTACATTGCTCAAGAAGTTCGAGAGGAAGCCATTCAATCACCTGTTCTGGTCTCCAATGGGACAGTTCATGGTGTTGGCTAATTTGGGATTGACTGGTGGTGCTTTAGAATTTTTGGACACCAATGACTTCACTATTATGAATGTGTCCCATCATTATCAGGTTAGTAATATTCTATATAATTTCGTTACTGAAATAGGTTTTTAACATAGAAGTGGTTAGAATATAGGTGCTAAACAAAACATAGATTAATTTATAAGACTTTATTTTCTTCTATAGCTGGAGATATGTATAAGAAGAGTTGTGAAAGTAAATCACGTAGGAAATGTATATCAGACAATTGGTTTTTTTCCATTTATTCTATAAAAGGTCTGGAGATGATTGTAGAGATGTCTACATGAAATTAGTTTGTTGTAAGTACTTATAGGGGACTCTAGACAATGTAGTAATCTGTTTGTTTCAATTACTCATTGTCTATTTTTTAACATAGGTTTCCTGTACCAACTTTCTCAATGACATGATGGTGAAATTAACAAATTAAGTGGTATATTATTTATTGGCGTTACAGTTGTTTGAACATCTGTGTTAAGAATCCATAAATAATATGTATTTGTTTAATTAAACAAATAAGAATATTGGCTTGCAGTTACATATGACTTCGAATATTGTTCACTTTTCCAAGTACTGCTGTGTATATATGTTTTATGATCTTACCAATATAATAACAATATAACTAGAGAATTTGTACATGGGAGATAAGAAAAATTTATATAAATTATATTCTGTACAAATATTATAAAGAGGAAAGATTTGATTGTAAGTTTATTTGTAATGGTTAAATTCCAAAAACACTCAATTGATTTAAAAAAAAATTACATAGCTACACTATTAACGAGTAACATAGACTATACATTAGTTTAAAAAAATAAGAAATAGAAATATTAAAATAATGCAAAACAATTTTAATGTGAATATACAAATTTATCTATTTATCTATCTACTCGTGCAAGGCCGGGGGGGGGGGGGGAGATCGCTAGTATGCATATAAAATTAATATTGTGATTTACAGATGTCCGGTATAGAGTGGGACCCGACTGGCAGATATGTTGTTACCGGCGTGTCTTCACTCAAGTGTAAAATGGACTGTGGATACTATATATGGTCCTTCCAGGGGAAGATACTTAGAAGGTGAGTGTCTTTGGAATGTAAATGTTAATGGTCTGGCTATTGTTGATTAAGTTTTTTTTTATACAACTTAGAATGGCAAACAAGGTAACAGCTCACCTGATGGAAAGTGGTAACCGTCGCCTATAGACATGAGCATAGATCATTAAGCAGTACCATGGACATAACAGAGTATACTGTTTTGCCCATGATAACCCACCATGCGTTGCCATTCCTGAGGACTCAGGTGTTATTCCTCTGTACCCTGTAAATTCACACCATATCCCACCCTTCAAACCGAAACGTAGCCATGCAAACACAATTGCTTTACGGTAGAAACACGAATGGGATAGAGGTACCCATGCAATCGACTTTTGTACAAAGTCTCCCTCTGGATGGGTTTATTGGATGACAATTTTACTACAATTTAACAAAATAAAAAATTGTTCTTAATTCAACTATTCTTTTTTATGTTTTTATTTGACTTTACGGGGTTTGGTTTTCCTTCGGGAACTTTGGTTCTCCTTCAATTGTTATTTGTAAATTTTTTTTTATTTATTTTTATACAAAAATATTTTGTGTTTTCACAATATCTTCATTGATTGTGGGCTGATTTTAAGAATTGTTTTTGTAGTTAAAAGCTTACTTGATATTTTCGTCAATATATATTCGATAATCTATGGAATATTATAATAGTATATATGAGAAGAAAGAAAACATTTATTGACAACAACAAAAAGTTACATACATTATGAATTAAAAAACAAAAAACTTTATATTAATTATTGCCAACGTGGTCACCACTCAGCATGTGCTGCAGCAATTTAATTGCTACAGCGCTGATATTCTGTGGTGCTCATACGTGACATTACGATATGTTATAGTATTCTTTTATCATTTAAATAAATGTTTAGTGATTTTAAAAATATAATGTAATTGTGGTTTATGTTTGTTTCCATAGAGTAATGAAGGAAGGTTTCGCGCAGTTCCACTGGCGACCTCGTCCGCCCACGCTCCTCAGCGAGAAACAACAGAAGGAGATAAAGAAGAACCTCAAGAAATACTACTCGCAGTTCGAGTCTAAAGACCGTATGCGCAGCAGTAAGGCCAGCAAGGTAATTACACTCTTCTAGAAGTTTTATTTAATTTGTTAAAATAATTTTATTATTATCAATACATGTAATATTATTTATTATATGTATTGATTTTCGAAAATTCTGTCTACTCGTGCGAAGTCGGGTTTTTATTAGATGATGATGGAATGGTAACCCCGCCTGCGCTATCGGTAGAATACACTGGCGGGCCACCAGTGAGGGATGATAGGTAAGGAACAGGTCAGTTAAAATAAATAAATCACGATGGTTTCCAAGGGAAACCACGAGGAGGTCGACCTAATAGGATATATTGTTAGCAGTGGGCCTATTAAGCCCCATTACTAAAAATTCCTTCTACCCCCGCGAGGCCCGGTTGGTTCGCTATTGAGTAATATATTATTACACTGGTTAAATGTAACATACTTATATTTTTTTTTCGTATAGGAATTGGTGGCGAAACGTACGGAGCAAATGAAGAAACACGTTGAATATAGAGAAGCGAAGACGCAGGAGTGGAACGAGCAGAAACCACGCCGTCTCGAACTGAGGAATTGTAAGATACTTTATTACTTACTTACTCTTAACCGCGATTTCGCCTACGTGTCTGGGAAAAAGTAACCTATATACCATACCATATAGTAGATAGATAGATAGATAAACTTTTTATTTGAGCCATTTATGACACACGTAAATTTACAAATGAGTTTATACAATTAAATTATTTACACTTTTTAAAACAAAAGATAAAATATAGTTTCACCATGTGTGTCGCAGTGACCCAAATATATATTATATATCAAATTTCATAAAGATTGGTTAAGCTTTTGAGGCACTAAGGTTACATACAAATTCTCTTTTACATTTATAATGTTAGTAAGGATACATTTGTATATTTAAAACATATCTCTTTTTAATACAAAAATGGCCATTTTTTTGCAAGATAAGTTATTTTTATTATATTTAATTGAAGTAAACATATACATGTAAATGAATTATGATTATATTCAAAGTCTGGTGGCAACACATCATGATTCTTTGGTTTGTTTTGCATAATTTGGTTTAGTTTCAAAACATCTGATATGCATAACATCTATGCAAATTGGACGTTAGACTAATCTGCCTTTATTGAGTAAATATTCCAATGAGAAAATCTAAAGGTATTTAATGGCACATATAAATTTTCAATATATGGTAACTTAATTTCTTAATTTGATATTATTAAGAGTAAACAAACTTGATAAGTCGATAAAATCTAAAATCAAGTTGAATTTGTAAATTTATGTAAATAATCCTATGTTTTTTTTTCTCGCAGACGTGGATACCGACGGTCTGGATACAGACCAGTCAAACACAGTGGAAGAAGTTGTTGAATTTTTCGTAAAAGAAGAACAAACCGTCATCGAGTAGTCGCCATAGCTCTCCAACGTCAGAGGTCGGCGTGAACACTCCGGCCTCTTTTGTAAAACCGGTTCGAACCGGTTCTAAGCGGATTCACAGTGAATACCAACGTTTTTACCAAGCAGGCATCAATATTTTCACCGATTTTTTGTACATTCACCATTTGTATTTAGTCACAAATAAGGTTTTATAAGCAGTTAATTCCATTATGTTATTCAATTTAATAATTCGGTTTATAAATTATACAATAGGTAATGTTTATAGAAATCATATTAAATTGATATGTTTTAAACGTACAATTGTCTTTCAATACCTGCTGGTATCTTTTATAATTTTGTTATAATTATTGACAGTAGTAAAGGATTGTTAAATGATGATGGCATGAAATAAACAAATGATAAAAAGATACAAAGCAGAATTTGAATTTTTCCAAAGCTTTCATTTGGGTATTGGATGGTGATCTGAAAGTTTGTCATATATATCTGTCATATTTTCTAAATTTATTCTTGTAATTTAAAACGTAGTAAAACGTAGAAGTTCTTTGATGTTATATGTCGTATGGTCTCGGCATGGAATGGGCCAACTCTTCCTTTTACCGTAGGTTATTTTAAAGGGTGATAATGGAATGGTAACCCCGCCTGCGTTATCGGTATACACTGGCAGGGTAATAATGAGGGACGATAGGTGAGGATGAAACGGGTCAGTAAATACACCGTGACGAATTCAACAAGAATTAGGCACGATGGTTTCCAGGAGGAACCACGTGGAGGTCGACTTGATTTGATTGCCTCATCGCTAGCAATATATCTTATATTGCTAGCAATGAGGTAATATATATATATATATATATATATATATAAAAGAACTAATTAAGTTACTAATACAATAATTTAATTTGGCAAATAATATTTTGTAAGTGAATCTTGACTGTCTAATTTGTGAGTGTATATATTGTGTCATTATGCCGTATAGGGAAGAGCACTGCTTATCCTAAAGTACAAGATTTACCTATTTAGGGAGCAGGGTTTCACCTATATTTAAAAATGTTTTTAATATTTATTTTGAAATAAACTTATTATTAAACTTAAAAAAAATATGATGATGTCCATTGTATTTGTTTATACGCGATGGTTACTACTTACTACAAGGTGAGTCAATATGTATGCCGTTACAAGTTATAGTAGTGAAAACACCTGAGAGGCATTATAGGAGCATGTGATCAGCATTTTCTGAACTAACACATGCATACAACATTCACTCCCCCTCCCTTCGCCCTTCTCAAATACGCCTACAATAAAATATTGAACAAGTATTTCTGCGGGTTTAAGCATGTCGCATCTTCGCTCAAGGAGCGAATTTGAATTGTAGTCTTACAGCTTGAATTTTAGCTGGATGCGGTGGATTTTTTATTTATTTATTTTTATTATATTTATTTATTTATTTTATTTTTTTAATAGGTAAGAATGCAATAGTAACTCCGTCTACGCTATCGCTAAACGTTGGCAGGGAATCGGTAAGAGTTGATAGGTGAGGATGAGAACAGGCCAGTTACACTGCTTCCCATTCCCTGTTCACCATTGTGGCGAATTTCACAAGAGTTAACCAGGTTAGTATCCACAGGGAACCACGTGGAGGCCGATCTGATAGAGTATATTGCTAGCAATAGTGTTGTTAGACCTAATTACTAACATACCCTTTCCTTCCGGATGGGGTGATGGATTTCTCCACGACTGGTGGGGGAAAGGAAGGCTTGTGGTGACATGATGTTGCATGATCCCATTAAGGATTGTTTCTACAGATTAACACGAGTATATGGTGGGCCGTCAGCTTGTTTGCCATTCTAAGTTGTATAAAAAAAAAATAATGGCGCGACTTAGGAGTCCGGCCCGTTCTAAATCCAGACTAACCTCGACGTACTTTTTGTCCGTCAAAATAGAATAACTTTGGATTGGGTAAGTACTTATCGTCGATAACCGTGTAGGTTCCGGCATAGAATAGGCCACCCCTTCCTTTCCCGTGGGTTTCGTAGGGGGCGACTAAGGGAGCTTATGATGAAGGGATGGGCAGCAGCGTTCCTCTTAAAACATCACCAGAAGCCAAACTGCGGTTGCCAATCCGCCTTGCCAAGCGTGGCAACTACGAGCAAAACCCTTCTTATGGGGGAGGCTATGTTCAGCAGTTATTTTTGATAGATGAAAATGGAATGGCAGCCCCGCCTGCGCTAATGGTATACGCTGGCAGGGGACCAGTGATGGGTCATCGATGAGAATGAAAACAGGCCAGTTAGCCCATCATGATGAATTTATGAATGAACCATGATAGTTTCAAGGAGGAACCGCGTGGAGGTCGCCCTGGTTGGGTATACAAATGTTCAGCAGTAGACAGTTCACGGCTGTTACAACTATCATTCCTGATATTCCGTGCAATGCCTCGTGAGGGAAGTGACTGTTAGTGACGAGGATTAGTGCTTTGGGCCACAGCAAAACACTGTTTTGCTCTTTTGAGGGTAAAGTAATAGAATGACGTGGTTATTTTGTATTTTATGGTACTCTGGCATACACAGGACTTAAAGAAAATTAATATCCTAAACTAGTATCATAGAAATAAAACATTCCATATTTTTATGCTTGTACCTCATTAGCGTAAATTTATAACGTAAGTAAAGTTACCATTTCATTTTAACCCCATAATAAAAATGTATCATTGTACAATTTTACTGGTTAGTTGATTAGAATTATTTTGTTTAATTCAGTTTTCATTAGTATGCGTGCGATTGCCAACATTTGAACATTGACTACTATTATTATTACTAGAAGATCCGACCTATATTAGTCATCAATCTCCGACCGTTATTCAGTCCATGCACATGTTGCGCTATATTTTTTACCTCTAAACGAGGCATCTTTAGGGAAATTAATAGATCGCTGCTCTGAGCCTAGCGTTGACTTTCAGTGGCCAGACTGTGAAACACATTAATTAACGGACATTAGGCTTTGAAAAGCTCGGTGTTCCTGGGTGCTTTCCGACCATGACTCCTTCTAAGATTGGTACTGAATGCGACAATACCAATTAGTACTTACACGGCCTAATTGGCTAGTTCGTAAGTATTTGAACTTGAATAAATATCTTAATAAGATCTTTATGAACCCTGAACGCCCGTAAGCATACGATTTAGGTAAACCTTGGCTTTATCTCCGCTGATTTACGATGCATCTTGTCTGTTGATCTGGGTTAGGGCAATAAAGACTTATACTTTAAAGCTTTATTATTGTTATTACATTACGCGTAACTATCTATATTGTGAATGTGTGACGTCAGATAAAGAACATCAGAAAATATTAATTTTAGAAACGTTGGTTGTTGACCGCGAGACATATAGATATGATCAGTTTGTTGATTAATTTTGTAGTAGGATATTTCTAGAGATTAGTTATTAGAAGTCAGTGTAATCACCTGAAACAGTATTCGCATTCCGAAAGGACTGGCGACGCATAACCGGCGTTATAGTGGGGTCGATTCTGAATCGCTATTCTCTGAATTTCTAAAGTTAAAATTTGATATCATGGCAAAATCTTTATTGACTAATATGAACTAAATTCCTAATAGAATTAAGTCAAAATTTGTTATTAATGCTCCTTTATGAAGATGCTTTATAAAATAATTGTACTTTTGCGAATCAAATAAAAAAATTAAAGATAAGTTTTAAGAGAATAACACCTCAGAATCGACCTCAGTATATTCTATCAAGTCCATGATTCTATTTATGTTTATAAGCGACGATCACCTTTTCTCATCAGACGGTTGTAAGCTTGATTCATACTTAATAAAAAATACAGCTATATTTGGACTCGTATTATGCAATGTCTTTATTAACATTACAAATGTAAAACTGAGTTTGTTTTTACCTCTTAGCGCTTTAACGAGTTAAATAATTACTACAAAATTTTGTATACACATTTTTTTTTATTTATTTATACTTTATTGACAATATCACAAAAAATGTTTGGTACATAAGGCGTACTTAATGCTATATAGCATTCTCTCTCAGTCAAACTTTGGCAAAATAGAAATGTAATTATGCGATGAAAAATTTAAAACTGTTATAGATAAACAGTTACAGATGTATCCATATTTTTTTTATGCAACTTAGAATGGTAAACAAGCTGACGGCCCACCTAATGGAAAGTTTACCACTTTCCATCGCCTATAGACACGAGCAGTACCATGGATATAAATGAGTATACTGTTTCGCCATGCGTTGCCATACCTGAGGACTCAGATATTATTCCTCTGTGCCCTGTAAATTCACTGCCATATCCCACCCTTCAAATCGAAACACAGCCATGCAAATAGAACTACATCACGATAGAAACGAATGGGACAGAGGTGGCTAAGTAAACGACTTTTTTACAGTCTCATTTTGGTAAATACACATACTATATGTGATGAAGAAGAACACAGGTTACTTTCTATTTCAGCCAGTAAACATATCTCAGTTCGGCGGTAGAAGTTGCTGGTAAAAGCCTAGTACCTAAAAAATAAGCCTCAATCATCACAAACTTGAAAGTTTAAAAGCGGTAAATAGTAGCTGGCTTTTTTTGTCAGGATTAAATCATTCGAAAGACTTGATTAAGGAGTTTTTAGAAACTTACTCTAAGAAATTAATTGTTTCGTGTAAAAATAATATGTGTGTATTAACAAGGGCTCTCACTGGATACTGCAAATTAAACAAGCATATGGTTCAACTAGGCTTATACACAAAAAGTGTTTGCAGATTTTGTTACAATGAGGAAGGATGAAATACCGCAGCACTTAATTGGTGAATTATATTCTCAGTTAGGGCATTACCTATCCGTGTACAAAATTAAATTTAAATTCTTTAATAGCTTTTGTTTGAAAAAGTAACAAACCATTCTCACAATCTTTCGTGTTTGCAGTAGTTACTACTTATATATGTATATATTGTAATTTATGTTTCTTTTAGAATTATTAGACATGGATATTCCTATTTATTTCGATGGGGGTTATTCATTTAGATATTATAGATTGAATAATCGATATTTACTACATCCGTTATTGGACCAATTTATGGATATTGTAACTACATGCTTGTTTGCCACCTCAGTAGTATAAAAAAACATTATCATTATTATCATCATCTCAGCCATTATCCGTCCACTGCCTCCCCCACAGACTGCCATAAAGAACGGTCCTGAGCCATCTACATCCACTGACTCCCTGCAATACATGTCAGGTCGTCACTCCATCGTTCTACACTGCGTTTGCCCATACGCAGTCGTCACTCAAGAACCTTTCTTCCCCATCGGTTGTCGGTTTTTCGAGTTCTTCTTCGAAAAAAACATTATACACCTACTTTTTTACGTATTATGACAATTGTTCTAGAACGTGGATTTTATTTATAAATATATAATAAATAGATATACAATACCAATGATCATCAGCGGCTGTGTGACTTTAAATTAATTAATAGTTATTATTATTAAAAATAAATTATATAAAAAATATACAAACTTATATTCTTAAATAGATTTTTGCCAGTTACATTGTATGCGTGGCTTTAGAAGTAGGAAAACCAATGCAGGAAGTCCATTTTAAGAGGGCGTATCAAAACAAAACATACACAAGATTTTAAGTACGACTTTCAGAAACGCAACTCTAAAAACCGCATCTAATTTGGTATGTTATCGCGTCCAAGTTTTTGCGTGATACCGGAACAAACATACAGGCGGATAATTTTTTTAAAGAATACTGCTTTGAACTCTATTCGACGTAATTCGTTCGTAGAACATTGAAATTAATTTTTCTTAAATGTCTCCCATGCACAGATCTCTCTCTCTACAATCGTACACTTTTGACAGAGTTGTCGTAATTTTTATGATGTTAGTGGATCGTCGATGATGATCTCCTTCGCGATTGAGGTCCTCGCAATGCGTCTCCATCTATTGCTGCTTACAGCCGAGCGAGAGCATTCCAAAATAGACTGTTGCGTGGCCGTTTTGATGAAGTAATTTTAGGTATAATTTTATTACATTAGGTATGTTTAAATTAGAAATAAAATATAATTAAATTAAGAATTATTATTTTTTATTTCCTATGTTTCTATCAAGTTTAATATAATATAAATACTTTGTATTTTACTACTGCAATGTTCTGTTCATATAATAGGAATACATTTCTAACTAGATAGACAGGTGTAAAGGTAAGTGCTATAAAGCAATTTACTATCAATTTAATTGTATTTCTTTTAGGAGTCTACTGCAATCATTGGATCTCCACTTTACGGCGAAAATATTGTCTCTACATTCTCCTATGAAAGTCTGTGAAAAAGCTGAAAGTCGGCAAGAAAAATTCATTGAGGTGAACGAAAGCGCGCATGAGCGGCGAATTTCATCCATTCAAACGCGTCACCCTTCAGTTTGTCTGAAAGATTACTGAGAACGCACGCCCGAAGACGCCATCGCGCGCTTTCGAATTCAAATTCCGAACTAATTTAAATTATCCGTTACAATTGACCGCACTAGTTTTGTGTTAAATAGTGTCGTACCGTGATTAGAGGTTGAATTTTGTGTCCGATTATAGTTCAAAGTCCGGTTTTGTTTATGGTTTATTTTTGTTTTTAAGGGTGGACGTGTTTTATTTATCGGTAAGTTTGTATACTTTATAAATACTTACTTTATAACATTTTGATATAACTATATTTTTCCGTTTTAATTTAATAATAATAGTAATATTGAAGTTAATGTTATAATATTTTTTATTAGCTGTAGAAATTATTTTCTGCTTTTGCGAGATAGCTACAACATATTATATCATTATTCAGATTAAAAATCATGTAAAACATCCGAAAGATATATTTTACAGTATGACAGTGTTTTAATTAAAAACGTACTAGGCTATTCGTCACTGCAAAGTGTGTCGTAGCCTGACCACGGTAAGAATATATCTTCATTAGATACCAAATAGGTATCAAGCGGGTATGTACCCGCATGCCCCTTTTAAATCTCTCTGAAAAAAGAAAGGGTTAGAAAAAGGTTGTTAAATACTCTTTGAAGGCTTCATTAGGTGTATAAAATTATTCTTTCGTGAATAATTTATACACGTAACATATATAATTACGTACATGAAAATATTGGCGAACAAAATAAAAATGAAAGGGCAACACTATTTTCATTTATATATATATATATACATATAGTGAGAGTAATTGATATTCTACGCGTCATTTCTTAATTTTATTAAAATTCATTTAATGTTAGAGATTATTTAAAAGAATGATATAACTACATTCGCAAAATTACTATCTATTCAAATTAAATCGCAACAACGAATTTGAACAAAATACAAACTATAAAAGAAGAGAGGAGAGATTTGTTTTTTTTTAAACAACTTAGAATGGCAAACAAGCTGATGGCCTACCTGATGACCTCATTCGTTTGCCATTCCTGAGGATTAAGATGTTATGCCTCTGTACCCTGTAATTTTATTACCATATTCCATCCTTTAAAGCGAAACACAGGCATGTAAATACAATTGCTTCAAGGCAAAAACAAATAGCACAGAGGTACCCAAGCAGACGAGTTTTGTACAGCTTCCTCTGATCACACTGCACTCTTAAGTTATTTTCTATCTCTGAATGTACATTTGTATCAGAGATATTTTAAAATTACATCATGAATGATATTTGTGGTATTAATTCCAAATTTCGGTACCTATTCAGATATTCTTGTTTAAAAGGATGTCTAGATCTAGGATGAAATAAAGGTAAAAGTGGTGAAGTCTCACTGCTTTTATTATCTATAGAATATAAATCAATCATAAATTAGAGACGTTTGCATATTTAGCTCACGAAATATCATGAAATATTTCCACCATAACGCCGCTCGTGAAAGAAATCCACCATGGGCAAAAGAATCAAGACTATTGAGTCTTGATAAGCTGTCGTAGCGATGCGCGAAATTTCCTCGATCCACGGAAAATCCACGTAAGTATTTCGCAATTTTCGAAAGAATATTTTTCAGTGATAAATTTATTACTCGCTTATTCAGCGTCTCAGTCTTCGCCGCGTATTCTTAACGACGCCTGAGAAAAAAAAGTTTATATATTTTTTAGAGGTAATAGAATTTTTGTTAAATACGAACTAGTTGGTTGTAAAAAAAAAATAATATCTATGGTCTTTATTGTTCAAAAAATATTTTTCTGAGTATTCGGCCTATAATTATTAGGCCTATTATTATTATACTATAATTATTCGGCCTATTATTATTATCATCACCGTATCAGTTTTTCATCAATCACTTATTAACTGTCCCCTGCTGAAAATAAGCCACCCTCTAGGCTTTGCCAGTAGTTGCCACACTTGGCAGGTAGGTTGGCAACCGCAGTTAGGCATTGGAGATGTTTTAAGAGGGACGCTACTGCCCATTCTTCGTTCATTAAGTTCCCTTAGTCCCCTCTTACGATACCTACGGGAAAGGAAGGGGTGGCCTCTTCTATGCCAGGACCACACGGGAATCGATCTATTTATTAATTAATAATCGAATCATTCAGTTCCTCAGTCGAATTATTCGATAAGTACATTTTTGTAATGGTTATTTCAAATAGCTGTTAGAAAATCTTTCGAATGAATAATTTACATTTCCCCTCTACGCCTGTCGTTACCAGCTATCAATCTTTTTATCGTGTGCTTATTTCTACGCCTCCAGGAATCTTTAGAACAGGGTAGATATAATAAATTAAATAAATTGTTATCTATGTTTTGGTTTTATCATAAATTGTTTAGAAATTAAATATATTTTTATTAAGTAGTGCAGAATTCCAGATATGTATATGTAGTGGAGGAATTTTTGTTTTTACTAATAATTAGGTATATCTTTCAAACAAACCAATTCATTCGTCTTGTAGGACAATTTTTTTTTATATTTCGTACGCAGCAATAATGTTTTCCAAATGTAATTTTTTAAAGAGACTTAGAAGAATGATATTCGCCAGTATTTTTCTCTCGATTCAACTCGGCTCGATTTCGATAAATCTTTTTCCAATCATTCCAATTTATTTCCTTGTTGATTCCATATTCATTTGTCACAGTCATATTTTTGTCTCAAATTATTGTATTCATTTGTTACGGCTTTGTACAAAAGTCGTTTGCTTGGGTACCTCTGTCCCATTCGTGTTTCAACCGTAAAGCAGTTATGTTTGCATGGCTGTGTTTCGGTTTGAAGGGTGGGATATGGCGTGAATTTACAGGGCACAGAGGAATAACATCTGAGTCCTCAGGAATGGCAACGCATGGGGAGTATCATGGGCAAAACAGTATACTCTGTTATGTCCATGGTACTGCTCATATCTATAAGCGACGGTTACCACTTTCCATCAGGTGGGCCGTTAGCTTGTTTGCCATTCTAAGTTGTATAAAAAAAAAAACTCATTGTAGAGTTTTACGTAAGTAGAATAGTTACAGAAGTTTAGATCTCATGAAAAATAATAAAGGAAGTATATTTTGAATTGTCTATATAGGTGGCTGTTACTATTTTTCATCAGGCTAATCATTAGCCCATTTGCAAAATAGTAGTATGAAGAATGAAATAAATCAAAACAACTGATTTAGTTACAATCGAAGACACTTTTTTTGTAAACTATATTATTTTAAGTGTTCAATAGATTTTTATTATTATTATTATCTATAACAAAAAGAAATATATAAATTCTCTATCATAATATTTATAAATGATACAATAAATTTTTAATAAATAAAACTACGCATTTTTTTTAAATAGAAAAAGTACAGGTAATACTTTCATATACTTTTAAATAACCAAAAATAAGAATTCGACACCTAAAAAGCTTTCATATTAATTAATAAGTTCTATAATCTGTTTTGTTATTATTTATTAATTAAAAAAGTTCTAAAGTTATTTACGGGCCTAATAACGCTTAACGCTAACTTATCCGCTTAACTCTAATTCTATCGTTTAACTTAAGCGATATAGTAACACAATATAATTACAACGTAAACTTTTAATTGTATTTCCAGATATTTCTTTTAGTTTACTTTTATTTAATACGATTATACTGAAGTTTAGAAATATATGTATTATCTGTCAATTTAGTATAACAATTAAACATATTTTAATATAATTGTATTATTATTGATTAGCGAAGTAAAATGTTAATCATAGAATAAATAAGATATAAATTTTCCACTAAACTGCTAAAACTATTGATATTCATTTTCCAAATCAATTTTTTTTTTATTAAAATCTGTAATTTTAGTAATAATTCAATAAGATACATACATTTTAATTTGTTATTAGGTAACATTTTTAAATGTTTAGAAATATTGAAAATTGTTTGTTTTTGAAAAATGTATAATTAACGTATAACATTCTAATTAGTAATTAACTTGACAAAGTTTTTCATCGCTTAACTACGACGTATGTGAGGTAGTTGAAGATAATATAATGCTGGCGGACTATTTCAACAATGGCAGTCTACGACAGAGGGTAATGTCGGAGTCTAAGGTCGTATCTTAAAATAAATATATCTTAGAAATAAATGTACGAGCCATTCAAAGCACTTTGACAGAGCCATTAGACAATGGCTCAACGTTGTTTCTATAATTTGATTAACACTAAGTAGTAATATAATCATATATTTTCCGCGTCTAATCTATTAAATAATGTATTAATATATATAAAGCAGAACTGGTATTTCATCAGAATCAAGTGAAAAAGCTATTTCAAATATTTAAAATTAATCATGTAGAATCGTGTCTCTATGGGTCGAGTTTGCATGGCAACAAATATTATTTTCTTCTTAAAAAATAGATGGATTTAATTGTAATTATATGAAAATAAACTCAATTGATTAAAAATTATTGTCAAAATCACATAACATACAGGCAAATTGAGAACTTCGTTTATTTTCAAGCCGTTTAATAAAAGTTCTTACCTATACTTCAAATTTTAATGTATCTTTTTTTTTTTTTTTTTTAGTACGTTTGTTCCGTTTGGAACAGGCTAAGGTCGGAGACCATGCTGCCTAGTCTTCAAAAAGATAAATTGTCTGGAATTTTATTTTTCTAATGTCGCTTCAATTATTGTCATAATCTTCAATATTTCATTTGTCAAATCCGGTAAGTACATTTTCATAAATATCTTTTCTTGAGTTTTCTTAAACCAGTGGATTTATCAAATTAAAAATAAATAATTATAAAAAATCATTGTCTTGCAATTCAATAAAAGTATTCTTATAGCTCCTTGAATGTTGTAGTAATATAAGTGAAAATAGCTTTGAAACAAGAAGGAAATCTTAAGAGAAGCGGGATTGAGTGCGGGATATTTTCGGGTTTTTTGAAGATAATCCTAAGTTCGTCAAACATAATGTGTCTTTGAATGGAAAATTCAGAGCAATCAAAAAAAAAGGTGATGTAGAGATTGGGCTGTATTTGAGTTACACCATGTGCATGATGGGGAAGCGATCATGCCCATTCGGTGCAGGTGTTCGTTGAAATGTCCGTGGCCGATTCGTAATCTACAAATATTGGTGTAAAATTTTCTGTTTGTGTCCTTTCCTTTGCAGAACCACGGTTTTCCAATACGCCAATTAATTTTGCGGTACCATTTGCCTTTAGTCTGTAATATTTGA